GCTTTCAACATCACTTCCCAAATACAGCTTCAGGAGCTGGCCGTTCATTTTAAACAGCTCCGATTTGGCATTGCTGATCTCCACCGCACCATGAGAAAACACTTGGGTGACCGTGAAGGATCCCGTCCACCGTGAACGTAGCTTGTCCGGGAAGAGTTTCAGGCGTGATTTATAGAGAAAAACAGGATCACCCACCTAAAATTGTTTAGGGCCCTTCAACCGAGCATCATGGAGATGCTTGGTTCGCTCCTTGTAAAGTCGGGTACTCTCATAGGCGTGGGAACGCCATTCCTCCAACTCTAGCAGCTGCGGTTTATGTTCAGTACCTGCAGCACTCAAATCTTGGTTTAGCAGCTTAAGGGCCCAAAAGGCCTTGTGCTCTAGCTTAACCGGCAATTGACAAGCCTTTTCATAGACAAGCTGATATGGTGAAGTACCAATCGATGTCTTGTAGGCTGTCCTATATGCCGAGAGAGAATCATCGAGCTTAGTGGACTAATCCTTGCGGGATTGATCCACCATCTTTTCAATTATTCTTTTAAGCTCCCGTTTCGTCAGCTCGACTTGACCATTCGTTTGGGGATGGTAAGCCACTGACACCCGATGCTTAACATCATAACGAGAGAGGATTTTAGCGAATTTACCTTGAAAATGGGTTCCTCTATCGCTAATAATGGCTCTAGGTCTCCCGAACTGGGAGAACAGCTACTTCAAAAATGAGCAAACCCGTCTTGCATCATTGGTGGTCATGACTTGAGCTTCTGTCCACCTCAAGACGTAGTCTACCGCAACCAGTATGTACAGATGACTAAAAGATGGAGGGAATGGGCCCATGAAATCGATGCCCCAAACATAAAAAATTTCCCAAACAACATAAATATATTGAGGCATCTCATCTCATGAAGAAATGTTACCTGACCTCTGGCATCGGTCACACTGTCGTGCGAAGGTATCTGCATCCTTGAAGAGTGAGGGCCAGTAGAAGCCCGACTATAGCACCTTCCCCGCCGTGCGGTTTCCTCCATGGTGACCGCCGGCAGGTCCCTCGTGACATTGAGACATGATGTCTCCTCTCTCGTGCTCCATAACGCAGCGCCGGATCACGCCATCCACTCTGATCTTGAAGAGGTAAGGATCCTCCCAGAAATAATGCATTAGGTTGGAGATGAACTTGCACTTAGCGTGAGTAGCCACCCCCTTCGGTAACTGCTTTCCCACCAGATAATTTGCAAGATCAGAAAACCAAGGAGTGACACTCTCCATCAAGCACAGTGCCAACAAGCGCTCGTCGGGAAGGAGTCATTAATCTCTTCCACGAAACTGTCCTCCGGAGAGGCTTCCAATCGTGAAAGATTATCTGCAGCAACATTCTCAGCTCCCTTTTTCTCCTGGATCTCAATATCAAACTCTTGCAGCAGCAGGATCCAGCGGATGAGCCTATGCTTTACATTAGCCTTGCTCATCAGATAGCGAATGGCAGAGTGATCTTTGTAGACCACCACATGGGAGAGCACCAGGTAAGGTCGGAACTTGTCGAATGCAAACACCAGAGCGAGCAACTCCTTCTCAGTGATGGTGTAGTTCTTCTGTACATCATTCAGGGTCTTCGACGCGTAGTAAATGGGCTAGAAATGTTTGTCGCATCTCTGATATAGGACAACTCTGACTGCATAAGCACTTGCATCACACATCAGCTCAAAAGGAAGGGACCAATCAGGAGTCACCATGATAGGTGCATGGGTAAGCTTCTCCTTCAAGGTCTCGAATGAAGCTGTGCACTCGGGAGTGAAATAAAATGGTGCATCCTTCTCCAACATCTTGGGCAGAGGCAGGGCAATCTTTGAGAAATTCTTAATAAAACGCTGGTAGAAACATGCATGATTCAGAAAGTTGCGGATCCCCTTCACAGGAATGGGATGAGGTAGCTTACTGATCGTCTCAATCTTTGCGCGATCCAACTTAATCCCCTTCTTGGAGATCTTGTGCCCGAGCACAATCCCCTCACATACCATAAAATGACACTTCTTCCAGCTGAGTGCCAAATTAGCAAAGATGATCCCTGCATACATCAACTTCACGATCTCTGCCCGGACCACTTCCTCAAAGTTAGGAGTCAATCTCCGCTGCGGCTGCCTGACTGGCTTAACCTAATCCTCCATCAGGATTCTGTGGGAGCAGAAGGATGTGCCATTGCCTCTGATGTCAGTTACCTTCCATGCCATGGCCCAGGCATACTTCTTCAGCAGAGCCACCATACTGCTCTTTTGCTCGGGGGTCAGTTCCGAATTGATGATTACCGGGAGCTTATTCCCCTCCCGGAGAAATGCGTACTCCAGGTGAGAAGGAAGGGGCTTAATCCCCAACTCTGGTTGCTCCTCCAATGATGTGGCGATCTGGGGAGAGATAGATATCAGCATGAATGGCTTCTCTCGCCCCTCGATTGCAGCTCCCTCTAGCTCTGCGAGCTGCTCCTCCAGTTGCAACTCCTGCGATGCTTGTTCCCCTAGCAAAAGACAACGCTCGAGGAAATCGTCAGTACCCGCACTCGTGATGGCGAGTGCAGTCTCAAAATCAGCAATAACATCGCAGCAATCTAAATAATCATGGAGCTGGGGGTGTTTCATATTATCAGAGACAGAAGGTAATTTGTTCACCCCCAATTCTCAAAATCAGTTTTCTATCATTGACATCAATTAACGCCTTAGCGGTGGCGAGAAATGGTCTACCCAAAATTAAAGGCACATCCACATCCTCATTAATATCAAGAATAACAAAATCTACAGGATATGAGAATGGCCCTACTGCGACTATAAAGTCCTCTTCAATACCCCTAGGATGCACAATGGATCTATCAGCTAATTGAATGCTCATCCTAGTGTTACTGGGTTCACCTAGGCCTAGCTTTTTAAACAATTTATATGTCATTACATTTATGCTAGGCGCCCAAATTCGCGAAGAACTTCCCTACATGAAAACTACCAATCATGCAAGGGATAGTAAAACTCCCTGGGTCTTTTCGCTTTTCTGGTAGCTTGTTCTGAAGGATGGCAAAACACTCCTCGTTGAGCATCACCGTCGACAGCTCCCCAAGCTTCCTCTTGTTAGTGAGGAGATCTTTCATGAATTTAGCATACTTGGGCATCTTTGACAATGCCTCCACGAAAGGCATACTTTAATGCGGGTTTGAGGATTTTGATTGCGAAAATGACAAACTTGGCAGATCGTACTTGATCTGCAATCCAGTTACGAAGCAATGGATTTCCCTTCCTTTAGCGCCTGAAAAGACGATGACATATGGTCGAGCAGTGGCTGCCAGGTTAGTTTGTGAACCGTTGGTAAGTCACACTCTGATAGTCATAATCTTGATCTAGGAGATGGCCAAGCATTTCTTTATTCTGATGAGTATCTGACACGCTATGACACAACACCAAACTACGACCAAGTGTAATCGCAGAATGGAAATGCAGAATAGTAGGTAAGTTTAATTTATCAACCCGGGGTCTAGATCTACTGCCTACACCGTGAAATTCTATTATTTAGCGGGACCAAGTGAGTGAAGGTGAATTCAAAGTAAACATAAAGAAAGCAGTAAGTTGTTCAAGTTCTTAAGCAAGGGAAAAGTCACTCAAGATTGAGTCCCCCTAGCTCCTTAGTTAGGTCCAAGTTGTAATTTCCTTTGGTTGATTTACTGTTGATTAAACTGCGGAAGATCCGACAGTAGTTTGTAATCTCTTAAGCTGACCAAGCCCTCTTATATAGACTAACCGGCAGATGACTAGTCTTCACCGGGATAGAATGCTAAGGCAATTAACACAAAACTCCACTACTGGAATCAGATTCCCGTGCAAAGCAGTGAATTGGCTTACTCTAGTACAATCAATTCACTCCTATCGATTGAAGAAGCTCAAACAACCTAATTAGATTATATCTATCTCAGGTTGCAACAAAAATCAAAAGAAGTTGTTCAGGATTCAGTTGATTAAAACTAATCAGTATATCGATCCAAAAGTTATTACAATTCCGATACCTAACACATGGAACTAGGGTTCTTCATACCCAAGTGAGAGAAAGGTCTACTCCATAGAGAGATAGTAGAAAACAACAATCAGAGGAAGCATACTCATAATGATTTGTACGGTAAGCTCTGGGATGATAATCTTCACTCCAAGGACGAAATCCAAGCTTGATTGATGAAAACCAGCTCCAGAATTGATCATAGGGTTTGTTCTTGGAACTTTCTCTCTCTATGACTCTGTTTTTGCTTTGAAAATTTGATTCCACTCTCAAAGACCCAAATTTTGGTAAAAATCCATAAACTCACGACCACACGGTTAGGCCACACGACAGTGTGACTCTCCAAAATGCAACGTTTGATTTAGTGACTTGTACTGTGACGCACGGCCAGAACTGCACTGCCGCGTGAAAATTCGACATGCCCGTGTGTCCTCTCTGAAATCCCACACGGCCTAAGGGACACTTTGCACGGCCATTACTGCCTTGACCGTGCAAAAGGTGTTGCACGACCGTTTGAAAACATGGCCAGGCTTTGGGTTACAAGAAATTTCTCTCGAAGATAAAACTATCACCACTTTAAGTTTTAGACTCAAGAACTCTAAAGCATACTTGGAAATTTTTGGAAGAAAGAATGGATTTTTGGTGTGTTCTCCCTCATCACGTACCACCTGTATTTATAGTGTACGAATGGTTACCACTGAAAGATATTTTTCAATTAGGTTTTCGGTTGAGAGAAACTGTCAATGCCAACGTTTGGCCATGCAACACACACCATTTCATTTGAAATGTAACGTTTAACTTGATTGACTGGCCGGTGTTGGGAACCATTCATCTGCCTCCTGGGAAGAGACATGTCTCTTCAAGCAAAGTCCCCAACCGATGCCATTTTAAAAACTAAACCATTATTTCATACTAGCTTATAACTCGGCTCGTTGTTCGGAATGTTTATATTTGATTTTTATTATTTTATATTATGTTAAAGCCTATCAACCTGTTTAATTTTATTGACAATCTTTCGATCGAGATGATACATAAAGAAAGAATATATAGGTCGAAATTCAGAGAAATATCATCATCATTTAAGAATATAAAATATAAAAATGTATTATTGATCCCATTTTCATAATGATAATTAAGCTCTGTTAAAATGTTATTAGTTAGTTGATTGTTAAGAAAGATAGAGTATAAAAGCTCACTGAAATTCCCACACGACCCATCTATAGTTTGAAACTGAATCTAAAACCTCACAATCCAACATAAATGGTTCAATGCTCTCGTTTTGGGGGCAATATGCCACTAATCAAAAAGAAATTGAGTGTTGTAGGTTCAAGTCAACTATATACTAACAACTTAGCTAAGAGGGGACTATCAAAACTTGAGAGCAAACGACAAAATTGGGTTACCTCCAATATACTAATAGACTCGATCAAAGTAATAAGATGCAAAATTAGACACTCCTTATCTATCAGTTGAAGTAGGCTGAATAAAGAATCGACATACTTCATTAAATCAATAAATGATTCCTCGTTTTAAGATAGAAATATGTTGTTGTAGCTGTAGAAACCATAAACCTAAAGATCCAATAGCCACCACTCTCCATTGAACGACCAAATTTTTTTCTACTCTATCTTCAACCTCAAGAAGCATATGTTTCAACCAAACATTCACTTTCTAATCCTCCTTCTGCAACTCCAATACTGCTAATTTGATGGATCTTCTCTTTGCTACCCCCAATTTCTCTTCCAATTGGGGTTCTTGTCAACTCGCTCTTCAACTCCTCAATCCTCTTCCTGTGTTTTGCCAACTCATCTTCCTCAGGGGAAATTGTAATAAGTTCGCTAAAACCAAAACTCATCTCCAATTCCATCAATATGCTCATCTCCCCCCTTGTCCGCCTTTTCCTACTTTAGTACACTTCCATGCCCTTCAATACCCTCTCCATTTTCATTAATATCCTCTTCATCTCTCACTTCTCTCTCTTCAACTACTCCAGTTTTGCTTCTGCGTCTTTCAATACCCTCATCAATTCGATCACTACCCTCATCAACTCCCCTCTTCTCTGCCTTAACCTGATGCAGTTGATTTTTTCTTACCCCACCACTTCCATTCTCAAACTCAAGTCCAACTCTTCTACTCCAAGTTCAACACCCCCAAAATCCAAGAGTGTTGAATGAAAGCTCTATTTCTAACTAATTCTAAAACAATATCAAAATTTGATTAGTGAGTTGGACCATAAGAATAAAAATTAATGAGGAAAATTATGGTCGCGGAGAACATTAGTTATGACAAAATCAAACATGAGCGGAAATATTGTAATTGAAAAAAAACCTTTTTTCTAATTTTGATTTTATTTTATTATTTCAATAGCAAAGCAAGGAACAAAAATAGGAAAGTACAACTGCCCCTGTTCTACACAAACATCTCCTTTGCTTTCAAACAAATATAGTACTTAAACCATCATTCAAATTCATTTCCTATATTTACAAATCATTCATAAACATCAAACTTAGATAAATGGGAAAGGATATAATAGCATACCAGTTCAAGTCGATGAACCTTATATGAAGATAGAAACTCATTGAAGTTGAAACCTAATAACAGAAAGAGGAGAAATGACGCAGGAAATCCACCGAGCTTTAAACATCATAGCAAGCAATAAGATCAAAAGAAATAGATATTCTGCATGTTCTGTTCATAGGTGGGGTAATGGGCTGAGAGAGTTCCCCATTCCACAGGCTACGCATCCGGTTATGCTCCACACAATACATGATACACCGAATCCACAAGCTAGGAAGACCAATTTTGATCAGGGCGTCCCGCAAGAAATCCCACCGGAGTCTGTCATGGGCTTTCTCCAAATCGATCTTGACCACCATGTAACCCCTCTTTCCCTGCAACTTCCGCAGTGAATGAAGGACTTCCTAGATAACAAGGATATTATCTGAAGTTTGTCGCCGGGGATGAAACTTATTTGCCTAGGAGAGATCAGTTTCTTCATGATCGGCTTCATTCTGCTCGTCATTTCTTTGGTGACAACCTTCAGGATGACATTATTTAATGAGATGGGTCGTAGCTGGGTCACAAACTCTGGCTTCTCCACTTTGGGAATGAGCACTAGGGTCGACTCAGTAGCGGCTGCCGGCAATGTCCCATTCTCGAAGAAGGACAGGGCCATGTCTGTCATCGCTTTCCAAACCACTCGCCAGGTCTGCTGATAAAAGACCGCCTGTAAACCGTCCGGACCAAGAGCTTGGAATGGTTTCATGTCAAAAAAAGCTTGGTGAATATCTCTGATTGCAAAGACACGGAGCAGTTGTAGCCAATCCTCCTATTCAAGGCGAGGGAAAGCTCCTTTAGGCATCTGATCTGTATATTGCGAAGAATCCTGCAAGTAAATGTCAGAAAAAAGCAAAAAATAAGAGCACCAAGCTCTTGCTTATCTCGTAAGCACTCAATCTTTTTCCTACGACGCCTGATATTTGCAATTTGGTGAAAATAAGTAGTATTTCTTTCGCCGAACTTCATCCAACTCTCCTGAGCTCGTTGGAACCAATAAATCTCCTCCTGTTCCACGGTTTATCAAGTTCTGTTTCAAGTTTGGCGTGTAGCTTGGCCAAGGCTGGATGAAAAGAATCGGCAAGCTTACGCTCCACCCCTTCAATTCTGGCCAAAAGTCTCTTCTTTTGCTGAAAAACATTACCAAAAACCGAAGAGTTCCACAATTTTAGCTTGTCTGAATGTCCTGCAAGGCCATAGACAAATCATCATATGAGTTCCATTTCTAAACTGAAAAATCATGGAAATTTGGGTGAGTGAGCCAAGCTGCTTCAAACTTAAAACGTTTAGGAGAAGGAAAAGAACCTCCCTGACTCGGCACGGTGGTCAGAATCGGGTTGTGGTCAGAGCATATCCGGGGTAGGTGCATCACAGTAGTGTCGGGGAAGGAATCATTCCAATCAAGATTGTAGAGACTTCTATCGATCCTGCTAGCCTTGAAACTCTGAGTTTGGTTGCCTCAAGACCAAGTGTAATTTGGACCCGAGTAGCCTAGATCCACTAACTCAGCCTCGTTGAGCAACTCCCCAAAGCGTTTGCAGCGTCTGAGAATTCTTAGAGAGGTCGGCCGCCCAGATTGCTCTGACAGGGACAAAATGGCGTTGAAATCTCCCGTTAACAGCCTGTGATGTCTCGATTTTGGATTTAGGTTCAACATCAACTACCAGGAGAATTGGATCAACATGACAAGCCAAATTAGCATTTTGTTTCACCACGTATGGATCAAGCTGAGTAGTAAAAGGGCAGTGAGGCACTCATGGTTACACGAGTGCTACAAGCTAAGGAAACTTATTTGAGCAAAGGGTACCAACGAAGTTGTTATGGTAAGAGTAAATGATCTTGCAAAGGAAGTATACGAAGGGTATTGATAGAAGGATGATTTCCGAGCAAATTTCGGGGACGAAATTTTTATAAGGGTGGAGGAAATGTTACACCCCATTCTTTCCTTAAGCCAAAATGACCATTATGCCCTTGTTAAATTTTTCAAATTTCACCGTAATATTAGTGAGGACTAAAAGTGTGAACTATTTTGGTTCAAACGATGTCGAGTTTCGATATAAAATGAGGAAGTTACGGATGTTAACTGAGTTTCGGATTAAACTGACCCGTAATTTTAAAATTCCTAAAATAACCCTATGCAATTAAACCCTACCTCTCAATCGGCCTCGCCTAGACCACATATATACAGCCTTAAACTAATAAAGCCCTCAAGTTTAATTCCCCATCCGCTCTGGCCAAGCTGCACTGCGTAGAAAACGTTGTCCGCTCGCACCAAAAGCAGCGGTGATGATTGGGAGAAGCAACCGCCACCGAGTCACAATTCAATAGGAGGAGATGAGCCCTCAATTGTGAGGAAAAGAGAATTGAGATCGCTGGCTTTGATCAAAAGAGAGATGGGATGCCGAGGTATTGTACGTGACTTCCCGATCAAGGCGGGGTGAGAGGTCCCTTGGGAGCATGGTCATCGATCGCCGGGACAGATCGGACAATTGCATCGACCCCAACATAAGGCAGCTCTGCAGGAGAGGTTTGACAACTACCATGAAGTGCCTTTCATTCCTTTAAATACGCACAAAGATGGACAAGGTTTAAGAAAGGGAGATCGCCGTAGTTGATGATGGTGTTTTATTGTGCACGTGGAAAGAAGAAGTGAACATGAGATTCATGCATGGATATGGTTCGTGTGATGGAGCAAGGAAGGGTGAGATTACGTGGGCATCTAATAAAGTAATAGTCCACATGTTATTGATTGAAGGGCGGATCCATTAGTAAACGAGGCTTTGTTGGTGGTTTTTATTCCATGCATGATGAACGAACTGGAGGGTTATGCATGAAGAATTGGAGGAGCTATATGGTTTGTTCTGCTGCGTGGTTGTTGAGCTGGCATAGAAGAATGAGGAGGGGGCCAAGGTTCATTAGCTTCACGTCGAGATTGGTGCATGCTTACCCTATTCGTAATGGCGACTTAATCGATGAGGTGAGTGTAAAGGGGTAAAATCTCTGTCGAGCTCTTTTAGTTTATGCTTTTCATTTCAAGTTATTATTTAGTAAATTTTTGAGTTATTTGCGATTATGTGTGTGAGGCATCCCACCGCCTATTTAAGGTGGAAGAACGCATTGTGCTTTGTATGTTTGTAAGGAAATTCTAAAGATAAGATAGTAGTAGAGCCTATTATAGATTGTTTGATAACAAAGTATAAAGGATGAAAGCGAGAACGGCTTTTATCTAAGTCAAGAACCCGAATAATGTGTTTAGTAAGGAGGTTCTTAGGGCAAAGACCTTAGGAAGTAACGACCAGACGGACCCCTTCTCACTCACCAGATCGCGGAAGGGTTAGCAGAGGAGGATTACGAGAAGAGGCGAGGCGGGAGACCGCTCCAGAGTGGACGAGATCGTGGGGAGCGCAGCGAGGAGTTAGAGCTAGAGCTAGTTTCTTTATCTTTGTTCATGGTCATGAGTATATAAACTGGACATTCGATGTTTCGAGTTTGGGTGGTTTTGTTTACTATGGATTTGGGTCGCCCGACTGCTTAGGGCATTTTGTTTGAATTTCTTGCAGAAAATACTTTGATTTATTTGTTTTATTGAGATTTTTGGACACTATTTCGGTCGGCTCCGGAGCCACGGTTGTTTTGGTTTGTTTAAAAGTAACGGGATGTCACACAACCAAGGGCCGCTGATGACTTTGCTTTGCTCGATCAGGTTACTTCACAAGAGTCGTTGAAGTTTTTGGCATGGTGAAGCGTATACTGCCATCAGCTTACAGACACCCAAATTGCTCATGGTAATAGAGAGAGTTAGATATTTCAGTCCAGCTGAATCAATATGAACTAAGAACTTTTGGGCATCCCAGAACATCCATATTCCTCCACTCCACCCGTTCGCCTCAACACAGATGACATTCGGATACCACAGCTTCTCGCACACTTATCGGCCACATCTCCGCTTATCTGCGGTTCTAAAAGAAACATAATGTCGGGCTTATGGAGCTGGAGTGCAAGCTTTAGAGAACGGGAAAAAGCTAGCTGCCAGCTCCACTTGTGTTCCATGAAAGAATTAAAAGAAGGGAGATGGGAGATGAGAAGAAAGCAGATAGGAAACGAATTAGGAGAGGGGAGGGGCAACTCCCTTTGTTCTTGTCTCTTCTGAAATTAGTTCCTCCGCTAGAATTGCAGCTTCCGTGTCAACCGCCACTCTTCCTTGGATTTCGACAGCTCAGTCCAAGCTTGAATTTGTTGGAGAGTTAGAGCGACCCGTCGATCCTTGTTCCTTCCCTTTTTCTCTTTCACCGGCGACTAAATCTGTAATCGTTTCATCAGATTGTGGCGAATTGGCGTTCCTTTTTTGGTGGCCGGAGTTTGTTTGCTAGGAGCATCGTTCTCCTCCTTCCTCTTCTTAGTTTGTGAAACCGCTGACGGGGCATCCGAGTCAATGAATCGGGGCGGCGGGGGATTATAGGGCTTCACTTCCACAATTTGGATGCTAGTTCCATTGGCCCTTTTGACTATCTGAGTAGGTAAACCAATTTGAGTATCAATTCCTTCTCCACTAACGTCAGAAACGTGTTGCTGGGGTCGAGACAAAGAGGCCTCTGCCTGTTTGGGGTTGGATTTGGGCTTTCTAGGGGAGCTCAAGTTAGTCTGTGGCCGTGACCCAAGGATGCCATCACCTGCATTGGTGTTTGACCCAACAACTTTCTCCTTTCCTTTATTTCCTCCCTTGGCATATCCTTCTAAACCTCCTGTATTTTTTTCCACAGATAGGGTCCGTTGCCGTTGCTAGTTCGTCGAGGATTTTTGCAAAGAAAATTGCCCCAGGCTCTAACTAACTTTCCTTTCTTCGATTGGCACGGGACCGTCGTTGATTAGAGAGTCTTTCTCCATCTTTCCCTGTTTGGCCGATTCCTTATGATTCCGCCGTAATTTCGGCGACACCAACATCCACGGCCCGTAGCCGGAGTTAGCTTCCGACGACTCTTCTCCGGCGAAAATCATCGGTGGTTGTTGTACCTCCGATGCCTCATCCTCTTTCTGTTCCCGGTTGAGGAGAGGGCAAGAAATTCTGGTATGTCCCACTTTGTCGTACTTAAAAAAAAACGACTGGCAAATTCTCGTACTCCACCTTCTTCCATCGACCATTCAATCGCATTCTTGGAACCAGAGGCTTGGATAGATCCACCTCCACCGCCATTCTAGCGAATTTGGCTCTCTGTTGATGCTGCGTGTGGTAGTCAAGCTTAATTGACCGTCCAATCATGGTCCTTGCGTGAAGAGCAGTTCCTTATGGTAGAAATGCACAGGAAGTGGAAGGCCCGGGAACTGAATCAACACCACCATGGAATTTGGTAAGCTATCTAATACTCTGAACCCCGACGTCCATTGATAGACTAGAAGATAATGATAAAAAATCACCCAAGGGCCCTCGGTCAGAGCCTTGAAAAAATCCTCATCGTTTCCAAGTTTGACCAAGAAACAATCATCATCCAGTGCAAAAACTTCCAGCGCGCTAGTAGGACGACAGAAGGCTCTGATTCTGTTACATAGAATTGAGTATCCAATAGTTCTCACCAGTAATCGCACAACCAAGGTTCGCTGCCAAGGAGCACTAAGCCTTGATCTGAATTTATCTGAAATTTTCAGTTCCGACTCCCCCTGGATTGAACCTTGTATAAGGTCGTGTTCACCCACTGGAATCCATTCTGAGATAGGGGGCTTTGGGAGCTGGGTTCCCCCTGTCACGGCCACGACATAAGAGGTCGTCCGCTGTGGTAGAGATCCAGATACAGGCATAGTAGCAGTCATTGTTTCTGTAGCAATCTGAGTCTCCCCTGGAATGACGATCGGCCCAGAACCTGTCTCTTTAGTCATCAGTGCCAGTGGGTTTGAACAAGCCTGCGTTGTGTCCAGTTGCATATCCGTGTGTGTTTCCATAGCTAGGCTCCGATTAGCAGTCTCTTGTTCAGACGAGAGCGAGAGTCCCGCTTAATGGTTGTAGTTTGTCCCGCTTATTATTGATATACTTCATCATTATTAACGATTCAATATACTTATAAATACTTTATATAAATACTTTATGATTACATTATTAATGATTTTATTTCATTTGCTAACAATTTACATTTTTGCCCACAACGCCTATGAAGGAACTATTAAAATTATACCATATCATCATTAACTGTTTGAATAACATTATCCTGGATTTACAACAGCGGCGGATCCAGAACTTAGTAAAGCACTGGGCCGCATTTGAATAGAAAATTAGATACCGTAAACAAAAAATAAATAATGACTATACGTTTCACTACATTGTCAATTGTACATGATAGTCTTTTAATTTAGCGAATTCATCAAATCATGAAGTCTTCATCCATACCAATAACATACTCTCTCACAAAGGAAATAGTTAAGCAATCAGCGAGAAATTCATCGCACATTTTGTTGCGTAAATAAGTTTTCACATGGTTTATTGCAGAAAATGTTATCTCCATAGTAGCCGTTGAAACGAGCTGGGTCAACATTAGACAAATTAACCGACAAATTAATTAGTATTGTGTATCCATCTTTGTTTCCACTAGCTTCTCTAGTAATTTTGCAAGGAAACAAACTTCATATTCATAACTATGAACCACATGAGCGGCATACTATCACAGATCATTCTTCAAAGAATGCATCTAATAGCCTTCAAAATCTAGAGGGTAAACTCTTGACCAAGTTTGTAAATATTTCATCAAAAGGCCAGAAAGAACTTTTAGGATCTAGTGCACCACTCAACTCAAGCAATTTAAATGGTGACTAAACAAGTTTGTAAATATGTTTTCATCAACAGACAGGAAAGAAATCAGGGTCCGGCGAACTAGCGGAGGAATTTGTTTTGGGTTGGTTCTTCTGCTCGTTCTAATATGTATTTTGGGTAACTGGGAAATGTTTTTGAGTTCTGACAGATACGTGTGAGATTAAGGTTTTTTTTTTTAATTTCAATCAAACTTTACACTTTTAGTCTTTTACGTGTAAGGCTTTTAGGTTTCAATATTTTTTTTTTATTCTTTTCAAATAAAATTTATTGGGGCTTAAATTTTTAGTCTAAATTTAGAATATTGGTTTGGATATATTCATCTAGACCATTTTTCAAGTTACACAAGATCATATTATCAAATAACATTGGATTGACTTTTAAATATTATTGGGTCGAACATCTAAAATCGAAAACTTCATGCGTACTATACTAGCTCTGGATCGGAGGAGGGCTGGGCTACACGCCACTATTTTAAAATATATTTATTAACGATTCACGTTTATACGTCATGTTCATAACTAGTCAATCATGGAATTTTACAAGGACTTCCACGGACATTATTAATATTTTGAGATCAATTGATATTGTTTTACACTATATTTCTCAGTGATCATAAAGCACAATGATTATTTTCAACATCTTCGACACTTGTGACATACTGCACCTGTGATTCAGTTAAAAACAACGTTAATTGATGGTGGTGCAAAATATAAGTCAAGCAAACCAATATTCACGATCCATAACCAAACCGTTAATATCGGTACAACAAATCATTGATAATAAAATTGCATTTTATTGAAAACAAGCAGACATTAATAATATTCGGACTTAATGGTACGTATCAAATATCATCCAAGACTTTCATATGATTGTGGTATTTCGTTCAGAAGTATAAAAAAAAAATGTTAACATAAAATGACCTCTAACCGTTAATAATGAAAATTATTAATCTAATTTGTGTTTCATTGAAAATGCAAGGAAAATCACTAATAATGATGAAATTCTATTGTTAATAACAATACAATGTGTTATTAATAACTCTTTACAAATTATTACCGATGTAAGGTAACGTTATCAACGTTTATGCGATGTATCATTAATAGTATGCAATATCGATGTATCATTAATAGAAAGCAAAACCAACAAGAAAACAAACTAGAGAAAAACAAAGCAAAACCTAAGCTGCAGAAAATGTCATGATATAGAAAGCTACTAGATACTAAGTGGTGAACGGCTTACCAATAATAGCACAATGACAATACCCTCTGGAAGTCCATATCAACAAGTCTACATAGATTGCACAGCTAATTACAGGATGAGACAATCATTGAGCAGTGAGTTGTTAAAAGGATGATAATGAGAAAAGCATACACAGGCAGACATTTATATGCAATAACAAGTGTAAGAACAGGAAGAAGAAAGGAACTTACGGTAGTTGGCAGCAGGAGTAAAGGCATACAAAGGATTACGATCCAGTAAGAAAGGGTCTGTATGCGACAAGATCTCACAGTCATAGCTTGATTTGCGAGGGGTACCAATATCATTGTCAGCGTCCATGGCAGCAACATCAGAGTTCTGCTGCTGGCCTTCCCACAACTTAAACTTGCAGGCCAAGAGGTGCTCAGCTATACTAGAACCTTCTAACCACAGAAAGAGACAGAACGAGTTATCATCATCAGGCCACAAAGGCATCACCCACCCCGCACCTCTAATATACTTATTTATCAGTCAGAAGTTTTTCTAGCGTTGGCAGAGCTGTGACAATCCTTTTGAGATGCTCACGATGATCTAGTTTTCCATGGCAAGTCTTCTTACTCAAATCCGCCAAACTCGTAACCCCAATGAAGAGCGTTAACTCGGAATCAGATCTATCAACATGCGCTACAAACAATTTGTCCCTGGAAATATCATTCAAAGATCTCCAGAATCCATCAAGGGGCTGTAGAAAAGGACATTGTGCACGTGCTTCTACTTCGGACCACTTATGGGTCTTCATGTCGAAACAGAACAGACGTTGCTCAAAATTCCATTCGCCAGCAATAATCTGGATATAGAGAAGGTTCCCTACCACAGCATGAGCCTTGGAATTAGGAGTACCACCGTAAACAGTTCCATAGGTGTCGTCCCAAGGGGTAGATATAGCTTTACATTGATACAGGCCTCCGTTGTCTTCCGATGGGAGATCCAAAAGCTCACAATACGGAACCTTTACGGGTAGATCTTGACCATCTCCACATCGAAAACGACCAGTTGCGATGATTAAAATCTGCTTTGTTTCCGGGAAAGGAATAACAATAGGACATATCTTAGGTCCATTCAGCTGACCTGCCTTACAAAATTCGTACGGATAGCTCTTGTCGTTGAGATCACAGACAAAGAAATCTACAGATTCAGGTTCCGATTCCATCTTAGGGAAATTACCAAAACCATACAGTTTCAAATCTACCAATGCGAAACTCATACCTATACCCATGCTTTCGTGCAAGGTCGCGACCCTTCTATCGATTAGACACTCCTCGATATTCATCAGATCCACCGTCACTTCTTCAGTACTTATCGAAGAGAACACCATCCCAAAATCCCACCAATGCTCCTGCTTCGGTTTCCGCCTGATCGCCAACTTGTACCTCGATGGAGCATCATCACCTACATCGTCAGTAGCTGAGTACACCTCGTCTATACGACTCCGCTTAAACTCAGGGAACCGAACTGTCGATCCTTCTTCCTTGGTGTGGACGCATACCAAAGAATCCACAGACATCCTAACCCAAACTCTAGACCCTAGCAGCAACTACAACAGCAGAATATTGAGTTCGTCCGCGAGGGCCGCTGGTTTTCGAGAATTTTCGGTCTGGATCTGTTCTTCAGATCTGTGACCTAACCCTACCCTAGGCGGCAAGCGACGCAATTTGTTTTATTGTAACATTGATGGATTCATGGATGTAGTTGGACTTAGATTGGGCCTCTGTTTTCAGCGGGCTTGGCCTTCAATCATTAATTCAAAAGCCTTCTCTTACATGGATTTACTCCGCTCTTGCATTTTTTTTCTTCGAAAGGACGATATTTACGTGCAAACTAGTTTGTAGGAGAAGCCTGAAGCCTATCCGCTCGGCAACATATGATTGGTTGGCTTATCAATTTTTCCTCTTTATTAAATTGTACTATTAGAGCATCTCTATCGGTTTGACTGTCCCCACTTTCATTCCTACGTGCCCAAGTTTGCAATTTCATTTGTCCATTGCACCCATATGAGTGGCAATTGCAAAAATGGAAACTTTCATCTAGTGAAAGTGGGATTGCAATCCACGGTGGAATTTGTGCTATAATTTTTTCTTCTTGTTTTGATTTCAATGACCACTTTTGGCTGCATGTGCCATAGATTTAATTCTTATTGGAATTTTTTTGTATAATTTCCATGGACCATGAGTTAAATTAGTATTATTTTAATTTTTGTATCAATGGGAGTAAATAGCATCATATACTAATTTTATTAATTATAATAAAATATAAATAATAATATAAATGTAAAATTAAATTTTTATTAATTTAATTTCATATCTACAAATATCAAAATTATTATTTTATTTACTTGCAATGTGGATAAAAAGGTATTTAATTTTTTTTTTTAATGCATTAAAAAAATTTAGGCCTCATATGCAATTGCAAGTTAATTGCACCAATGTAGGTACAATGAAAGTAAAGTGAGTTGGCTTGCAAAAATTGTGTTGTGTCAAAAAAATCACAAATGCAATTGCACCAATGGAGATGCTCTTAAAAGCCTAACGAAAGTTTCACTCAATTAGAAACACTAACGGCGAAATAAAAAAGTAACAGAAACATAATTAAAATAAAAACCTGCTATGTCTTACAACCATATTCCTATTTGGGAATTTAACTGTGCTCTTACATTTACTTCATCAATTATGCTGACTATGCTTCGCATTATTTTAAAATTTTAGTATCTTTACCACGATGCACCACGATTTTTTATATTCTAAAGTGTACTTGCAAATACATTTGTTGCATATGTTGTTAATCGAAATATTTTTTTATTTATACAACTAAACATTCATTCATAATACTATCCTAATCTCTTATGGATAAACCTCAGTCTCCTACTTCTCTTTTTTTTTTTGGTGGAAAGTCTCCTACTTCTCTAAACTCAAACTATGAAATTCATTTGAGCTAAAAAATAATAATATATTTTTTTGATTCGTCAAAGACTCAAAATATATCAAAGTATATCTAATAGGTGTGAAAGAATACGTACATATATTATACATAAGAAGTACGCTAGAAATATATATATATATATATAGAGTTCAGGCAGTTGTAGAGTATAGGATTCTCGGAATACTCATAGTAAGACATCTATATTGGAAGTGCTTTAGATTGTTATCATCTATATTTTCTCTTAAAAAAGAGTTGACCGTGTAGATAATGAAACTTATTTGAAATTTAGTCGGTAGTAATATTTTAAATTTTTATTACAATGTGTTACATGAGAGCACATCGTTGTTGTTAACGAAAAATAAAATTTGTATCAAGGAGTTTGTTTTCATCTTATACGAACTTTATTGGTCAAATATTGATTACAATTTTTAATGCTAATAAGTCACCCTTTAATTAAACATATGCCCTGGCTTACATTAATTAGCATTTCTTGTCTATGAATAACTAGCATTTTACTCGGTTCGTTGGCCGGACAGATTTATTTTATAATTTATATTAATTAACTTAAATATATGTTTAAATTATTTTGGATCTTCTAAATATTTTGTGATTCATAACAGAGTTTGTCATATGTTTATATTGAAAATTTTCAATGTTTAGCACACTCACTTGTGATGCTTCGGTTTTCTAATAAATTATTATGTCGCTGTCACGTCCCATTAAGATCTTATGTCAAAATTTGTCAATCAAAACACTAATATTTAGCGTACGCCAACCAGAACACCTCCCACCCCCACCCCCACACACATGTAGTTCAAGCTAGCGTGCGGTAGGAGTACGCTATACTCAAGTTTTTTGGGCATTATACTATACCCTAACCTATAATAGCTGAACTCCAGACCCTAATTCTCTAACCTATAATTTATAAACATACTTCGTCATACCTATCTTCTATTGTATCTTGAGTAAATCAAAAGTATAGTATACCTTGATATTATATATGTGTGTGTATATAGTATACTCAAAATTATCCAGATACTTCGTCGGACCTATCTTATCTCGCCTATTACTCATATTAAAAGTGCTACTTGCTTATCCCCCAGCCCCGGGTTAGAGATCCCGTTTTTACCCCCATAATGTCAGACAACCATTGGGGTTGTCTATCGTTCGATATGTAATATATAAAGAGGCAAATCCTAAGATCCTGCTATTTATTTCATATCCCCTCCCGCCGCTCCCTTTATGGAGAATAAAAGGGTAGGGATGACAGGATCATAGCTCGATATGGTTTTATTCTATTCATCATATCGGAGATTTTGTTCTTTTTTGCTTTTTTGGGCTTCTTTTCATTCTTCATTGGCACCTATGGTTGTGATCAGAGGTAATTAGCCCTCGAAAGGGATTGAGATTTTAGGTTCCTTGGAAATTTAATACACATTCATCATCCTCGAGTTCGGACGAACTCTCGACAAATGTTGTAAAGATTAGGACTTTTTAGTGAGAAATTCTTAGTAAAGATACTTCATTATTGGATCAATTTATTCATCCATATTGAAACTTGACATACACCGTAGCCCTCATGATGATTAAATTCTCTAATCTCAACTCATTTCCATTTTGGATATTAGTTTTTTTTATCAAGACACTTAAATTTAGTATATTATACTATATGTATCAATTGTTAATTTTTAAAGTTTAGACTAAACCTCAACCCGTGATCATTGTTTATATGTTGGCTTAGAATCTCAATCTAAGACACTCACACACACTCTATCGAGGATTTTGGTCCAAACATGGTTGTTGAATGTGTAGTTTTCAAAGATTTTATCACTTATATATTAATAGTTGATAAAGAGTGTCTACAATACACACATATTTCAAGTGCATTTAAAATGTCTTATCATTTGAACAATATCGGTTGATTTCATTTGATTATTTGTATTAACTTATTATCTTATACAACATATATCAATTCGTGATTCTCGAGTTTCGATGAACTGGCAACCAATTTTGAGAGTTGAGATTATTGGATAAAGATACTTGATTGCTAGATAAATATGTTTATCGTAGATTCTAACAAATATATCTCTAACCTTCACATATGTTATTTTTCAAGGAATCTTGTGTCTCATCCTAGGGTATGAAGTCAAAGTTCGTCAATAATCGGACTTTTGTCATTTTGAAAATTTTGATTTATAATCGTCGAAGATATATAACTCCAAGTCTGAAAGAAAATTTCTTAGCATACCCCCTAGGTTCTTAATAGAGCTTGCTAAATCAACATAATATAGAGCAAATATTATTAATGTGAACTTATGAGATATTATAAAATTATTGCACAAGTGATTCCTCTTCATTTGAAGAGTTTAAGGTAGAACATGATCTGAATGAATAAGAAGTTTTTTTTTTAATAAATAACTATTACTACTCGATCAAGATTATACTCTAACATTTTGCTAAATAATACTTGTTTTATTTTATAGACATATATTTTACGAATAAGAGAGTGTTTCGTTGCAATAAAATATAAAGTAATATAGTTTATTTTTCAATGGTAATTGAATGTCAAATGTTTATTTTCTCTTTTTTACATATATTCTATTTAATCGATAAAATATTATTATTTATGGGGAGCGGATATGGTGATTACTATTTTGTAGTAATCACCATGGTTACTAAGGGCAAATTGGGTATGAGGAAAAAATTATATTAATTAAATTTTTTTAAAAATTACATTTTAGAAAGTTACAAAATCTATTAATTACGATTCTCTGTCTCTTTCTTTCACTTGCGCAATCTCTAGCCAGATCTACCTTCTTTATTTTTCTCAATCTTTCTGCAAAATAAAAAAATCGCTACCAATCCATTCGACAACCACTAGCACTTCAAAAAATACCAGTACCATTATAGAAAAAAATCAATACTAAATCATAAAAACGCTATCACTACCACAACATATACCACTTATTAACCAATATTATTGCAGATTTAACTAATACCAATACATAAACAACCACTCAAGATACAATATGGAGAATTAAAGGTTATTTTTGTATTTTCCCTTGTTTTCTTAATCGACTCATATCTTTTTCGTTTTAACTCAGATTTCAATATTTTTTGCACAGATGGAACGAGCTAAATGTGCTCTACAAAACGAGATCTATTTTCAATATTTTTTTAGAACAAAAAATTCTTGCCTCTCGTTACCAACTGCATACCATATGGTATCTTCTTCATTTTTAATTCGTTTTTGAAAATTCTTGCACAGAAGGAACGAGTTCATCATGATCTATTGGATCTACAAATTTCTAGATGAACAAAAATATAGGACCAAAAAATACCACTCAATAGCACCCTAGTACGGGGGTGGTATCTTGTGATACACAATGTTAAAAGTCGTAAATGACAGTTAATATACTTCTACTATCATGTATTCAACCATCCTATAGTCTTGGTTTGTTCATAACACCATGATACGTTTTTCAAAGCATAGGTATGCGCTTATTTCAATACCAGTCAATACCATATGGTATAGACTGGTAAAAAATGGCTCAACTTTTTTTTGTTCCAAAAATATATCAAAGTGGAAATCATTTTGAAGAGCAAAATTAATCTGGTCTAATTGTGAAAAAAATTAAATTTCGACTTAAAACGAGTGAGAAATCGTCCGTTAAAGATTATAAGGGAAAATTAAAAGTTTTTCAGGAGAGAGAAGGGGCCCAAATATGACGGATGGTAATTGGGTTATGGATGATTATTGACAAAAAGGTTATTGACGGGATCTACTCCGTTGTCACCCCTCATTTAGATTGTTATCAACTTATCATCTATATTTTCTCTTAAAAAAGAGTTGACCGTGTAGATAATGAAACATATTTTAAATTTAGTTGGTAGTAATATTTTAAATTTTTATTACAATGTGTACATGAGAGCACATCATAATATTGTTGTTAATGAAAAATAAAATTTGTGTTAAGGAGTTTGTTTTCATGTTATACGAACTTTATTGGTGAAATATTGATTACGATTTTTAATGCTAAAATATTGCTAATAAGTCACCTTTTAATTAAAATGTAAACATATGCCCTGGCTTACATTAATTAGCATTTCTTGTCTATGAATAATTATTATATTTTTTCGCTCCAGGTTAAAGGTTAGGTATTTGAAAATAGAGTTTAAACATTCCATCCCACGTGCCCTTTGGACGCCGGCGTGTTAGATGCGTTGGGAATCATACGGCAACGATATGGATCTACTATCGGAACTCGCCAACGATCAAACTCTTCTAGTGGTCCAAAAAAAGAAGGAAGAAAAGGAATCCTACCGCCGGCGATGGGAACCTTCTTTGTCGCTATAAAAACGTCATGCAGATGCTTTCATCAATGGAAAATCAGATAATATCAACTAACCACCACCACCACCAATATCCATATTCATATTCTCGTTCGGTATGGCGGGTTGCTACATTATCTTCTCCAAACCGTTGCTGATGGTGGCGCTGCTCGTTGTGGGACACTTGGGCGGCGGATCAAGCCATGACTATTGCGGCAAAATTCGGCCAAAGGATGACAAACATTTCCCTGTGTACGTTGATGATGTCCTTCAGGATCTTGTTGTGCAGACGCCGCAGCAAAACGCAGACGCCAATAGCGGCGAGACCACGTACATCTCAATAAGGCCGGCAGGTAGCGCTGCAGGCAGCCAGGCGGCCAACGGTACAGCGACTTGTTACAGAGGCTACATCGGAAATAAGTGCGGGACTTGTCTTGCCAAAGTGCAAGGGTATATTAGTCCATGCAGGAAATTTACAACCGGCTACGCTTACTACTACAACAAGTGCTCCATAGGTTTCTCGCAACTCTAAATTAAATCAGCGTGGCTGCTTATTGGAATAATTCAGCTGATCTCCTATGGACAGATCGAATCTGCTTTTTACTGTATTTCTCAGTTAATTAATTACAAGTTAAGTTTGCACTTTGCTTTCCTCTTGAATTCAATAAAACTTCACTTTTGTATTAACTACTAGCTAGCTAGCTAGGACGTTTTAGCTAATAGTTAGGTCTGCTCCAGTAACTAAATCCCTGCCCTTTAGGTAGGTGGGTAGTTTCACTTAAATCTCTGCCTCGTATATTGATCATTAACATTTAAATTTGGAAGAATCGGCATCACTACATTTTCACTAACTAACAAATCAATCATTTCATTACTCTTCTTTTGTTTTAAGTGCAAATTAATCGTCTGCCTGTACCATAGGGCACTCAAATTCTATATGAAGAAAATCATGAGCACTTTTACTATACTTTAATTGTATCATAAAGGAATTTTACAAAAAAGTATAGGTAGAACTTAAAGTCGTACCTTAACGTTAAAGGTACAACTTCATTGATCGAATTTTTTGATCAAAATTCTGGTGCCGGCGGAGACCAACCCTTCGTCGGTGGATACTAAGAGAAACCGTTTGTACACCTGGAAGGGGAAGGGTCGTTTCACTTTACCTGGCAACTCATTCAAAGCAGCCAAAATTACTACCTAGTGCGACGGGCGGAGTTCTGGGAGCGTCCCCTCGGCTTCTGTTTCGGATCCCATGCAATCTTCAACGTCCACTTTTAGGGTTTCTGCTCATAAACAATGGGTACAGAAGAAGGACCAATTTGGAATAAAAGCTCACGGAGTCATAATGGGCCTGAGGCCCGCGGTATAAGTAAGGCTGGATTTGATAGACCTTAAAGTTGTACCTTTAAGTTAAAGGTACAACTTCAAATTGTACCATAAACACAAAAATTAAAGCACCACTGCTTTAAAGCATTGTAAATTTCTCCGAAAATCATGTGTTTTTAAAGACAAACTTAATCAACGACAACCATGCTCGACTCAAACCCTGCCAACAGACCCACGCAACGCAGCCTGCATTGATCATCATGTTTTGAAATGGGATTTATTGGGGATGTTAAATCCTATCAAATGAGGGGTTATTAGTTATCACGTTACTATTTTACCAATACCATGTGTCCCTAGAACAAAGGCTCTCTGTCTACTTCATGTAAAGTTTACTAGGAATGGCAATGAGACGAGTTTCTCTAAACCATCTCATTCTTACCTTCATTTCTGAATAGCCAAATCCATACCCACCAAATATCTATACGTGGAGGTTTTGCAACCCCTCCTTCACAACCATAGTTTTATGTACCCGTTCATGGGTAATACCCATCATGTATATCAAATATACATATTACTGTACCTAGAATTAAACGTGTAGATCATCAATTATAACACTAAATAAACCTAATAAATCTTAAAAGAAACAAAGATACAATGATTTTTAATAAGAATTCGAAAAACTAATCCTAAAACATCCATGGATTCATATGACAAAGCAAAGGTAGCAAAGATGAGATTTTTTATGTACTAAAGATGGAAAGAGGGTGCAAATTGAAGTACAGAACATCTGAGTTTTTAAATATTGAAGGGTGAATTGCATGAAAGATATTATAGTTCTGTTTGGATTGCCACTCAATTACATTTAAGTTCTTTATGCGTTAATTATTCTTCCTATTATTGACAGGTTACAATATAAATACAACTACTTATAAAACAACGAAATAAAAAGCTTTGATTGAGATGGGAAGAGGGTGTTGAAATAGAAAGCAAATTCCAAGTTAATTTGGCACTACTACCAATTGACGAAAGGAAGAGAAACTCTTCTACCTAAACTTTTGTTTTCTCATTTGAAAAAACAATGTAAGGTTTTGTTAATTTGTCGTTAGTGACCCAACAAAGTGATTAACACAAACAATATAAATCTTTAATATTTGTGATGAGTGATTGTAGGTAATGGTGAGCAATGAGCGGATTTTGCGTGGCTTTGATTGGACAATCATCCACTATTTAATGGATGATATCGGAAATTATCCACGCCGCGAATGTGGTGGGTCGACAAGATATCTTTGAAAAGCTCACATAATGAAGCAGAAATGAAATTTCCAAATTAAACATGCACGGAAAATTGAGTTTGGAATTTATAGGACTTGGATTGATATGAAGAAGGAATGGTAGAGGAAAATGATTTGAAGGAATTGAAAACATAAGGTTTCCGACTATGGTAATTATAATGATTCATGAATAACCACGAGAAGATAAACATTCAAAATCAGGAAGCAATTATAAGTAAAGATATTTGACAGATTTTTCCATCAAAATTGGAAGAAGTTGGTTATGATCACTTTGTCGATTTCGTTTCGATAAATGATAGCAAGAGCCACAAGATATAAAGATTTTGGGTTTAATGCGTTGGCGAGATCTTGGATCAACCATAGTCCACACCCAAGTCACATCCACCTACTGTTTAACGAATCACCTTTTTTGAAACCCAATGAAAAACCATCCACAACCTAATGATAGGTGGATGTTGGTGGATTTCTGGGTAACTATATAATGAGAACTTAATTGAGTAAAACATAATTTTAGGAGAATCGAATAGTGTAGAAAAGGGTTAATAGCATTTTTTACTCCTCTATTTTTGCAAATTAACAAACGTACTCCTCTATTATTTTTTTTGCATGAGCGTACCCTTCTATAGGGGTGGCAACGGGGCGGATCGGGGCCGGGTACCCTGGATCCGTTGCCCACCCACCATGGGCCTCGGGTATCCCCGTCCCTGGCCCAAACGGACTTGTGGGCCTGGTTGGATAACCATCTCCGTCCCCAATGGGTAATCGGGTGCCCGCGGGTCTATTATACCCGCTACAAACCATGAAAAGAAAATTGAAAATGAAAAAAAAAATCTGGAAAACTGGACACTTTATTCATACTGACTGATTTGTTAAAAAGACTTGAAATAAACAACTGAAAGCTTGCCAAGCAGCTCAGCAACAACAACCAAAAACAACATCTGTTTCGTGTTTGTGATAGAAATGATCAAATCAAATGAACCAAACAACCAAAAAGTATCAGCTGACTCTAAATTCTAAATGTCTAATTCTTATCCAAAAACAGTAGAATGAAATAGGTTCAAGCAACAGCAACGCAGCAACATTCCATCTAGGTTCCAGCAACATCGAATCATTGAGCAATCATCCACCCGACCACCCCTGACCCTCATTCCAATCGATGTAAACCAGCAGACTAGCAGACATCAATTGAAACTGTGTAAAGAACACACAAGAGGAATGAATCAGTTAGTAAAGACTAAATGAATAATGCATCAACGACAACAAATAAAGAAGACATTTACCTTGGTCCCACAGCAGTTTACCAATCAGTCTTCATGGGCAAATGGTGATCTCATTAAGGTGAGTTTTGGACCTGAAAAAGCGAAACAATGCAAATGTATGTATTCCTCAATGAAGTAATAGAAATTAGAACACACTATGGAAAAATGATCTATTAATCTTACCACCAGGTTCTACCTCTTCCATAGTTGTATCTTCGACTGTCATTGTTGAGAAGAGTCCATCCAATGCCTCCACAGCAGCCTCCGAATCTGCAAATAACCAGTTGAATGAGTTCATACTATTGTTAAAACGTAAACCAATAAACTTGAGAGTTTTAGTTGCATTTTACCTCGTTGCATGTCTTCCATTATCCAACTCCTAGTACACATCATTGCCTCCACAGTCGAATAATGCAGCCTGCTCCGGTGAGGGTCTAACAACCTCCCACCAGAACTAAATGCACTCTCAGAAGGCACAAAAGTGATAGGGATTGCCAGAAAGTCCCTTGCAATTGATTGCAAGGTCGGATACTTCAAACCATTCAATTTCCACCACAAGAGCAGATCAAACTCTGTTGTGCGAGGAATGATATCCTCAGCAAGATACATATCCAACTCAGTTGTAATCAAGGAAGTCTTACTCTTTTTCCTATGACTTACAAAGAGTTCAAAGTCAAGTTCAGTGGTAGAGGCATATCCAGAACCAGAAGAAGAAGTTCCAGTTTCAGAACCAGATTTGTTCTCAACTTTGATAATCACGAATCAAACCACATATCATTTGCTTGATATTCTCAGCAACCAAACCAGTTTCTGTATTCCCAAACTTTCCAGCATAGTATTCAATCACATGGAGTTTATATCTAGGATCCAAAACAACCGATACAGCAAGCACAAGATGGATATCATCCCAGTACTTATCAAACTTCAGTGACATTTGACTAGCCATTCCAAAAATCACAGGATTGGGATCAAGACCCCACTCATTCAGTTTAAGTCTGAGATCACATATCTTAGGGAAGAACAGATTGGCAGTCAGATATTTGGAACCAGAGAACAACTCAGTAATCTCAGAAAAGATTTCCAGCTTCCCAATCACAGTAGAAGCAAATTCCCATTGTTCACTAGAAGGAACTGATGTGTAATGATTGTCTCTCAAACTCAAACGAAAGAAAACATCCTTGTAGGGAATAGAAACAGAGAAAAAATGATAGGTGGAATTCCACCTAGTTGGACAATCAAGGGCTAATTTTTTCTCAACAGACAGCTTAAGTTGCTTAGCAACTTTGAAGAAGGTTTGAACCCTCTTAGGTGTAGAATTCCAGTAAACTACACTCTCCCTAATCAAATTTATAGCATCCTTGATTGCATCCAAACCATCCCTTACAATCAAATTCAGAATATGAGCAGAACACCTCATATGAACCAATTTACCATCAAGCAACAAGTCTGCTCAGAAGCTTATTTCTCATGTGGAAAATCATGGAATCATTGGTGGTACAGTTGTCCAATGTGATTGAGGACAACTTACCATCAATGTTCCAATCCAAAAGACAATCAAACAACCTATCAGCAAGCCTTTCACTAGTGTGAGGGGCTGGAACATACATAAATCTCATCATTATGTTACGGAGCTTCCAAGAGTTATCAATGAAGTGACCAGTTACTGCCATATAATCCCTTTTCTGATTTTTGGCAGTCCACAAATTAGTTGTAATTGAAACCCTCCCCAGGTTACCATCAATAATGGTCTGATATTTTACCCCTTTCAACACCATACAAACTCAAAATGTCCTTTTTGACAGTGTTTCTACTAGGAACAACGAACTGAGGTTGAAGAGAACAGCAAAAACGTTTGAAACCCACATGATCAACAAGGCTAAGGGGGTACTCATGGACCAGAATCATTGAACAAAGTTCCTTCCTAGAAACCTCATAATTGTATTGAGAAGCAGAGAGTTGAGGATTTCCAGCATGTTGATAGTTAGGGCCATGTATTTTTTGAGAACCATCATGTATCCTCTTTTGGATACATGTTTTGATATGGCTTCTTAGGTGTGAAGTTCCATTACTTGTTTCCCCACCAAGGGATTTACGACAGTACTTACACCTAGCCTTCATAACCCCATTAACCCTAACTCGATTGAAGTGAGGCCACACATCAAAGGTTACCTTACGTTGAGCTTCAAGCTCCTCAACATTACCAGGTTGTTCAGGTTGAGGTTGGATAGGTTGTTCAGGTTGAGGTTGGACTTGGACACCATTTTCAAGGGACATTCACATTGGGAGCAAGGTCAACATTTATAGCAGTAGGAGCACCTTCCATCTGAACATAACAAATTTATGTGTTACTACTTAAGCCTTAGTTAATAGTTATTAACTTAGTTACATTCACAATGACAAAACTAAACTTGCAAACAAACATCTTTAGCAGCAAAATCACGCTTACAGTTTAATTATTTTTACTTATTAGCATTATGAATCCACTGATTGTCACAACAAGTCGCAGCATTATGAATAAACAGTCAAACACGGTGAGTTGAGGCTTAGGATAGGAGGACGGGATTACCTTCTCGAATTGGAGTTTTATGTGGACTGTCGAGTACCCAATGACAGTAGACTGATCCTCATTGCTCATTGACTCTGTTCCGCTTCAGTTCTCTAAATTCGATCAAAACGAGACCAACCTAGCCCAAACAAGAGTGAACAACGAACACAAAGCAAGTTAGAACTGGAATTTAATGCATGCATGTCTGTATTATGAGACCACTAACCCATAATTCATAAAAAGTATAGACGAGATCAAGAAACCTACCCTCGACGACTGGACTCTGTCTGGAGGCTCGGGCGCTCGGCTAAATCCCTCGGTCTCTGCTCTCTGTTGACTCGACTGGGGTGTTCTTGTTCTCGATTTCAGAAGATGGCGTGGTGAGAAACGACCTCTGCGCTCTGAATCCCCCCCTATATATACCAGTACAAGAAGAGTCAGTAGAGAGTTAGGGGAACGGGGAATCAGAGAAGATACTTGAAAGAAAAGATAAGAAACCCAGAATTAACTTATCTTTTCTCGAAGAATCAGCGATTTGAACTTCCAACGAGGCAACGACTCGCTTTTGGACTGCGGCCGACGAAATCTTCGTCGGATGATTGCTCTTTCAGCCATGCAATTGGTCGAATGGAGGATTTGATGAGGGGAAATGACGAAGAATCGGTCAGATCGCGATTATCTAGCGATCTGATCGCTAATCGCGAGAGAGGAGGCAGAGAGAAAGAAGGAAACTAGGGTTTCTAGTTTTGGATCGTTTGGTGAAGAATGGAAACTGAGGCGGCTGCTAGGGTTTCAGTAAGGGAAAGCAAATAATATATATGGCCCTCCAAACGCCGTCGTTTTGTACACGGTTAAGCCGTCGGGCGGGTCGCGGGGCGGATACTGGGCTAACCACCACCGCCCGAAAATCATGGTTGACGGGTCTCGGGTTACCCGCCACCCGTTGACGGGCCAGAAAACCCCAACCACCTGGGCACTTATAGGGCGGGCTTCGGGTGGATACCCAGATTTGGGCCCCGGCCTGCCATCCCTAATTCCACCAGTCCGGCAAAACACCTCCGTTGCGGGTCATTCCGCATTGGCCGGTGTTTTAATCGGTGAAAAGATGTCGAATTCCCCATCTCTGAAACCCTAACCCCGATGGAATTCCGCACCTCCCTCGTCATTCTGGTCAACAAGCTCCTCTCCCATCCCAATCCTGCAAACATCCGCCGCTTTTATCCCTGAAAAGATGCAAAATCCCCATCTCCGAAACCCTAACTCCGATCAAATCCCACAACTCCCTCGTCATTCTGGTCAAGAAGCTCCTCCGCCATCCCAATCGTACGAACATCCGCCCTGCCCATCACAATTGGATCGTCGATGCACCGAATTCAGATTCGGGCCTCCGCTATGAAGGTTTTACTCAGTTAATCCAAGATTGTGGGAAAGGTTCCAATTGAGGCAATTTCAGAGATCCCTGAAGTTCATGGAGGATTGAGGCAGTTCGTGAAGGGGGTAGATTCGATGACGAGGGCAAGCTAAATTCCACCGTGAAACCCCTACCCCGAGGGTGCGAATGTAGGGGATAAGACGAGTGCGGGGAAAAAGAAGGAGACGACAGCGTTTGGGAAAGGGAACTATTGTGATTGTGCAGGTGATTGAATGGTTATAGATGTTAATTATTTTTTATTTTTTAAATTGAGATGTCATTAAGTTAATGGTTCACTCAGCAATTTTATTTGCCACGTCATCGAATAATTGTTGAAATTAATAAAGTTTAAATTAAAGCTACAAAATATCATAATTCTCTATTGCCTACGTGAGTGTGTGTGGAATGGCGTAGAACTGAACATTGAATGATGTTAGTTGTAACTACAGCACCCTCTCTCTTACTTTAATTTGAACTCTTTTCTCTACCATCTCTCTTCTTTTTCTCGGTTCCTTTTTCTGTGTTTTCCAGGAGCTGCCGCCGGCTCCTTTTGGTGACCGGCGGCAGCTCAAGCCCCTCCATGTTTTTTTTCCTTCTTTTCTTTGTGCTCATGCTTCTCCTGGTCTTGTTCTAGGTGATTTTCCTTCGGATTTCCAGCTTTCCCCTTGCCGTTGTGGCCTTTCAGTTTCCTTTCCAGTCGAGCTTTGTCTCTTCTTTTCCCGTCGAGCTTTGTCTCTTCCTTCGGTTCTTGGTTCTCCTGATCAATGTCTGCTCGTTGTAGGATCCGGAGTTAGCAATTTGGTGCCTAGTCCATATCTGGATGGTGGTGATTTTTCTAGGTTGGTGGTTTCATCCTTTGGTGAAACCATTCTCTTCTTTCCCATTTCGACCTGCACTTTGTGTTTGTGTTGCGGGGTGAGCCGTCGGATCGTGGAGGGTCGGGTCTTCTCCGGAGGTTGTGGTTGGTTATCGGTGTTTTCTGTGGAGATTTGTGGCTCCCATGGGATCTTCTGCTCTGCTTCAAACATGATGTCTCTGCCTCAGTTTCCTCTGCCTCTGCCAGCTTGGAGCAATCCGTTCAAATCCTCTTCCACCGCCATGCAATCTTGTTTCTAGAATTCACTGTGATGGATGCATTTGAGTTATCCCGAGGAGGCGGCATATGGTTCAATCACTAGCCATGGATTTCGAGTTGATCGGACAAGCTGATTTCGCTCTTGTTGCATTCTAAGTGGTTGGTTGCAAGAGAGATTTCTGATTTACTGGTCTTTTCAAGGGTTCTGTTCTGTTGGATGGTTGCTGTCAAACTGTGTTGTGTTCTCTGTTCTTGCTTTTGCTTTTGCTTTTCAGGGTTTGATTGTAATCGGGTTCCCTTTTCCTTCCTCCTGTTGAATCAGAATGTTGGTTGTTGTCTCTTTGTAACTGATCAGATAAAATGCAATAAAGACTCTCCTTTGTAAAAAAAAATATGCTATTAGTTGTTAGTTGTGTGTCTGTGGCATAAAATAAATAAAGAAAAATGAAGGCACTAGTTTAAGTCGGTTTCCTCCCATATTTGTAACTTATGGGTAATATATTGTATTTAGGCAAAGAGAATCGAACCGTATATCTAGCCATCTAGCCAGAGGCCAGAGCTCAGGCCTTAGTTCTGTGGAACGAAATCCCTAATTGGCCCAATAGTGAATATTTAGCCAGAGCTCAGGTCCAGATCTCACCAACGGCCCAATTCATTTTCCATTTTCCAATTAAAACAAAAAAGGTGCCAAATTCCCAAATTCAAAATCGATGTCCCTCCCTCCGGCTCCATTTCTATCGCCGGATACCTTCGACCATCACTCCTTCCACTCACCGTCGCTGTGGAACAATGGCCGCCACTGCCGATGCTATCTTCTCAACCGTCGCCTCGGACATCAAATCCTACTCCGGCAATGATCCTCTTCTCCCCTGGCTCCGGTACTCTTCCCTCCACTTCCTCTTCACTTCCCAATCCCTATCTGCCTCGCCAACATTCTCTCTCTCCATCTTTGCAGGGGAGTCAAGAAACTGAGGGAATCTCTGCCTCCAACTCTGCTTAAAGCGAAGCTTCCTCGCTTCTTGCAGAAATGCGCTCAGAAATTCGATTCCGATAAGCGCTACAAGAACGATCCTCGCTATCTTCGCGTTTGGTTGCAGCTGGTAACGCAACTCCTCCCTCTCTCATTCCTTCTTGCTTCTTCAATGGAGAAGGCCAAGCTAGATGATTTCTGTGACTAGTTCGATTTTTAGTTCTTATTCACTCTTCTACTGAAGTTACCATTACAATGTGGCCATTTGATTTAGTTTTGGTGGTGAATCTTTTTTTTTTTTTGGAATTGAGAGAAGATGGATTATGTGGATGAGCCAAGATTGCTATTGAGAACCATGGAGAAGAATCAGATTGGGATGAAGAGGTCATTGTTTTACCAGGCATATGCTTTGTGCTATGAAAAGATGAAGAAATATGAGGAGGCGGAGAAGATGTACCATTTGGGTGTGCAGAAGTAAGTCCCTCCTTCTCTCTTCTCTTTAACCTTTTTAATCAAATAATCACGTGGCACTAATTAGGGTTTGGGGAAATGGTGATGTTAAAACCAGCCTTGCTGAGCCTGTGAATGAGTTGCAAAGATCGTATGAACAGTTCCTCCATCGTATGCAAAGACACAAGACCAAGAAATCCCAGGTAGCCCTGTAGTTTTTCTCCATTTTATTCTCTATATGTAGCTTGTTTTGCTGTCCATGGTTGTTGCTAACTCGCAATGGGAGATCTGCTGCAGAACACCTTAAGAGCTGATAAAAGACCTATGTCAGCTGCTGTGAGGACTGATGAGAACAATGAGAATGTATGCACCACTAAAGCTGAAGGGAAACAGATTCCAGATGGAAGATCTGGAAATGTGAAGAAGCCTTTGGAGGAATCTAACCGCCATGGATCAAATGGAAACAGCAGCCGGAATGGTGGGTTTGAAGTCTATGTGGATTCAAACGAGGCCGTTGGTGGAACCAAGCTATTGAGCAAACCAGAAAAGAAAGAGCCTCTTCATATATTGATTGACGATGAAGAGCAACAAGTGGCTGAATGCTGCGAAGAAGAAGACGAGGAAGAAGAAGACTCCCCTTTCGTGTTCACATGTCCTCGGGATCTTTCAGCATCTGAAGATGGGTGCTCGAGATCCCCAAGAAACAAACTTATGAGGGAGGATACAGTGGTCCGTCGGTTTGTTGGGTCCACCATTTTGAATGAACCAGAAGTGGAGAATGTTTGTCACCATGGGTTGGTTGATCCCACAGTGAACTTGAAGGAAGCCATGGAAGACATCAACAACATGTTTGGGAAGCCCATAGACTTTGTAAGGGCCAGGAGAACAAGGCAGCCAGCGCAGCAACAACATGAAGAAGAAGAACAACAACTTGGTGGTGGTGGGTTTTTTATACTGCCTGATGATGATGAATCTGATGGAAGACAAAACCAGCCAATGAAGAAACAAGAAGAACAACTTGGTGGTGGGTTCTTTATTCTGCCTGATGATGATGATGTTGCTGATCATAAACAAAACCATAAAGGCAAGAAGAGGCAAGAAGAAGTTGGCGGGTTCTCGATATTGCCGGATGATGTCGATGCTAATCATCCTCAACAGAGCAAAAAACCAGCATCATCTGACACAAGGGGATCAGACCTGTTTGAGCCGACTGTATGCACTAAACAGGCAATGGATGACATTAACAAGTTGTTTGGGATGCCACTGGACTTTTAGCCCTTAGCAGGGAAACTGGCTTCTTCTCCTTGTTGAAACTAATTTCATTTTCTCGAGATGGTAACATTTGCCCTTTGTACTACTACTTCTTGTAGAAGCCTTGAAGTCTCAAGTTTATGAAGATTAACACTCTGCTGTTTGCCTGTTTGGGATGCCACTGGATTCTATTGACTTTGCAGGCTATTAATGGGTTATAGGGAATAATGTAAGGAGGTCAGAAAGACAAGAGAGACTAAACACCCTGCTAAAAAGATTCAACTCATTCGAATGCGGGTACAAATTGCTGATAAATTATCTCGTTCAACATCGAGAACTCAACACAAGGAAGATCTTATGCTCCAACAAGAATAAAAACCAGAAAGACAATGCTAAGGCGGGACCTTGAAAACCCACATCAATTTTTAACCATGATGGTTCGAGCACGTTTCAGGGCGGAAAGCCAAGGGACCAGCTGCATAGATCACAGCCTCGTAGTGAGGAGACCTCAACACCTTACCCTCAGACCGAAGCTTGGCTCCATCTATGCCATAGTTAAGATTGGTGCTCACATTGCAGGTCGCGAGTGGAGAGGAGACAAGCTTCACAGTGCAGGCTTGGAGTGGATGATCCAAAATCCCATGGCTCAACTTGAACCCGTCGAGTTGTGCGTAGAAGTATCCGTGTTTGTCAGCCTGATAGGTCTTATAAAAGGTCACATGGTGGCGGGAATCCTTGCAAGTGACGCTAACTCTAGCTGATGGGATAGGCTTGGCGCCTGTCAAAGACCACGAGCCGGCATACTTGCAGCTCTGGCAGTAGACGACCCCTTCGACCACGACGTCGGATTTCTTCTGAGGTGTTGCAGGGGCGCGGTGGTATTGTGGTTCGGCAGCCATTGATGGAAGGATGAAGAGCAGAAGGAATGAGCAGATGGTGATGAGAATTCTGTTGTTGGCTGCCATTTTTAGTTCTGCAGAAGATTGGAAATGTGTTTTGGGTTTGATGAGATGAGAGCCTGCATTTGTTGTGTATTTATACAGAAGAGATGTTTAATGGGTTGGTGGTGGACGTGAAGGCTACTAAGTAGGAGAAAAATCATTGCAGCCATGGATTCTCATGAGGATCTTTCAGGAGATGGATGGTGTTTACATGGCGGCCACTTTCTTCTTTTTTCCTACTAAGCAGTTAACAAATTATGGCATTTTGCTGTGCTTGGATACAGGGTAAACTGAAGGGTTCGGCTTTCCTTTTCAATATTGGTGTCTTTTGGGTATTATCCAAAAGTATGGGGATTTTTGTAGGTGGATGAGGAACTGAGGGTTCGATTCATGATTTCTACTTGGATCCAATCTCCTTGTTTAACTCGACCGATATTCTATTCTGAATTTCTGCTCCATTTGCTTCTACTCTAGCTTAAGTTATTCTAATTCAGAAAAAAATTAATAAAAGTTTGATAAAAAAATATATAAATATGATTAGAAGTTAGTAGCTACAATTTTCAAAATCTTTTTAAGGCACATCTATGGTATAACATGTAACTAACTTTATAATTTTCATTTTGGTCATCTAATTCGTGTAAGAATTTAAAATGATATCAATCTTCAATTATATGATAACAACAAGAAAATGTGTGAATTTACGGAAAATAATATATATTTTGCATGTGATTTTTAGGTATTTATGGAACTTGTTTGATGCAAATTACAAAATTTATCTAATGGTTATTGTAAGAACAGTTTATGAATGAGCATGCACAAGTAATTATTTGTAATTCTACTTAATATCTTCACACTATAAATTTCGACCATTACTAAATTTGATAATTATAGTATAATTTTACACTAGGGTGTTACATATATATACCTTTAAATCAAGTGCAAGTCAGACTTTTCTTTTTGAATCATGTCTAATTAACCATTAAGTTATCAAATGAATTACGATTTACGAACAAGAGTTTGGCCTAGTGGTAATATCACTATTCTAGAAAATGGAAAATGAAAACAACAAAATGACAACAAAATGAAAAAGTTATCAAATGACAAAGTTGAAAACATGTCAATCAAATTTGAATCCCTTAAGTAGTATCTTAATGACAACAAAATGAAAAAGTTATCAAATGAATAGGATTCATAATACATGTCAATCAAATTTGAATAGTTGCAAACTAATTTACGCGCAAACTAATTCCAACCTTGGTTGGACGAAGAAGTTTCAATCAGCCACATATTAGTTTTCTATTAGTGAGTTTTCTTTCTTTTTTATACTTTAATTCTTGATTTATTTAGCATAATTAAGAAGCAAAGGAAGGTGAATCCACTAATAACAATCTGATATGTGGATGGTTGAAGATTCTGCGTCCAATCAAAATTAGAGTTAAGAAATACTCAATTAATTGGAAACCTATTCATTTTGAATTAGGGTTAGACCAAGATTGGTCCAGGCCCGGAAGCTACATGTAAATGGGTAGGTCGTGATACCCATTTTGGTTTGAGAGAAGAATATAAAAAGAAAAATATTGAGAGTTCATTTGATTTCTATGTATTTTAACTTCATTTATTGTAATAAACTAGTGTGGGTACCGGCCAGTTGGCCGGAGAAAGGTGAGGTATGAAATTTGATAATGTAACGGGGAGTATAGCTTATTGTTGTATAGATTTTTTTGGGAAACACGTGATAAAAATAGTGAATTTTAGCAGGAAAGAGACATTAATGATGCAACGAATCAAAAATCGGCCTTATGAACGAAAATCAAGTACCTGTTACCTTGTGAAACAATATTGTTTCTGGTAATATGATGAGGTGGAGTAAGTTTTATAGAAACAGAATTCCAGAAAATCGAATAAAAAATCACCTATCCCGCCGGTTTTCGGGAAATGAGCATCTCACAATCGTTGCTAGCTTTTACTCGGCCCGTTGACCGATTAATTTGCTTTATAAAACTTTCATCTTGTTGTCATTGTGTTTTCTGGTTTTTGTCAGGCCATGATAAAATCTAAGGAAATCCAGAACGAACAACACGATTTGGGATAGGAACCGCCGTTGTCGTATCCCTAGAAAATGGTGGTAAACACGGACTCACCTGCCAAACTGGTTTGGATTGAGATTTTTATCGGGTATTAGGAAACCATGTGATTATAAATTAGACTTGATCAAAACGGGCCAAAACTTGAAATTCAGCCTATTTGACCGACCCATGCCAAATTCTAATTATTCTTTATTTTTAAACTTTCTATTTGAAAATTAAAAATAGTGAAAGAAAAGAGATGACTACAATTCGTCATTTGCACATCACTTATTCGGGAATAAAACCATAGAAATTCAAAAGGAAATGAAAATGTTTAGAATCGTTTTAATGTTTAAAATAACCAAATAGATCTTTCTGTTTAGTTTTTTTACTAACAAATACCAAAAGATTCCCTATAAAATACACTATGATTTGATCATTATGTTATCAAATAATTATATAATATATATTTGAAATGATAAAAATTGGACTAATTGGGTTGGTCGAGGTTGAACCATTGAATAACTTTAAAATCCATTATATTTTAGCCACTAAGATATAAAATAATAGCATAATATATATTATGCCAGAGAAAATAGCTTGTTTTAGAATGACAAACCAATGATGTTCATTTGTTTTACTTGATGGCCAAATCCCGTGTAGGTCAGGCCCATTCAACTCTTTTATTTTATGGTTAGTGATTAGCCCATTAGATACCATGCATTAGTTTATTGTAATTTTTTTATTTTTAGCAATAAAAAGGAGTATTGTTTTTGCCTTTTCATATATATTTTATCACCACGGAGAAATAAAAGGGCTTAAAGAAAAAAATTGACACTCATGGACCTGTTTAAATCCGCATAAAAAACTGCTCGGGACCGGATCGAAAACTGGATAAAGACCAGATAAGAGAGCTCAACACCCAAAACTTAAGGGTAATTTGCATAAACGGTCACAAACCTTTGCACTTAGTACAAAACTTAACCAACTCCTCACCCTTTCAGGCCTTAGGCCACTCAAATCCCCACAAGCTCAATATAAAACCAAGACCGAATTGGAACCGGACCGGATCAAGACCGGACTGTATCCAATCCAATCTTTGTTCCTTATATTTTCAAAAAGACCGTACTGGACCGGATCAATTTAGGTCAATTTAACTGGACCGGACCGTATTGCCACCCCTAATGAGAATGGACAAACACCGGTGAATCTCGAGACCTCCCTACTGGCAATAGAGGCTTTGGATTTGCGACGATAGAGAAAATGATGCGAAGAAGAAAAAAAAGATGAGAGGAGTTGTTGTCTATAGAGTATGGAGAACCGTCTGTCGGGCGTATGAAATTAGATTGTTGAACTACAGAGGTGAGCTTGAGAAGGGGGGAAATGGAGAGAAGAAAGTGGGTCAAAGAAAACGGAGGTCGGACGGAAACCGTCAACGCAATGGGGTGGGAAATGAGTAAGTTTTTCATTTGGACCGAGAAACAAAAATGAGGTCCAAACACCACACCTATAGCGGCCAACTCGAAAATACAATTTTTCCACTTCCCAAACTATCCTTCCGAAAATAACTCTGGAGACATGAATTTTTGAATGGGGGCATTTTTAATATCCTACGACTAATTAGAGTGTATATTGGCTTTTAATTAATCAACCCTCCTTTCAGTTTTGATTTTAGGTGTTTAACATAGGGACTAGAAAAATATTAGGAGAGATAATTATACTTATTAATTTATTTGTGGCGAAAGAGAGAAGTAATCTACACTTTAATTAATAGTAAAAAATGAAAACTAACATATGCATTTCAAATTCTTTGCCTCCGAAGCGTTTTGTGGAGGGATAATTTGGGAAACATTTTATACTTTATACGCGTAGGCTAAAACCATGCCAAAGTCGTAATTTTGTTATGGGCCCATTGTGAAAATCAGTTTTAGTAATTTCCTTAAGTTCCATTTGACATTTGTTGTAAATATAGAAAATAGAGAAAGTAGCTCATTTTGATATTCTGATAAATCATTCACTATTAAGTAGGACATAGAGAAAAAAAAGATAAGCCTCACTTATTAAATATATTTTGCAAACTAACCCAATTATTCAATAAAAATTGTTTTCGTATCTCGAAATTTAGAAGTTTCATTTTAATCTCTAAGTAGATCTAACTCAAATTCTCTAAATCAATCTTAATATATGCCCTATTTCAAATTTCAAGCACGCAGAGGAGATTTTGGAAGACTAATTCTGCAAAATGTGTGATTGTGATGGGTGGGCATAGAGATAGAATAGGTGGATGGATTGGTGTTTGATAATATTATGACAGTTAAGCAAGGAAACTACAAAAAAGTTATCAGGAAAATATGAAGAGAGAAAGAAAGGTTCTAAGCGTAGGAGGCTGGTGAGACTCATATACGAAATGATTTTCAGGTTGATTGTTGAAGATTTTTTGTATTAGTGTATGCCCTCTCTAGATACGTTGCCTCTGTTTATACTAGGAAATCATGTTAAATATTATTAATGGTATGTCCAAGTACATGAGTTCGTTTATGGACTATCTTTAACGCATTTAATAATGGATAAGGTGCACGCCTATTTATGGCACTCTGTTTGTCCTTTTAAGTGGTCTCAATATTCGTTATAACTTAAAATGTTTGAGCATCAATTTGATGAACCAGAATGCGTGTGGCCCTATGGTTGATTACCTTCTCTCTTCAGTGTGGACATTTTTCTCATTTGTATTGTCGTTGAGCATGTATTTCCTAGATCTAGGTGCATGTTGGGTCTTATTTGATTGGTTAGGGCCATGAGTGAGCAATTGAGATTTATTGTGTGCCCTGTTTTATTGGAGTACCTACCAAGTCAGACTTTTGCTTATCAGGTCTAACAAGAAGTAAACTTATTAATTATGCAATTAGCAATATTTTAGAAACCCTATCGTACCATCTGGTTGGACCAGAAATATCGAATACCCGACCCAACCAATATGTGGTTTTAGCGGTAGGAAATATTTGAACTATGGTGAATCAAGATTTTAGGGGATAAGTTACGGTGGTTACTATAAAATAGTAATCACCGTGGTTACTAAGGGCAAACTGGGTATAATAAAAATTTTATTAATGATCTTTTTTAATAAATTATATTTTAGGAAATTAAATAAATATATTAAATACAAATTTTCTCTCTCTTTCTCTCACTTCCACAATTTTTCAGCCAGATCTCTCTTCCTTCTTTTTCTTAATCTTTCCTTGATTTCGTTCAGCCAAACTAATACCGCTGCAACAACAAAATAATAAATACCAATCCATTAAAAAAATACTACCATTGTACAAAACATCAATATCATTCGAGAAATAAAAATACTACCATTTCACAAAACACCAATACCATTGCAGATTTAATCACTACCAATGCGATAAAATCAATACCAATGGGGCAAAATCAATACCAATGCGACAAATATAATACCAATGTGACAAAAACAACACCAATACGACATAAACACTACCACTATGGAAAAAATCACTACCATTTAAAAAAAAATCACTACAAAAAAAATCACTACCATTTAAAAAAAAAATACCAATCCTTAAAGATGCTGGAGGTCTGCACGGCCAACACAGCAGCCCTAGGCGCGCACGGGACGGCGGGTCCAGTCGGGGCGACGACGATGATGGAACAGACGGTGGAGGTTGCGCCATTAACCATGCCGCAAGAGGAACCGACGAGCGTAGAGGAGATTACGACAGTCAGTGGGGAGGCCTAGCGCGACATCGAGCTAAGGGAAGAGGCGGCATAGGGCTGCCGATTTGCATTGCGGGAGACGAGGGTGAGCACGACAGTGCTGGGATCGCCACCCATCCGACTGGTGGCTTGCCCGTGGCCGGAGAAAGAGGTGTGGAAGGAGTCGTCGTACAAGCAGACGACGACGGATGAAGAAGCAGAGCTGTCAGCGAAGGAAGGCGACATCGTCCATCTCCTCTCTAAACCCAGGGCGCCGCCGAGGAAGAAGCTGACGGTTAGGGAGGCGAGAGAGGGCAGTGGCCCTCATCCTCTCGCAAACCCTAAGCCATCATCAGGGAGGGTGAGAGCTTGCGGCTACGGCGGGTTTGGCTGTAGAAGTAGGGTTAGGGTAGAATATATAGAATAATCAAGTGTGGTCTTTTTTTCCCCCAAAACTATCTTGAGGCAATCTTAACTGTAAGATTGAAAAAGAGGAAACAGAAGAAAATAAATGGTGGATACTGATGTAGCCACGGTGGCTACTAGAAAAATAGTTACCACCCTAACGCATTTCTGATTTTAGTACAAAATACCCAACCATTTACTTTTCCAGTATAACCTCCAGTAAGCTTTTACAATCTTTGGCTTTTAGTGGTAGTTGATTGAAATTTAGTATTTCATCTAGCAACCAAATTCGAGTAATAATTGCATCTATTGAATGTCTTTTATATTAAATATTATGAACGGGTAGAAACTTATTTATCTGAATGTGAATAGCTATGCGATTTAAACATTTTTGTATTTCTACTAAATTTATTTACATATTCTCTAACATTAAGTAATCCTTAAATGTTAAACCACACAATTCAAGGGACTTGGGTTGGTGCTCCTACTTTAGAGCACAAAAATACAAACTTGAAGAAATTTGAAAAACATTTGGAAATTAATAGATGTGACCGAAAGATAACGGGTGTTTGTTTCTCCAGAGAGAGGCATACATATAATAGGAGAGAGTAAAGATGAAGAATATTGACCGAAAACACAAGCTTTTTGTATGAAAGTTTTGTTCTGGAATTCATAGGCATATAGAACAACCGAGCAACCAATTTGGTGGCTAAAAAAGCAATTTCTTTGCATTCCTGCAAGTGTTTATGGTTTTGATTTTCAACATTGACTTATCGTTTGGTTGTTAACTATGATATTTCATAGTAGTTCTTGGTAATGCAAGTTAGGTAGGCCTAAACCATTTGGAATGGGACAAAATATTTTCATGGGCCCTTCTCTGGCCTCCAATCCGGACAACCCATATTAGCAAAAACAAAACTTCGAAAATAAATGCTCTCACGCTTCATCTCGGTTTCTCATCATACGAGTCGATAACTTAAAGTAATCCGGCCAACTTAAATCTAGTCAAATAATAATTTCCAACCTGCAATTTCCCATTTTTCCTCATCCATCCACGCTACTGGTTTCCAGAGGCTTTACATCACACATATATGTGTGATGTATCATGTCATGTGGCCCAATCCCAACTTTCTTAATTTTGTGTTAATTTTAGGACAAATCTTAGTAAGAAATTTTGTGAATTGGGACTTCGAATGTGATAGATGAATGTTATCTTATCTCTGTCATAATTATTATACAGGAATATTCTACCATTTACATTTTAACATACATACTCTTGATTTTCTAATATTTGATGTCAAGTTAAAACCAAACGCTTCAACATAAAATTTCGATCCATGGCAGACTTGGTAAGGAATTTCTGCTATCCTACAAAAAAAAAAAAAAAAATTCTGCTGCCTAGTCTTGGCGACAAATAGAAGCCGGAAGGGACTGAAGCCCATTATAGCTGGCCCATATGTGAACCCCCGGAAAGGAAGCCCAGAAAACCCACGACTGCTACAACAGCCCAATGGCTTTCTTTATAACAAAAGAAGAGCCCAAATTGCTTGCTGCTTGCCAGGAAAGGTTCTGCACAATGCATTATTACCTCTCCACATGAGACGAATCAGAGCGCTTTATAAAAAGAAAGGCAAGTGGATGGGGTGGGAGGACGGGAGCCCTTTTTCTCTTTTCAGGCTTTCACCAGAACACGTGATGGATAGGAAAGTAGACCAAATTTCGCAGAATTTTGTTTCTTATCACGAAGAAATTTAATTCGATCCCCAATGTTCTTAACTAATTTTTTTTTTAAAACCCTCCAAACTCCCGATTATCCTCCATAATCCACATAAAGCAATGATACGAGAATCTCCACATCCGCCAACAACCCCATATTACGATGCTCACATTTTCACAGTGGTACCTTGGGCCGGCTCCTCGACGGAGAAATTAGAAGCTGCGTGCCCGCGCCCTCGAACAGGGTTTTTCTTTGTTGGAAATTTCTTTTTTGTTGGCATTATAACTAAGCCGACAATAAACGTTCTATTTTCCTCGTGCCCATATGCCCATGTCGATTATGCCTAGACCCTTGCGTCTACTCTACAGCAAAACAACAACTCTGATCAACCACTTTACCATCCATCTATATCTGAGCTGTTCCTCTTCATCTATCGTATTAATACTATTATATTTCAAAAATCAAATTTAAATTTAAATTATTATCAGCCTAAAAAATTTGAAGAATTGTCGAAGAAGTAATCATATGGGAAAAGGATTTTTTTTTCGTTTCCTACGAACAAGTCAATTAAGCATTTATAGCGTCATTACAAAAAGGGCCAAATAAGTCGGTGACAGTTGTTGCCAACTACAGTTCCCCGGCACTAATCACCCCGGCCGGAGGGGCAAATCGGTGAACAAACAAACTTTCTAACAAATTTACAATTCCACTACTCAAATCGGGGATTCCAGTTTCCTCTAAAATTTTCACCCAGTTAATTACGGGAAATAAAAAAAACGAGAAAGGAGAAATCTAGTATTAATCCACTAACCACGCACCATGACCTGGATTCTCCTGCATTCAGTTGGTTAGTAATCGGTGGAGGAGGAGCTACGCGATGGACATGCGGCGGCGGGCAGGCGGGTAGCAGTCCGGGCAGCGAACCAAACCGTTGACGTTGCACGCGGCGCAGCTTCGGAACCCGTGCTTCTCGGAGTAGATCTTGTGGCTGCCGCTGCACTGTTCGCAAAGAACGAATCTCAGACCTCCGCACAGATCGCACTCGTTGGACGGCGCAATCGCCGCAGCCGACAACCCTGAGAAGATCCTCTTCAACTCCCCGCTCTCGTGGAGCTCCCTGATCTCGTCCAGCCCGACGATGCGCCTCCCGCCGATGAGGACCACCGGGAGCGTCACCTTACCGGAGGTTCCCAGGATCTCCTGCACCTCGCCGAGGTACTTCCCGTCCATCGACAAGTCTCGCTCGTCGATCGGGACACGGAACCCGCGGAGGATCGATCTGACGGCGTAGCAGTCGTCGAACGTCCGCCGCACGACGCGGAGGCTGGTGAAGTAGAGGACGACGCAGTCCTGCTGCTGCTGCGCCTCTTTCAGCTGCGGAAGGGAGGGCGGGAGAGACTTGCGGAGGTAGCGGAGGACGGAGGTGGAGATCCGGACGCGGTGGAAGATGGAAGGCGTCCGGGGCGAGATAGAAGGAGGAGCGGATGAGCCGATTCCGCCGCCGCCATGGTCCTGCTCGGAGATGAGGGTTTGGATGTCTTTGAAGGAGGAGCAGGAGAATTTCTTCTTGTGCGCCGGTACGGAAATCGCAGTCGAATTCGAAGTTGGCGACGGAACCCTAGTTGGCGATTTCAGCCAGTCTGGCCACATGAGAGAGTCTCGTAGAGGATTCCAGAAGGAGGGAGGATGGAGAGAAGGGGAAGGAAGGAAGGGCTGGTTTCGATATTGGGGATTTTTGGGGGACTGTGGGCTTCGAGAGACTGGAGTAGGTAGTATATAGCGAGAAGAAAAAGGGTGGGGGCACTTTTTTGGGTCTATGTATGTATTAAAGAAAAGTGGGGGTTTAGGCTTATTATTATCACTAGCTTATGTAATGTGCCTTTTATGAAGATAAATCAAATCATGGATGATGTTTGCTAAAAGAGTGTTTTTAGTTGGAAGAGGAAAAAGGTCCCTAGTCTACATGACTTAACAACATTTAAAAAACAAATTTATAAGAATATTTTCGAAGGTGTAGGATTTTCGATTTATGGCTTCCTATCTTATCACACTTTTTCAGGAAATATTTGTATACGTTGAGAAATAAAACACGAAGGAAAGATAAGAAATCTTAAAGGTAGATCTACTATCAATCGATTAATAATTTAGCTGTAACAAGAGCAAAATCATAATCTTAAATGACGATATGATTCTCATTGGTGTTATAGGACAACTATAATTATGTTTCATGTTAAGATAACTATCTTTAAGAAAATACCCCAAAGATAAGAAAAGGTAAAAATTAATTTTTTAATTAATGTTTTGGCATTAGAGGGTATTAATTAATTAATTAAAATTTTTATTAATGGTAATTAATTAATTATTATAGAGGAAGGAGAAAAGGTATAAATTAATTACAAGATATAAAGATACTGGGGAGAATTTTGTTCTGAAAAAAGATAAATAATCTATCTAAAATCCGCAGCCACGTAGTAGTAATCACTAATCATTATATCCCAAAACAAGGGTAGCTAGGCAGTAGCTATAGCCAGTTAATTGAGCAATTAACTTTTGGAACTATCTAGTGACTGCTGGTGTTCCGTCAAAATCTTTAGTTTGGTGAGTGAGTGTGCGTCCTATCCCATTTACCTGCCCACGTTCTCTCCACAAATAATGGTAATCTGCAAAGTAACAAAGAAACACAAACACGATACTGATGTTGATTATTGGTGTCTGGATGAACAGCCCCCAAACAATAATGGAAGCAGCTGCTTCTGTCCAACCTCTTAATGTGCTGACTGCTGCTGATGATGATCTTATCATTTCTTTGATCGATTAGAGATGAGAATCTCGCCGTAGGGCACCTTCTGGTCTACTGCAATGTCGCCTCGTGTTGCAAGAACTGGCGAAACAGGAGGAAAGTGTGACATATCGACCCGGTGTCAATTCGTAAATGAACAAGCTTCTGACTCGTGATGGGATTCGTGATTCATACCACAGGTTTGATAGAAGAAGAGTGCTGCTCGTTTGCGGTCCATTCCGGTGGCTAGATTGTTGAGGGACTCGTGTTTGGGAGCTTTTGGCCCTTCGAAATGGGTCTTCAGGTGCCTTCAAATGCAAGCAAAAACCATTTTAAACTAGTACCAGGAACGAACACACTCTAGGGTTGTTGATGGAGTAAGTCATACTTTCGGATGTCTTCAGTCATGGCGTCGAGTGGCTCAGAGGTGTTGATGGGTGGTTGAGTCTGTGTAGGTCCAGTTTCCAACAGCACTTCTGCAGGAAGAAAAAAAAAATGAAATCAAACAGCAAAAATGAGTGCCGGAGGTGACACTGAAGCAGCAACAGCCCAAATAAGTTGAATGAAACTATATGTCGTGCTCCGTTCCACCTTGATCAGGAGCCGAGTCCTTCTCGTGCACTGTCGTGATATCTGGATCTGGACGCCATGATTTGTTCTCAGGAATTGACTGAAGGCTACTACCACTATGTTTGCTGTATTGAAGAGTGAAAAAAAAAAAAATCCCATGGAAGGGATCATTATCAAGAAAGCAAAGAAATAGCCTTGGTACTCAAGTATAACTTGGGGTTTAAATTTAACTTACTGTCCTGAGTTGATCTCGGAGCGATGTCGTGGAATACTATGTCCAGAACCTGAACTTGGTATGAATCTTGCTTGCTTCCCTGTGGAAACTTCCAACAATGTCTAGGAATCAGCATTGACAGAAAAAAAAAAACCCAGGATTCAGGCGACATAGCTAAACTCACCACGATTTCCAGGAGATGTGACAACAGATGGTTCTTTGTTCCCTCTTATACTTTCGTTGTTGTCAGCAAGGTAGGCTTCAAACTCAAAATTCAGACCACGGGTTTCATAGAACGAGGGAGCTGCTTGTTCTTGGTTGATTCCAATGGGTAGACTGTTGAGGGACTCAGCTTCTGGCCCTTTGAAAGGGGTCTTCAGGTACCTGCAAATGCAAGCACAACTAGTACCACGGGTTTGATAGAAACAAACGCACACTTGGGTTGTAAATGGAGTAAACCACACATTCGGATGCCTTCATTCATGGCCTTGAGTCTCTGGGAGGAAGTGATGGGTCGTTGAGTCTGTGCAGGTCCAGTTTTCAATTGCACTTCTGCAAGAAAAATGAAATCCAACAGCAATAATGAATGCCGAAGGTTGCACTGCAGCAGCAACAGCCCAAATCAGTTAAATGAAACTATATGCTGTGCTCTATTGCACCTGGATCAGGAAGCCATAATGTGTCCTCAGGAATTGACTGAAGGCTACTACCACTATGTATGCTGCATTGAGGGAGTGAAAAAATCCACCGAAGGGGTCATTCCAAAGAAAGCAAAACATGGACTTGCTGCTTAATTATAACTTGTGATTTTTATTTTTTTGATAGATATAACTTGGGATTAATTTAACTTACTTTCCTGAGTTGATCCCGGAGCAATGTCGTGGAATACCATGTCCAGAACCTGAAATTGGTACGAATATTGCTTCTTTACCCGAGGAAACTTCCAACAATGTCTATAGATTGAGCATTAGACAGAAAAAAGCAGGGTTTAAGCGAAAGAGCTAAACTCACCAGGATTTCCAGGAGTTGTGACAACTGGTGGTTCTTTGTTCCCTCTCATTCTGATGTTGTCCACAAGGTTGGCTTCAAACTCGTTATCAAACAGGTGGGCTTCCAATTGCTCATTCAAGACACCCCTGTCCTTCTCAAAGGAGATACCAATTGACTGAGACCCTCCCCCACCTTGATAATCATTGAAGTTCTTCACATTCAAAAGACACTAGTGGATTAGAGAGACATTCAAAACGAGGGAACAAAAGTTGTCGTTAAAGGAGTTGCTTTACATATGGATCTTCAAATTGAGCTGCTGCATCCTGTGGGGATGAATTTGAAGCTTCAGGAGGCTGAGGTGAGGTTGCCCTTGCTGATTGCAGAAAGTACAGTATGAGTGAGTTTCATAAATGGAGAAGCCAAAGAAAAAGCCCCAGAAGAAGTCAGGCAAGTGTATGCAAAAATCACTCACCAGATGGAGAGTCATGTGGAGGCTGAGTGCTTTTCGTCCACTGCGCGAGTAGAGGAGCAGGATAGTAGATATCTTTGTTTGCATTGATTGATAAATCATCAATGAGTACCGTAGGTGGCAACTCCATCAGACTGGCCACCTTCATCCTCGACATAATACTCTTTTTCACGTCCTGTTGGTATATACATCATGTTTAGCAATCCGTTCATTACCCCAAGGCTAAATCATTGTTGCAATGTTGAGGCATACCTTTCCCTTTCTGTCTCTCCTCGAGGTGAGGTCAGAAGCATTTTGAAGCCATGACTGGTATACCTCACCAGGTATTACTGTTTTTTCTATGTCCATCCAATTAGCTGCTTGTCTCCTCCTTTTCATTATAATTGGTCCTTGCACCTGCAGTAACTCATCGAATCCTCCATTACTTTAGTCAAGCTTATGCGTTGTTACCTTTGGGAGTAATTTGTTCACCAGAAAAGTATTTTAAGTTTGGTTCTTGTTTACCTTACCTGTCTGCGAGCTTTGGGAGTTTGTGGCTCGGGTGGGAATGATAATGAGACATTTACAGGAGTGAAATATTTTGAGTGTCCCGTTTGCTGTGAAAATGCAGCTTTTTGTTATTTTTTTACTATTAAACTCCTTTTAATTAATAATATTATATCACCATTATAACAAAAAAAAACTTACCTGTCTGCCTACATTGTGTTTTTCAGATGGTTGGTTGACAAGGCTTTCAGGTTGCTGGTCAGGGATTTCTTTGTCTGTGAAAGGATTTCCTTGTTCATTTGCTGACATTCCGAAAATAGAATGTAAGCAAGTGAAGAACATATGTGAAAGCATTTGGGAGTCAGCAAGCAAACCTCCTAGATCTTCATCTTGACGAGGTTGTGAGGGTAGAACAGTTGAAGGCATATCTGTTTGAAGATCTCCAGAAAAAGTCACGTTCATCTGAGTGTCCCCTTCTCCACCAATATCGAATCTGTATCACCATGCACAAAAGACAATAGATGGGATTAGATAATTAAACTTACAGATTAATGGGATCAGAAACTGAAAAATTCCCATCCATTGAACAAAGTCCTTAATGCTAAAATTACTTAATCTCCATAAAAGACTTTCAACTGAAGATCCAAATGGGTTGGGAAATCACCTTTCAAAGCGATCATACATATCTGAGTTAACTTGACATGGGTCAAAGTGTTCGAATAATTTTATGTTCTCTGGATCAACTGAAGAGACACATGAAAAATCAGGGAAAGGAAATTAATCCCACTAGTTCAGCGCTCATTTTGATAAACTTATACAGCTTAGTAGAGTGAGGGAAGCAAAACCTTGATGCATATGTCCAGTAACATCGTCTTCCATGGCGTCATTGTTAATGTAAGTCTCGTCCAAGGTATCTAGTTGCTGCATGTACAATTAAGTTTACAGGAAGAACCAAGTTAGATCTACATTCAGAAGCGCATATACCACTGATACTGACAGTATGATGCCCATCTTGTATATTCCAAAATCCCAATTTGGTGTTTCCACCTAAATTTCGGCACTATCCATGACTGTAACGAAGTTTCACGGCTTTCCAATGTTTCCAATTTGCAGGGTAAGAACAGAATTACATTGACTGAAAAACAGGAGAGATCAATCTTGAAGATATGAACAGAGAAAATAGGAGCACCCATATATAGCGTTTCCGGTTTCCCTTACAACATAACTGCGGAATAGGGAAAATATCCAGAGTAGGTTAAGACAGTCAAAACATTCTGGTAACTCCATAAAAACAGAGCATCACAGTTTCTAGTTCAGCCCTTTAATTTACTAGTTCGTAGCAGCTAGGTAATTGATGTGAGTTGATACGCGAAGAAACGCCTTCATCCACCAATATATCTGGGTAAATTAGGCAAGCACTTTTCCCAAGCCATCATTCACTGAACAGTTTAAGGAGGATCTAACCTACCATCATAGATCTAGACGACAAGATGGAGAAAAAAAGGGGAAGATGAATTACCACTGCGAAATAGGAAGTATTCTGGAAAGAAGGCATTGTTGCGTTTGAACTCGAGAAGTTCCTAGACTGCCCAATTTCAGGGTGGTCCACGTCCTGAACATCCGGCAGAGTCACAGCTTCTTTCCTGCAGATCCATAGAGAGACACTCGTTTCGGTTCGTTTTAATTGCGCGGAAAAGAAGAATAGCAGAGAACTTGGGAGCGAAACGAACTTGGCCTGTAACTGCCGTTTCGGAAGAAGGGTACGGTCCGTCGCTGGTTCCACTTTCCATGTCTCGTTGATTTTAACCTTAACAGCGTTTCCGGTGGAATCACAGGAAATATTCAGCTCATGTAAGGAACCCATAAAATAAAAAACGCAAGCAGAATACGGATTCGGAGTTCGATTCGGGTACCAGCAAACGGGTAACGTCCTCTGTCGGAGAAAACCCAGAACAAGTACAACGGAGATTTGTGAGCAATAATGACGAAAATTCGAACTCGACGTTGCAGAAAAGAAAAAGAAAAAAAAAGTAAGATCAGAATTCAGAAGAGGGACGACTTCCTCACCGTAGAGCAGCTTCACTTTCCGTTCATAAACAATCACCACTCCACCTGAACAAAGAACAATCAAAACGTTTCGCGAAAAGAAGGATAAACAGACAAACCAACAGAGACGGAGCAGAGCACCCATTAGAATTCCGGAGAGCCGAAGCGCCATTGGAACCGAAGGATTCAGAATCTCCTCACTGTTAAAACGAAACAAGCAACCGGAGGTCAGTACAGTATACAGGACGATGGAGAGGATGGACGACAAAAACGGCGAGGCTAATTGAACCAGATGCTGATGATGTCGATCATGTCGAGCTTCTTCCGGTTCATCTTGGCGTGCATAGTTGCCGCCATCCTTGATCAGAGAAAGAGTAAAACAAGGCCATTATAACCGGAATCCTCCATTGAAAGCAGAAAGTGAGTGCGTAGAATCAATGAATTCATTACCAAATCTGGCCGAGGGGAGCTTTCCGAGCTAGAAGCTGGTGAGAGTAGAACATCTTCCTTCTCTTTCCTTTGCCCTCTTCTCTACCTGGGCGGTGAATCTAGCTGAGGGACGGACGACGGAGGAAGGAGGAGAGAATTCTGTCCTGAGGGAGAGTCGGTTATCAGCTCAGCTTCGAATTTGGACATTTAAAGTCCGTTGGAACGGAAAAAAAAAAGTGCTGAGCTAATACCCGCCATAGAGCCAGTAGACTGGGGAGCAGGGGACAGGGAGAATTACGGTGATATGATACCGTCACACGCGAAGGCACACCTAGGATAGAAACGCAGCTGACACGTGTACCTAGCAGTGTGTAAAATTGGAGGGAAATCGGTTACCTCCAGGCTCACAGCTGGGTTACGCTAGCAAAGCCTTTTAGAGGGAGAGGATCATAACTTTTGTGCACTTGTAAGCGGGGCCCACAGGATCAGCTTCCTCTACCACCTCTTCCTTTCGTCATTTTTTTTTCTTACAGAGCGAAAGCAAGAATACGTTCTTCCTTCCCTTCTTTTCTCCAAGCCCTAACTCAACTGTCCTATGGTTGGAGCTACGAAAATGGCGGAGGTGTGAGGAATGTGTACAATAAGTAGGTGTCCGATGGTTGGATTGAGGTGAAGGATGATGTTTCTGAATGGAGGTTGCAGTTACTAACCAGAAGCTGAGTTACAGAGGTGAATGAGTTTAGTGGTTGCTTCGTTTGGAAGGATTTCGCCGCCGACGGCAAGCTTGTGAGGAACGACAGCTCCTCTGCTTGTACTTCAGTGTATGTGCAAATTGAGGCTGTTGTGTGAAATTGCAGACAAATTTGCAGCATTCATTTCATTACAGTACGATGATCATTGAGGTACAAATTCGAAGTATATCAGACTGAAAGTTAGCAGCTAATTGAATGAAATGGAGGTACTTGTATTATTTCTGGTATCTCAAAATTGGGAGTTCTACAAACAGAGCAGGCTTAGATTTACAGGACAGGACACGAACATCTGATGTCGAACCGTCCTCTGTTTTTTTTCCTTGTTGCTATGACGTATAGTTGCTTTCTTTTCTTGTAACTGTGGTATTTCTACACTTACAGAACTCAGAGTCGTAGAGGAAGAATAAAGAAGACATGTAAGATCGTCGTCTCTCCTACAACTTCACCACCGATTGCCAGAACCTTGAGCTTGCCTAGAGTTTGACTGATTCTATAGTGCTGCTGCAGTAATTGATTTTAACTGGTGGGGCGCCAGAGACTTTTCTGGGCAACCAAGTATTGAGCTTGATGGATTTTTACCGACCAATGAAGCGACTTCAATATTGCAGTGAGCTTGTTGATCATTTCTATGGTGTCAAAGACGAGAAGATACCCGCCAGGTCTTACTATCCGGTCAATCTCTACCCCGACATCTATCAGGTCACATCTGAAGATTGCAAAGAAAAAATTTCTGACCTTAAATATAACTAAGAAAGCAACAAGAATTTGGTACTGATTAAGCCAAGGGGAGTGCAGCTTTACCTTTCCGATAGAGTCTTGAAGAGGAAGCTGGAATGGAGAAGGTCGTAAGTTCGAGGGTAAGTGTTGAATGACTCACACCAATCGTGGTAGACTCCGATCAACCCTCTGTCGTAGATGATACTGAGAGTGTCTTCCTCATGAACCGGAACAACGTTCATCACCCAGTACGGAAGATCAATCAATGCTGCAGCAAACCTGTCCAAGCACATGTCGATAGTACAAGTCAACGAGCACATACACAAGTGGCAGATAAGTTCATTTACATGGCGCGAGGTTCTTAATACTTACCCTCCATAGCCGGCATTCATATCCATGATGTTGCGAAAGCTAGGCCAGCTGATGTTGAGTTTCATGAGGTAAGTATCGGATACAAGTTCGGTCCAGCGTCTGTTATCTGCTTTGTACTGTTCTACAACCCCTGGTTCCAATGGCATGGGCACAGGGAGACTGCTGAGCCTGTAAGGCCATGTTACTGGCCACTTAATGACTTTGCCTTGTTTGTCTAGCGGGAGCCTTGTAATGCAGTTTAGCAGAGGTGTGTACCTAATGAAGCCAGCCATAGAACAATTAGAAATCACCAATTTTGCTTAAAATTTTGAGTTCTTTTTGGAGGTTCTTTAATTCTTTTACCATGAAATGTTGTGCTGATCGTTCTGATCACACAGAGGAGGATTATTCTGTGGGCGTTTCTCATAGCAAGAAGGATTCTCTGGTTTCTGATAGATTACCAGTCCAATTCCGGTTGAGTCCATTGTCTTGGCCACAACTTTCCAGCACATAGCTTCAGTCAAAGCCGACACAGCTGCAGTATAGGCGAAGAACGGATGAGAAAATAGCATCGAACTGATTGTCATAGTGATAATTGCAGCAGCATGGAAATTAGTAATTGGGGAGAAAGGAATCTGACATTTCCAAACTTTGGCGTCTCTTTGATCGTCCTGGTACACAGGCGTGGCTGACCATATGAAGAAACCTCCAGGTCTCAGAACCCTGTTGAGCTCCAGAAGCGGCTTCCCACCTGAAAACTTCGTACATGCTCACGAGAACCAGAAAGAAAATGGAAAGAACATGAGAAACAGATCAACATTCCACTACATACCATCAGCATCCCAGTGAACTCTGCAACGAGCGCAATGAACCAGATCGAAAGCATTATCAGGAAACACGAGCTGCTGCGTCCCGATCACCGAAAGAAACGCAGGGATCCCTCTCTCGAGAGCAAACTGAATCTGCGCTTCGTGTTCATCCTTGGGCGCTATCGACATGGTAAGGACTTGCTTGTCCAGCAAGTATCCGCCGAAGCTAGCCACACCACAACCTACGTCTAGAGCCACCCTTATCTGTCTTCCCCAATGGATTATTGGCACCGTCTGATAATCCATAACAACATATTTTCAAGTTTCAAAAAATTCACCACATTCCAATTTTGTTACGATGCAATCAACTCTATACCTTGTGAATGAAGCTGGCGTAGTTGGAGACGCCATCTTTGAACTGAGTCCCACCTCCAGGGAATACAAATTGATCGCCTTCCTTGCGCACCCAGTTCTGATCCTTCTTGTACTCCACAAGCTTAGGATGTGGCACATTGTCGTACCATATCTTCGAAACAAATTTAATGGTGTCTCAGACGCGGTATTACCAATTGGGGATCAATATTGGTATAATTCAAACGAGGGATTCAGATTTCTAAATTAGGTCAGTGGAAGAATGAATGAGTTTACCATGTCCCTGCTCTTAGGCCAAGGCAGAGGGCGCTTGTATCCTTTGGGGAGAGGAACCAAACACCTTAGCGGCGCCGGTTTAGGGCAGTGCCTCTCCCTGTGCTCCATGTGCCTTCTGGTTGGCAGCCTCTTGATGGCCTTGTAATTATCCAAACAGGGGATGTAATCCGCCGCCAGGACTCCCTCGCAGGGGCGCCACGCAATGTCGAGGGCCGGCGGGGTGGGGAAGTTGGACTTTCTGGCCTTGAGCGCAGGGGAGTCCTTGCCGGGAGGGACGGGAGCGTCGTTGGCGTCGGAAGGCTCGGTGGTGGAGACGTCGGAGCGACCGGCGAGGGAGAAGTAGTAAGGGAGGTCGACGGTTTTGCCGCTGGAGAGGAAGAAGAAGGTGATGGAGATGAGGAAGAGGAAGAGAAAGAGGATTAAGGCGAATCCGAAGGTCCGCTCTTTCATCAGCTTGCCCAGCGACATCGCGGCGGGGCGGTGGCGGTGAGGATTCGGTTTTCCTGATTGTCGTCGGCGATGGAGAGGAGGGGAAGGGAAGGGAAGGGAAGGGGGAGTGAGATTGAATGGATGATTGATTGAGATGGGAGTGTGAGTCTCTGTTTCTCTGAGGTTGAAGAGAGAGAAAGTGAGAATGAGAGAGAGAGAAGGAAGTGTGGAACTGGAAGAGAGGGGTGGAGCTGAAAAGGAGGGGAATAAACCGGAGAGGCGGAGACTGTTGTTTTTTCTTCTATTTTTTGCCATTTTTCCCGCTATTTCTGTGATCGGGCCGGAGAGGAGGAGACTGTGATCGGGGCGTAATTGTCTGGTCCGGCCCTTTTCAGCTTTTTCGTTTCTTTTCTTTTTCGGATAAATTGCAAGATTGGTTACTGGGATTACAAAAAAACGTTTATGTTTGGTCACTAAAAATATTTTAATTCCACTCGTAGTCACTAAATTTAGTAAAACCGTCCAAGTTTGGTCACTCTCCGTTAGTCTCCGTTAATGAAGACCGTTATATGCTGACGTGGCAGACGGAATCGCTTAGTTAGCCTAATTTAACCCCCGAAAATGATGAAACCCAACCTGCCACGTCAATTATACTCGCCATGTCATGTAACTCAGCCCAACCCAAGCTTTGAACCAGCCCGACCCATGAACCAACCTACTCAAACAAAATAGTGTCTATCCCATTTTCCTTTCAGACCTGAAAACAATCTTCTTGTTTGAGACTTTATACCCTTTGCCTGATTCCCCTGAATCCTCTTTCGCCAGGCGCCTATCTGCACACACCAACAAGGAGGGGGCGCCTTGACCCGTTAATCCTCCGACGCCCAAGTTAGTTTTCAGAAAGAGAGTAGAGTCTCAAAGCTAGAGTTTGTGTGAGAGCGTCCAACCTGCGTAAATGCTACCAACTGCCTCTATTTATACTTACCTGAGTTCGAGGTTGATCCTCTCTGCCTCCCTTCCCTCATTCAATGCTTTTGTCTCTTTCTGGCCAGACATCCTAACCAACTTGTCAGACTCCTGACACGTGACAGGCGCCCGCAGGCGCTGGACCACATGACAGCCTGGCCTCCCTTGGCCTCTTGTGCCTTGTCTTCATGTGACATCCCCTTTACTTGGGCCTTGCCCCTCACTTGGGCAGCTTGGGTGCCTAAGTTTGCCTAGGCCTTGCCCCCCACTTGGGCTTTGCTCATTATACCCCCAACAATTGCCCCCCCAGCTAGGTGCTCATTGCTCTGCTGCTGAGCGCCTAGCTGACTCGGTGGTTGTTTTGCCCCTACTTAGGCGTCTGACCTAGCTGTAGTCCTTTTCGGGGCGCCTCGACCTTCCTGTAGTCCTTTTCGGGCGCCGGGTTTAAGGCGCCTCAACCCCTTATGCCCCCCTCAAGGGGGGGCGTTTGATATTGACCCCACGTTTTCCTTCTTCGAATTTTGGCCTTTTTTTTTTTTTGGCCAAAATTCCAATCAGAAAAGGAAAAGGTGGGGGGAAACTCAAATGCCCGCCCTTGACGATGACACGTGGCACGCTACACGCATCTACCCTCCTGCTCTTCCTTTCCTTTAAATACCCCCCTTCCCCATCAGTCCTTGTCACTTTCCACATTCTCGCCTCTCTCTAAGATTGTTGCTCTGACTTCTCTCTAGATTCTCTCTGACATCTCTCTAGATTCTTCTGCTTTCGTCAGCTTTTCCGTCCATACATCCAAGCATGACTTCGCAAGGAGACAAAGTTGTCGGCCAGGGCGCCTCCCCCGTTGGTGAAGAGACTAGGCCAGGCGCCTCTAACGCTGGCGGCGAGGCAAGGCGCCCCGCTCGAAGTGGTAAGGAATTTTCTTGCTCTACTAGTTGCGTTCCTTACTTTTGTTCTAGTTCTCTAGGGTAGGGCGTCACTTACTCTGCGGCCATATTGCGCCTGGGTTGTTTATTGGTTTAGAGAGGGCGCCTGGGTCGACGTCCGCAGGTCCGTCAAGCGCCTCCACCCCGGGCTTCATGCCTGCCGATGGATCTTACAAGATATCCGTGTGGGAGAACTCGTTTCCGCCTGATCACCTCCCGACGGAGACCGAGTCGTTGCCTTTCGACGTTGCGGGTCCACAGCACACCTCTACCGTCACCTTGGCTTGTGTTCATGAGCTAGTGACCAGCCTCCAACTGCCCCGTGATTGGTGGTATGCGCCTCCCTCCCCTATCGCACGAGTGGGCGTCTGTGGGCCCAAGTGGATAGGGGTGTATCAAGAGTACTTCCGCTTTGGGCTGCGGTTCCCCCTTGACCACATCATGGAGGGGATAATGACGACCTGTGGCTGCCCATTGGGGCGCCTGTCTCCTTCGGTGATCATGGTGGTCATCTTCTTCAAGCTGCGCTGCCGCGAGCATAACGTGGAGCCTACCTTCAATCTTTTCCGATATTTTTTCAAGATGGCGGCTCATGATAATTGCTTGTCTCTTCAGAAGAGGAAAGGGCGCCCTTATCATTTTGTAGAGAAGTGCCCGAAGTTGGGGCGCAGCTGGTTCAACGGATTTTTCTTCATGAAGGCATATCGGGACTCGTTTTTTGAGAGTGGGGGCGCCTTCATGAGAGAGTGGGCGCTGGGGAGTGTGGAGGAGTTTAACGAAGACGTGAGGTTGTCTCCGACAGAAAAGGCAGGCGCCCCGCTGATTTGCGAGACGCGCGTAAATTTGCGCAAGACCGTGAATCGTCCTCCTATTTTGGAGGCGTATTATGATGATGGTCCGTAGGCGCCCATATGTTGTGCTAACGTTTTTCTTGCCTTGTCCTGTTGTCGATGAATGTTTGCTGTGGTGCTAACTCATTTAACGATGTGCAGGATCAGACTTCACCAGCATCGCGAAGCTCATGAAGAGCCGCCTTGCTGCCATGGCTGGGGGAGCGCCCCCACCACCAAGGCCCAAGGCGCCCGTTCCGGCTGCGCCGGAACCGCAGGCGCCTTCTGCTGCCCCCAAGAAAAAGAAGAAGAGGGCAGTGAAGGGGGGTACCACGAAGACGGCCAGCGTGGCCTCTTCAGCACCGGAGGGGGAGGAGGAGGCGCCGCACACAGAGGCGCCCACTACAGAGCCTGCGGAGCAGGAGGGGAATTCCGGGGAAGAGGAGCCCGAGCCCCTAGTCAGGCGGGGGAAGCGGGCTGGGTCCCCCTTGGGCAATGTCAGCAAGAAGGCTGACAAGGGGAAGGAGAAGATGAGCGCTGGCGCCCGAAGTGGGGGAGGGGGCGCCTTCGAGTATCATCTTACCGAGGAGGGGCAGTGGGTGGGCCCCGACGGGCGCCCCCCCATTTTCCTGCCCACACGCGCCGATGTTGGGCGCATTGAGCTGCCATGCTCCCCGCTGGTGGCTGTTGACCGAGGCTGTGCCATGGGCATGGCAATTACGGCTGCCAAAATGTGGCAAGTGCCGTCGGAGGTGAACGGGGATCACCTATTTGCTGAACTGGCGAAAGTGGGCGCCAAGGTACGTTCACCGTTGTTTGTGTTGTTGGTTGTTGGGTTTTGTTAAATTTTGCACAAGTACTAACTCTTTGTGTTTCGTGTGTGTTAGATTCTTCTTTTTGCTGAAAGAGGCGCCCGGCGCCTAAATGAAACAAAAAGAGAGGCGCTCGAAGCCTCATCTTCGGCCTCCCAGTTGCAGCGCGACCTTGATAACGCGACGGAGCGTCGTGAACAACTTGTGAAGGAGTGCGACGAGGCGCAAATGAATGCGGCCTTGCAAGTGTCGCAACTTCAGGGCGCCCTCGACGAGGAGCGCAATAAGTCGGCCACCCTTGCAGCTGAGAAGGAGGCGCTGGCGCAGGGGGCGGGCGCCCAGGCCAGCGAGATTGCCGCCCTCAAAGAGGAGAAGAAGAAATGGCAAGACGCCTACAAGGAGTGCAAGAAGGAGCTGAAGGAGGCGCGGAAGGAGATTACCAATTTGCGCCACTCTCTGGACACCTTCGAGGAGTCCGAGACTGGGAGGAACATGAGTGCAAGTGCTATCTTGTCTGGCCTGCAGATCTTCCACGGCAAACTGGTGAAGGATCACCCTGACCTTACTTGGGATTTTACTGAAATCGCCGAGTATGTGATTGGGGAGTTGGAGACGCCACCGGACACGGGGAATGTGCCCCAATCAGCCAATGTGGAGGAGCCTAAAGGTGACTCTGTTCCTGTCTCTCCTTCTCCGAAGGCGCCTAGCGCAGGTGATGCCAACTCCGGCGCTGAGTGAGTGCAGCTGGGCGTTTTGATTTCCTCTGTAATATTTATTTATTTATTTATTTATTTTTTTTTTCTTTTTTTTTGTTAATAAAAATGTTCTTCTTGGATGTTGCGACCATACTTGTGTTTATTTTAGCGTTGAGTTTGGGCGCGAATAGTGCGGGCGCTTTTACACTTCGGGGGCCAATTTCCTTTACCACTGATTGCTATGTCCCGAGGGCGCTAATGTGGGCGCATTGATTGTTCTGATGTTGGGCGCAGAATAGAGGGCGCTTTGGTTTTGACGGGCGCAAACTTGGGCGCTTTACTTACTCACATGCCAACTGACAATCTTACGATAGGGCGCAATTTATAGGGCGCTTTGTACCTCACCAAATTTCCGGGCGCGAAATTAGGGCGCTTTTACTGATTAAGAAATAGGAATTGAAAACATAATTCTTCAAACGAGCGCTGCAACAAGGGGCGCTTTTGGACACAATACGGCGCTACTTTTACGAGCGCTTTTGAACACAACACGGCGCCTTACACAACTGCCTCTAACACAAACAATGCTCTTGCCCACGGCCATCCTTTTCCTTCTTGGCCCTTATCGAACGGAGGCGCCCTCATGGTAAACCCGCAGGTTCTGCGCATTCCAAGTTCGTTTCACGCTTTTGCCGCTGGTATGCTCTAGCTTGAACGTACTTGGTCCCACCACCTCTCGAACCCGGTATGGCCCTTTCCATTTTGGTGCTAACTTCCCCTCACGGGCGTCTGGGCGGAAGTCACGCTTGAGAACTAGGGCGCCCTCGGTGATTCCATGCGCTCGCATTTTCTTGTTGTAGTACCGAGCCACTTGGCGCTTCATTTTCTCCAGCCGGATGGCCGCTACTTCCCTCACCTCATCTGTCATGTCTAGCTCATCAATTCTTGCTTTGCCATTGCTGCTTGGGTCATACTGGCCAACGCGGTAGCTTGGGGTGTTGACTTCCACAGGGATTACCGCCTCACTTCCGTAAGTTAGGGCGAAGGGTGTTTCTCCCGTGGCAGTTTTGTAGGTTGTGCGATGCGCCCACAGTACACTTGGTAGTTCCTCCACCCACCTGCCCTTGGCGCCTGCTAATCGGGTGTGCAACCCGTGGAGAATACACTTGTTGGCTGCTTCCGCTTGGCCATTTGCCTGCGGGTATGCCACTGAGGAGAACCGCAGGACGACCCCGTTGTCATCGCAAAACTCAACAAATTTCTTGCAATCGAATTGCTTCCCATGGTCTGCGACAATGGACTCGGGTAGGCCGAACCGGGTGAATATGTTTTTCTTGGTGAACTTTCGCACTTGCGCTTCTGTAACAGTGGCCAAGGGCTCAGCTTCTATCCATTTGGAAAAGTAGTCGACTGCCACGATCAAGTATTTCATTTGCCCGGGCGCCTTGGGAAAAGGGCCTAACAGATCCATGCCCCATTGGGCGAAAGGCCAGGCCCCTACATTGCCTTGCATGGGCGCCGCCGGGACATGAATGTCGTTTGCATGAATTTGGCACTGGTGACAGGCGCCCACGTGTGCCCTTGCGTCCCGCCTCATCGTTGGCCAGTAATAACCTTGTCGCAGCAGCGTTTTTTCCAAACTGCGCGCTCCCGCGTGCATTCCGCACGTACCGCTGTGCACCTCTTCGATTGCCCCTCTGCTTTCCTCCTCGTTTAGACACCTCAAATATGCGCCCGAATGGGACCTCTTATACAACGTTCCTTCAATCATGGAGCAGCGGGCCGCCTTTCGACGGAGGCGCCAGGCCTCCTTTGGGTCCTCCGGCACCGTTCCTTGGGTCAAGAATAATATGATCGGTGCCATCCACCCTGAGCCGGCACCCTCGTCCCCCAAGATTGCGACCACATATTGGCGGGGCACTTCCGCAGTGACAATGACCTTCCGATCCTCCGCAAACTCTACCGCAGTGGCCAATTTGGATAGGGCGTCTGCATGCGCGTTTTCCTCGCGCGGGATGTGTATGAAAGAGATTTCCCCAAACCAGGCTCCCAGTTCTCTGACCCTTTGCACGTATACTTCTAGCGCTTCCTCCTTTACTTCGAATGCTCCGTTAAGTTGGTTGACGACGAGGGCCGAGTCGGACTTGACCTGGATTTTGTGGGCGCCCAGCTCTTTAGCCATGGTCAGGCCAGCGATCACCGCCTCGTACTCTGCAGCGTTGTTTGTTTTCAAGGTGGCGAATCGCAGCGCTACCTCGTGCATCGCACCTCCCGGACTTATCATCACAATCCCTGCTCCGGCGCCCGTTCTGCTGGCCGCACCATCGACTTGGACTTGCCAGCAATCATCTGTCTCCTTCTCGGTCTCAGCTATTCCTTCCGCTACAAAGTCGGCCAGGACTTGGGCCTTGATGGCTGGTCGAGGCGCATACCTGACGTCGAACTCGCTTAGCTGGACTGCCCACTTGACGAGGCGCCCGGCCACATCCATTGACCCCAATGTGGATTTCAGAGGGAGGTTGGTAAGGACTGTGACGGCGTGAGCTTGGAAGTAAGGTCTAAGCTTGGTTGCAGCCATCACAACCGCCAGCGCGGCCTTCTCAATGGGCGCATATCGCTTTTCGTGGGGAACCATAGTGCGACTGACGTAGTACACCGGTCTGTCCTCTCCAGAGTGGGCGCCTCTTGTGACGAGCACTGCACTTACCGACACCTCCGACACAGCAATGTACAGGTATAGTGGCTCTCTCGCCCTAGGCGCCGTCATCACGGTTGGGGCGCTTAATAGTTGCTTCAACTCCTCGAATGCTCCATCACACTCGGTGGTCCATTGGAAACGGGCTGCCTTTTTAAGCGTTCGAAAGAAAGGGGCGGCCTTGTCCGCGGACCGGGGAATGAAGCGCCCCAATGCTGCCAGCCTGCCCGCCAGGCCTTGCACTTCCTTGGGCGTCTTTGGGGGGGTCAGCTTAAGGATCGCATCCACTTGCTTCAGGTTGGCCTCTATACCTCTTTTGGTGATCATAAATCCCAGAAATTTTCCCGCTTTGGCGCCGAATACGCACTTGAGGGGGTTTAGCCGGAGCCTATGCGCCCTCATGGCCTGGAATGTCTCTCGCAAGTCTCCGATGTGGTCTTCCCGTTTCCGACTCTTGACTATGAGGTCGTCCACGTAAGCTTCCACATTCCGGCCAATTTGCTGCCGGAAGACGTTGTTGACCATCCTTTGGTATGTGGCGCCCGCATTCTTGAGCCCAAAGGCCATGACCCGATAGCAGAAATTTCCGAAAGGCGTCATGAAAGCCGTCTTGGGCCGATCTTCCTCTGCCATGGGGATTTGATGGTATCCCGAAAACATGTCCACGAAGCTCAGCATCTCGTGATATGCCGTGGAGTCCACCAGCAAATCTATCCGTGGCATTGGGTAGGCGTCCGTTGGGCACGCCTTGTTGAGGCTCGTGTAATCCACGCACATCCTCCAGTCGCCCGACGGCTTGGGCACAAACACCACATTCGACAGCCAGGTAACATAAGATGTTTCTTCCACTAAATTGGCGCCCATAAGCCTGTCCACCTCAACCCTTAGGGCTGCCTCTTTTTCCGGCGATAAGTTCCTGCGCTTCTGTTGCACAGGACGTCTCCCTTCCTCAACCGCTAATCTGTGCACTGCTGTTTCGGGCTTGACGCCCGGCATTTCCATGGCACTCCAAGCGAAAAGCTCTGCGAACTCTTTTAGAAGCGCGATGAGCCGCTCCTTCATCTCGGCAGGCGCCTCTGCCGAAATCCTAACGCACCTTTCTGGGCGCCCTTCCTCCAACGCTACCAAAAGGTCCTCGTCGGCTGCTTCGGCTCGGGGCGCCTCGTCTTCTCCTAGCTCAATTACATTGATTCTCGCATCGACGTGCCTTCGCTTGCGCCCTGTCTCCCTCGCGTAACGCGGGGCGCCTCGTCCTCGGGCCACGCCCACCCCTTGCGGGGCAATGAACTTCAAGGTCTGATGACAAGTGGAGGCCACCCCATTAAACAAAGCCAGGAGCGGCCTCCCGAGGATCGCATTGTATGGGGAAGGGCAGTCCACTATCCCAAAATCTATGGCGCGCGTCACCCTTTGCTCTCCATCTCCCAACGTGACGGGCAGGCATACCCGCCCAATCACTCTGGCAGGCGCCCCTGAAAAGCCCACTAGTACCGACTCCGATGGTCTGATCATTTCTGGAGATAGTTGCATGCGAACCACCGTATCCTTGAACAGCACGAACATGGAGCTTCCTGTATCTACCAACATTCTCCTTACCCTGCACCCGGCTACTACCCCTTGTATCTCCAAGGCGTCCATGGACGGGAGCATACACGCCTCCTCAGGCGCCTTGTTGAAGCTAATGTCGATCGACTCCAGCACATCTGCCGACGCCGCCCTCAACCGACGCTTTGCTTCTATTTTCTCCCTCAGATCCATTGTCCCTGAAATGGCTTCGATCGTCAGGCGCACGCGGTCAGGCGCCTTTTCTTGGTCCAAGTCATAGGGTGGTGGTGGCAGCTGCTCCTCTGTTCTCACTACTCCAGCCACACACGCCCTATGCACTCTTTCCTCGGGCTTTCTGATGAAGTCATTGAGCATTCCCCTGTCCGCAAGACCCTGCAGCTCTGTCTTAAGTTGGTAGCAATCGGCTGTGTAGTGCCCAATCTCTCGGTGGAAGTCGCAGTACCGGTCCAAGTTCCGCTCGTTGGGTTGCCCCCGCATCGGCCCTGGCCACCTGATGTGGTATCCTTTGTCCTTGACGTGCTGGAGCACATTCTTCAGGGTGTCGTTATACTCGGCGAAGGGCCCAGCCCCTCTAGGCGCCTGGCGCCCCATATCGTTCCTCCTTGGCGGTGGCTGGTTCGTGGGCGCATAGCCCGAACCGCTCGTCGGGTACTGCCTCCTTGGTACCTCGACCTCCTCTACTCGTGCCTTCCTTCGATCTGCCCTCCTGGCCGCTAACGTCTCCTCCAGCACAATTACCTTTTGCACTCTATAATCCAGGTCTTCTGTGGACACCACATCTCTCTTCGCAAGCGCCCTGCACAACTCCTCACTGGAGGTGCACTCATTCAGACACACCCCCAGCACCGACGGCTGGGCATCCTTCACTGCTAGAGCCACAGATAGCCACCTCTCGTAAAATTCCCGTAACGCCTCACCCTCTTTCTGCTTGACTTTAAACAAGGCGCCTATGGTCAAGGAGCGCCTTTTTCTGCTGGCAAACTTCGCCAAGAACATCGCTGCGAACTGTTCGAAGCAGTCGATGGGCCCTTCACCGATCTGATGATACCAATCGAGAACCACACCCGAAAAGGTGGACGGAAACACCTTGCACAGGGTTGCATCTGTGCTGTTATAGAGTTGCATTTTGGTGAAATATCCGTTGAGGTGGTCCTCGGGGTCTCCAGTCCCGTCATAAGCTGGGAGTGGGGGGATGTTGGTTCCGGCTGGCTCCGATAATATGCAACGCGCCAGAGGCTGTCTCACAGGACAGTGGCGTGAAAGGCGCCCCAATATTCCTCCATTCCATCCACTATCGTCCGGCGCCCCGTGATCACGTGGGTGCCATAGGCCGGGACGCCTCGGGCACCTTGATTCAATCTCCGTCTCTTCCGCCCTTTCTCTTTTCTTCGTCGGGCTGGGTGTCATCCCCTCACCCCTTCTCAAGACGTCCACTTCACGCCGCAGCGCCTCGATCGCCTCATCTTGATTCTCAATGATCCGGAACAATTCTTTTTTCGTGACTGAGGCGCCTTCGGATCCCCGCAACGTGCCTTCACTTCCTTCACCTTCTTCCTCCTCAGGCGTCTGCCCTCTCATTCGCTCCGACTGTTCTTCCGTAATCTCTTCCCTTTCTTCGTTCATGGGCGCCTCTTCACTCATGGTTCCTGGCTATATTCCCCTATCTGGCGCGCCAATTGTTTGAGACTTGATACCCTTTGCCTGATTCCCCTGAATCCTCTTTCGCCAGACGCCTATCTGCACACACCAACAAGGAGGGGGCGCCTTGACCCGTTAATCCTCCGACGCCCAAGTTAGTTTTCAGAAAGAGAGTAGAGTCTCAAAGCTAGAGTTTGTGTGAGAGCGTCCAACCTGCGTAAATGCTACCAACTGCCTCTATTTATACTTACCTGAGTTCGAGGTTGATCCTCTCTGCCTCCCTGCCCTCATTCAATGCTTTTGTCTCTTTCTGGCCAGACATCCTAACCAACTTGTCAGACTCCTGACACGTGACAGGCGCCCGCAGGCGCTGGACCACATGACAGCCTGGCCTCCCTTGGCCTCTTGTGCCTTGTCTTCATGTGACATCCCCTTTACTTGGGCCTTGCCCCTCACTTGGGCTGCTTGGGTGCCTAAGTTTGCCTAGGCCTTGCCCCCCACTTGGGCTTTGCTCATTATACCCCCAACACTTCTCTCTGGTTCTCCAATTTTTCTTTCGCTCCCTTCGACAACTAGCTCCAGATGGCACTTCACTTGGTCGCCATATATCGCCGCCATGGAGAATAAATGATTGTTGTTATGGTGAAGCGACGGAGCATAACCATCGCCTACTGAGAGACAAAGAGGGGGGGGGGGGGTTAATGTTCATATAGAAAGGAAGCTAAGGAAAAGAGATGAGGAGGCAGGGGAGGCTTCTGTTATGTTATAATGAATGAGGGGTAGTGGAAAACTAGGGGGAGGGGAACCTTGTTGCAAAGGGATACGGGGAAAAGATTCAAAGAAAGGAGAAGAAGCATAGAGGAGAATAACAAAAGGGAAAGGCTTTGGGGTAGGGACCAAAAGTTACTTTCGCAGTCGTCGTTTCCTTCATTTTTCTCCGGCAGAGGTCCAAATCTGATAGCAACAGAGTCCCTGAAGCATTTTCCCTCTGTTTTCCCTGTTGGGAGGGCAGAACTCCTCGAATCCCTCCAGCAAAGAGGAGAAAAATAGGGAGGTGAGAGGCGGCAAGCACCAACTCCTCGATCTGGTTCCATACGGGAGTTCTTCATCTGGATTTCTGTCGTCGTTGGATGAATCTAGCGATGAAGGAGGAAGGAGTGAGATCGTTGATGCAGATTCAGGCAAGAGGAATAGAGTACCAGGTGGCGATGATTTTGATGTATGCCAATCAAGTGAAGGGGAGGCCAAAACATGCATCGCATATGGGTGGAGAGGAAAGAGGAGAAGATGGACTGATGAGGAAGAAAGAGGAGAAGATCGAGAAGAAGCTTTGAATCAATGAGGGTTTTTCTTTTTGCTCTCTACATCGAAGAGGGGTTGGGAGAAGTGGAGGAAGATGGAGAGATGAGAATCCAAGTTGGGCTTTTCTTTTCATTTTCTTATTTTTTTTTTATTTTTTTAAATGATTAATAATAATCTGACATGTCGGATTTAAATGACATGTCGGGTCAGACTTTATAAAGTAGCGGGTTGAAATGGGGTGAATCATCTTTTCTGTTAGCCACGTCAGCAATTAACTGACGGTGTTAACGGAGACAGACGGAGAGTGACCAAACTTGGATCGTTTTACTAAATCTAGTGACCACAAGTGGAATTAAATATTTCTAGTGACCAAACATGAACGTTTTTTATAATCCCAGTGACCAACCTTGCAATTAACCCTTTCTTTTTCTGACTACTAATTGAATTAACTCAATAGTATGACAAGAAAATGTCTTCCCTGTCTAATTATGAGGTTTGTACGATCTATTGTATTCTTGGTTTCTCTTAACATATATTTTGGATGGAAAAAATTAATTAAGTTTCAGGGATGAATAAAATGTAATTTTCGAGATAAATCATGATCTAATGGACTAGAAAGTTTGACAAATTGATATAAAAATTGTCACATAAAACATGAGTGAGATGAATATCTTAGTCACAAAAAAAGTATATGAGGAAATCAAGTAATCTAGTCTCTAGTCTCCACATAACCATATAAAGAGTATGAGGAAATCAAATCATTTAGTCTATGGTCTGCACATAACCATACAGCCAGGAAATTTGTGAGACTTTTGGCAAAAAGAGAGTTCAAAGATTCGGTACATAGAATTCCACATCGAATGCACACCTACATAACAAAGTACAACAAACTATGAAATAGGTTGGCTATTGTTAATTCCATACTCATAACATCACACTCTGCCACAATGACTGATAGCACGAGGTCTTGTTAAGTTGTTATCCCATCATCGAATCGAGATTCGAGGACGATAAAACTTCAATTTGAGAGCTCGAGAATACACTTCAACAAACTAAGACGACGAACAAACCTTCAAGGAAGCTCGTGACTTCACCATTGGCTAACAGCTCCTCCTCTTATTTCTCAGAAAATTGGTCTCCTCTAAAATCTAAAATTGGTAGTTAGTCATACGGTATAAAAAACACCGGGAACCAGGCTAGGGAAAGGCAAAAGACTTGGCAGTTTGGCCATACAAAAACAATAGTACAAATATTCAAGCCGCCGGAGAAACTCAAAGTTGCCGGTGCCAAAAATCAACTCAAGGAAACCCCAACTTCAAATCAAATGTAAGAATATCCAAAACTACAACCCCCTATAGACCGACTTTTGTTCTCTCTACTAGTGTGCTTTTACTCAGTTATGCCCGGACCGGCATTCTCTACATCCACATCTCCCATACCGGTATCTTCTTCCTCCTCGCTGTCTTCATCCCCGCTAACCTCCTCATTCTCGTTACGCAGCTTAGCCATGTGCTCTGCCAGCAACTTGTCATCCCGTTCGCTCACCTGGATTACACAAACAACAAAGCAGATTGATCGAGTGAGTCGGAGTAGACAAGTTTATGTGACATTAATCAATCAGCCCATTAGGCACAAAACATTTCCAGACACAAAAAAGGTGGGATTCAGTAATAAGGTTTTGACACTCACCGCTCTTGGTGCCTCCTTCACAATAAGCTTCCCTTTCTGCGCTTCTATTGCTTCACTACATGCTGTGATGGCCTTGGTGAGGATGGATATTCCTTGGTCCTGCAGAAACCAATGTAAAATCAGTGGTCAACATAAAACCCACAATAACTCAACCAAACGGTAAAAAGATCTCTCAGCTTTAGGAAAGAGACTAACTTTGTCAAGGGTTTGTGTGGTGAGAACATAAAGTGGAGGAGCAACCAGCTTAATCTTCACAGGGCAGTCATCGTTACCAGCAGCTTCTGCCTTCCGCATTGCATCCTGCAATATTTGCAGACATTTTTTAAACATCGACAATTGGACATTCTAGTGAAGGCAGCTTAATTAGCAGAGAAAAAGAAAAACCATTTATAACAAAAACCTTAATATGAAGGACACCATCAAACTGAAAGCATTTCATTTCGATGTCTGCTCTTATCTTCGTAGGCTGTGGTGTCATTCTTCTCTTAATGTTCTTCACCAGAGAATCTTTCACTTCATCAGTTACTGCTGGCACAACTTTGGTTACCTACAAAACCAGAGATTAGAACTTCTAGGGAGAGAGAAAAAGAAGAGAACCAAGCAGAACAAAATAGACACAAAAAAGGGGCTGTGCCAAAAAAGTTTTCACCTCCTGTCCATCAGGGCCAACTTCCTTGACTTCACGGGTTAGTGTACCAAGAACCGTATCAGGGTCGGTCACAATGATTTTGAATGCCTGCATGATAATAACGTTTTAGACACAACCTTCAGTCAAATAATCAGAAGCCTCAACAACTATTGTTTCATATCCTCACCTCAAAAGCATGACCATACTTGTGGTACAGAGGCCAGCCGATGTGGATGTACAACTCCTGCCATCAGTCACAGTAAACGGATTATCATTAGTCAGCAAGAAACTTAAGCAGATAAATATGCAGGTACATACGAGAATGACACAGCGAACTACGAAAGCAAATTCAACCCCAAAACTCTTAATCAATAATAAGTCACCAAGCATAGGCATCAATGGACACCTCCCACGTATCATATATTTAATTCAAAGGTTAAATTATATGCTACACGACCTAAAGCCAATACCCATAAAGCTGATAGGCTGAAGCTGATACATACAGTAAAGCCATCAACCATCATCAAGAACACACACGTGTAATTATGGTAACGAAAGGATCACAACAATACCAATTCTACTAGCACATCCGGCAATTGCAAAGATAATCACAAGAAACAGCATCGTTCAACTTCTCTTAAAACTTAAAAGCAAGAGGGGAAGGCTTGTCACAGATGGTAACACAAGCCTCATAATAGTTCTTCCCTAACATGAAGGGTGCTCATGATATTTTGGTTAAAGAAAAAGCACCCAGTCGCCATCCTAGCTTAGCCAATACCTCCCCGAGTTGCATAATTAAAGGATTACTTGACAATCACAAACTTGAGCAAATATTCTACACTATCTACTCTCAGAATCTATAATCCAACCAAAAGATCAATTCTTTAGCCATTCTTCCGAAAAAGAAGACAGAAACCAAAATTCCTACCCTGGACCATGAACTGTCTCCACTGAGTGCTTAACTCTTTAGCGCCAAACTTGCTGATCCCGATTCCACTATCCAAATAATACTAGGTAAAATCCACATTGGAATTGACAGTTCGCTTAGCATCAAGGCATTACCTCCAAATCAAGTCCCAGAGTCTCAGCAACGTGGCGCATGATGGAGTGAACAAGCTTACTCTTGTTGTACCTCTCCTCGCAGGTCTGGATATCCTCTTCACTAACCCTCCTCTTACTCAAATCAATGTATCCCTTCTCCTTATCAACCCTAAGCACCATCACGGGCTCGATACGGCCGACCTTAATCAAGCTGCTGACACTACGAATCCGGCGGCGGGAGAGCTCGGAGAACAAGATCATTCCTTCTATGTTGTTGTACTCCAGCAAGGAGACGTAGGCGCCCATGTCGGCGATGTTCTTCACCTGAATCATCACCGCCATGTCTACTTCCGGGTACCGGGACTCGTACATGCGGCAGTCTAAATTCGGACCCGCCATGGCTGCTGCTGAAGGTTACTGGGAACTGCGACAGAAAATGACGGAGAGGGATTCGGGAGAAGTGGATTGGGTGACAAGTATTTTGGGGACTTATTCGCTGTTGCTTTGGCTGTGAGTTAGCCAGGAATTTTTTCTTAATAGGTTAGGGTTTTCGGAGGAAGCAGGCTGCTGAATATGAGCTTATAAAAAATCTTCGTGGTAAACTTTTTTTTCCTATTCCCTTGATTATTTATTTTTGTAACTGGAGGAATTTTGACGGGCCGAAGGAGGGGTAGTTTATTGCGGGCCGAGATTGAGGCGGTGTGAAAGTAATAAAAAAAAAGATGAATGGGCTGGGCTGAAAGTCCAGATCAAATAAGTGAAAAGTGAAGGAAAATATCGTCAACAGCAGGATTCGAACCTGCGCAGGCAAAGCCCAACAGATTTCGAGTCTGTCTCCTTAACCACTCGGACATGTTGACAAATTTGAATATTATCCTATACAAATATATTTATTCTAAGCAAAAAAATGAGTTTGGTTGAAAGAAAAACAAAATAGAAAGTGGCGAAAATAACGCCCACCGTGGGGCTCGAACCCACGACCACAAGGTTAAGAGCCTTGCGCTATACCAACTGAGCTAGAGGGGCTGCTGATCATTAGTGATATTCAATATTTATATAAATTTTCAATTGCATTAGAAGCAAAACTTTGGCTTTACAAATAGCAAGTCAGCTCATCCCACAGCTGACCTCCTGGAGATGGACCAGTAACGAATGATGGAGCATAAGAACTTGCATTTGTTTTTCTCATGAAGCTAGGCTTTTATTCGACTTTAGGCAAACTATTGGGAAGACTACATAAAGTTTTCAGAAGGAAAATGACTTGAGAAAACTAACATTATACTAACTAGGGATGTATCAGATCTGACTAAACCTACAATCAATGCTTGTTCCTCCGTGGAGGAACTTAAGATGTTCAGGTGGCGTGACGTGACAAAAATAGTGCCATCAGAAGTAAGAGTGAGTTTAGCCCATAACAACATCACTGCAGTGGAACTGTACCTCCCTTCTTTCTCTACTGGCTTCGTGACTGCAAAATTACAATTCATCCGCATCAGCATCCCTTCCCCACCCAAAGATCCAACGGAACGCTAGTGATAACTTGCTGTTCACGGGCTTCTCGTTCAGTGGTTCTGGTTTTACAGCGCAGAGTGCTGTGTAGTCATGCTTTAGATGAGGATTCACTATCTTCTCCTGTCGAAAACAGAAACTAGTTAGAAACACGGACGAAAATCACTGCAGAACACAAAAAGTTGGAAGATACGGGTATGTTTGTTTAGGAAATGCTAAAGGAACAAGGACAGAGTACCTTGAACTCTTCGAACGGGCATACGTCAGAACCACCACAACCCTGTACAAGAATCAGATTGGATTTCTCAACATATCGAAAAATTGAACCACAATTTGATTAAAAAAACTGGTTAAGGAACAGAGAGGCATGACAAAGAGGGAGACATTACTGGCATTGGGATGGGACTCTCATTGTGGAGGACTTGGATATAGTACTTGCTAGAAGAAGAGGATGCCGGGCAACTGTGTAGGACCAACATGTTATTCCCAGCAAAAGGTGCCACAGCACTGCCTCTTGTGTGGCTTTTCATTGGAGGCGTGGGAGGGAGATCTAGAGGTTGCTCCTTTTGTATCTTTTTAAATTCTGAAAGTGATCAAGAACCGTACATTTTAACAGGCCAGGACTAACACCATCTTTCAACAGAAACTGCAACATGTAAAGGTATGATAATAATATTCTAGTTGAACAAACAATGGGAAAAAGAAACGGCCCTTACAAAAACTTACCAGATCCTTCAAGGAAAAGCCCAAGCAGACATGAAAAAGGAACCACGGTCTCAGCATGTGCGAATCTCAATCTTGCCTTTTCATTACTTCCAGGAGGCTGTTTTTCTACATGCAATGAAGGCCGAAAACAAGTACAAGGGTTATCAAATTATGATTTTTGTACACAATATGACCATTGATGAAACATGATAAACTTGCTGGTCACAACATGCCAGTAGCTAATATTATCTCCAAACATATCAAGCCAAAACGTTTACTTCGTGAAACCTTGGATAAAAACATATCTATGGAGCTTATTTGAGAAGGACATAATGTTTATAAATTATGTCAAAGCCTTCACATTTTCGCAGCAACAGATAATAAAGGGATACCCAATAGGTCAGCATGTGTCATCTCTGGCATTGCTATTGCAGACATCTATAAAGTTTAATCGCTTTCAGATGGTCCACTACATCAAGTGGCTAGGAACCGGGGTCACAGATAGATTAAGAGGAAACCAAATGAGTTTATAAACGTTCCCTTCACCATAAACACATATCCATTCAGGTTTCAACCTACAGTTAAGAATCTTGTCCAACAACATTCCTCAGAGAAAAGCTTCCCTGATTAACACATAAAAGTGTGATGGTCTACAATACCTTCATGTGACTTAATAGCTTGTTCCATGGATTGTACAATGTCCTCAAGCAATGGCACGCCCATCTTATAGTTTATTGAATTACCATAACCCTTCAGTAAGAAAACCTCCAAGTCATCCGTCCACTCCAATAATTCAACCTGCAATAATTCGCACTTCAGATCCCACAGCTAAGAAAAACAAAGTATTTGTCTAGTACTTATAAGCTATCACTAAAGCTTTTATTTATTTAATTATTTCAAAGATCAGATATCATACACATTTTCTTAATTTAATCAGCAATGCAAAGTGTCCCCCCGCCTTAAGAGTAGAGAGACAGAAAAAGAGCTGTATTGTGTAAGTGAACACAACTTAAAAATCCAGATATAGCAAATTTAGAATTTAAGAGTTCAGTCAATGAGAAAAATTGCAGAGTTCATAACTAATGAGATTAAGAAAAAAGGATTCCAAAATGGAATAGTTAACAAAGCCCTAACCTACCTCGGAAGGTTTAAAAAGATCACAAGCTTGATTTGTAACGTCCAACAATGAAGCTTCCTGGAAAATCATGAATGAACAGCAAGAGTGGGGGAAAAGTATTAGTGATAAAGCAGAACAAAACAAATGGCGCTTATCAGAGAGGAACATTGTTGAAAGCTTGCAGCATAATGCAAACACATCACCTGTTTACAAAGAAACCAGAGAGAAGCTGTATCCTGTCGAGTGAAATCTAAACCATAACGGCTTACTAGTGCAGCAGTAATTTTATCTAAGACAGGTTCCTTCAGCTCGGCAACAGAAGGCTCTTTGTTTTGCCTATAGACCTACAGTTAGAAATCAACATATCTATTGATTACATATGGCTCTCAAGAACCCATCAATAACTTATAATCATCACCCTAACTGCTTCAAATGAAATAAAATGTTTGTTAATAGAGTCAAGCAAATAGATTGATTACTATGGATGAGCGTATTGTTAAATGGTGAAATGAAGGAAATGCTCTGTACCTTGTAGCTTTGACAGCTTTCGAAAAACCTAAGCATTAAATCACTTGCACGACTTTCACTAGTAACAGCGAAAGCTTTGTGTTCCGCTGGTCCAAGTTTCCCTTTCCCGGTTAATAGCCCCATACCAAATGCCACAGCACTCGCTGATGCCCGAGGAATCTATAGCATCAAAGAGGACCAGAAAGTAGTCAGCTACGTAGGATTGATTCCAATATCAAGTTTAAAATTTGATCTTCACATTTAGCAAATCTCTACCAAAGACTAAAAACAGAAGCGATCTTTTTTGTCCTGAACAAAACCAAAAAAACTCACCTGTGTAGCCTTTATCACGTAAACATCCGGATGGTATGGCTCCTCGAACAACTGCGGGAACCTTTCTCGAGTCCTCATTCCAAGATCATACAATTCCTCCTCCCCTGGAGTAATCAACTCTCCTCCTTTCAATTTACCTTTCCATGGCGACTCCCAACTCCGCACCCAGGCAGGAAGCTTACCCAAAGACAATTTCTTTTGTTCAGCATGGCTTATCAGCTCTTTCAGGTGAGAAGCCAACCTGTCTAATTCTCTCATCCGCTTCTTGGTTGGAGAACGAGTCCCATGTCTTGCCTAGAACATCAATAAGTCAGGAAACATCACCAAACTATCACAAGGGACATAATAGAGAGGGGAAACAAGTCAGAGATTAGCCATTGGATTGTACTGCTTGGAACATCAATATACTGCTAATCAGTAAGCAATTGAAATTCAAAAGAGGTTCCAGAAGCTCACCCATGGAAAGGCGTATACTAATAGGGCCAACATACCAAAATTCACCGTTCTATAACCAAACCAATTGTCGCAAGTGTGGTAAGAATGAAAGACTAAAACGTTCTACCAACTGCGAATTCAGTGAAATAGCAGTGATTGAATGTCAATTACCACAAGGTTCAAGTGAATTGGAGTGCAGCCATCAACGGCATTGGATGGTACAAAGGTACTGTTGACAACGATATCTTTGACAGCGCCATATCTGCACGCAGAGGAATCTAAATTACAAATTCTTCATCAACGACGGCGAGCACTTTCGATCCAATAATTCACTCCCAAATACGAACAATCACCGAAGCGAGACTATCCAAACAAAACTCAATTCCGTCAAAGCTCGCCGGAAACGAAGAAATTTTGTTCCGGTTTACCTGGACACAGTGGAGAGATGCTGGCGAACGTCGAAACCTTCTCCATTAGCTTCACTGAACTGCGCAAACACCAGTAGCAATGCGACCATCCAAACAGCGGCAGCCATGGGCATGGCGGTCTTCTCCATTCATGCGTCGGCGCCCGGAGTAGTTACCTCTGCTGCTTTACTGTCTCGGTTTGTGTCTCCAAAAACGTCGAATGGACAGGAAATCTGGAGTTCCACTTCCTTCTGCGTGCCTTCTTTTTCACGCCAACGGTGATCTCAAGACTTCGGCCAGAGGCTTGAAGATGAATGAAGAAGAAAGAACAACTGTGGCGCAGTCGACTGACCTCTGCTCTTCTCTTACTTTTTGCTTTTTAATTTCCTTTTCCGTGGCCGTGATGTGAGTCACCCAATCAAATGAGTCCACGTAAGATTACTTTCGGGTTAAGCTAGCGCAATGAAAGGCCTAGTTCGTTGATATTGGATTAAAGATGAAGCCCAATGGGCTTAAACTAACCATCTCACTCCGAGAAATTGTTTAGCAATTTCTAAATTGATCTCACATAGTCACATAAGCAACTTAGCAATTTATACCTTCAACAATTTCTAGCCATCTCCATCCCACCAATTGCTTAGCAATTTCTATTAATGAGACCCACAACATATACCCATATAAAAACTTATGTTTTTCTTATATTTGACAATCATATATATATATATATATATGCGTAATTAGCATTTAGAAATTGAATTATAAAAAATATATAAATATTTGTATTTAGAGTAAGTTCTTTCTAGTTTCATGATTATTCAATTATAGCTTTACATCTCTTTTATTTTGTGTATCATAATTACTTCTCTAACTAATTAATCATATAAAAATATTTTTCTAATCAACAACTTAAAAATAAGAGCATCTCCATTGAAATTTCAATTAGAATTGCATTATGACATGTCATTTATTTGCAATTATATTATGCAATTGTATTGATGTAGATGACAATTGCATCTTTGCAAGTTTGCATATAATGCAATTATGGAATGCAAGTCACGTCATCTTTTTTATTATTAAATTATTCATTAATTTTATTATTTGAGTGTTTATGTTTTAATAATTAAATCAAAAAAATTAGTTGCAATTGCAAGTTAATTGCATTGATGTAGTGCAATCCAAGTAAGATGAGTTGGATTGAAAAAAATGAAGTAACAATAAAAAAACAAATGCAATTGCAAATGTCATTGCACCAATGGAGATGCTCTAATAATACAAGAATACAATTTGGGGTAGGAAAAGAAAAAACAAACATGAAAGAGGGTCCCATATGTATAGGTGGCATTACTAGGCAACTAGTTAATTTAGCAAGCTTGCTAACTTACCAATCATCCATGCATCCCTAGCAATTGCTAAAGGATTGCCACCTCACCCTCCACCTCATTTGGTAATTGCCAAAAATTGGGGATGGAGATGTTCTAATGGGCCGCTCAAGGGAGATTGTTACAGGCTCATCTAGAGTACAAGGAATTAAGTGGTTATGAAGAAAGTATATAGGGGTTAGGGAGAAGAGCCAGTTTCCAGTTCTACATTTGACGTTTGGTGAGCGAGATTAGAAGGTTTGTTTTGAGGTAATTACAATTTTTTAAAATAGGTAGATAATTCAAATTTATTAATTTTAAATGAAACAATTAGTCAAATTGTATAGTTTTCCAATCAATCCATCCAAATGATTCCATGATTTGAGTAAAAGAGAGGAATTGACAACAAAATAGGAGAAGAGAGAGGAAGATGAGGTTGAATAGAGGAGTAGATAGCATGCTAACCTAACACCCTTAAGTGTTAGCACCATGCTAACAATTACTATAAGTAGCGGTGTTCAAACGGTGTGGTTGGTAACCATTTACCGGTAGTATTTGGATAATTCGGTTTGATTAATTTGGTTAACGGTTTGGTTTGGTTAAATTTTTTTAGCTTGTTTGGTTTAGCTGAGTTGGTTTGATTTCCAACACTCATAACCAATCAAACCACATTAACCAGTTCAGTTAGTAGTCATATATCTCTCTTATAAAATAGTATATACACATACTTAATACTTGGCATTGCCACTTAAGTGTCAAACGTTTCTCCCTCTTAGGCTCGTAAAAAGTAAAATTTAATATTGTACCTCTACTGTATATTTGTACCTGTAGAGTGTAGACCACAACATATGGACTATTATATTAGATAAAAACTCATACTATATGCTGGATGAAAACTTGAAAGAAAATCTATTTCAGCCTATGGAAATTGCAAAGAGAATACTAAATTTACAAAACACAACAATCAATTAACCCATACCATCGACATATATATTTTGCTACGTGAATACTTCTATCGACAATAAGATAATTGTATTAGTTACATGAACTTATGTTAAGGATTAACTATAATTATGTTTTAATTGTTATGTTCTATTCATTATATAAATTGCATATTGATGTATTAACCGGAGATTTCCTCACTTAATGATAGTGTGATGTTAATTTGGTTATTCTGGTTAACCAAACCGATTAAACTATAGTGTGGTTACTTTGGTTGTATTAGTTTGGACGGTTTGGTTATGATATTGTATTCCATGATTAATAATTTTAGACTTATTTGATTTGGTAATTGCCATAATAACCATTTGAACACCCCCTAACTATAAGGGTATTATAGTATCTTTTCTCCTCACTCCCCCTTTCCCTTCCTTTACGTTGGTTGCAATAAAGTTTTATATACAAATTACAATTTTGATACCCAAATTAATACATCTTAATATTTAGTATCTAAATTTAATGTTTTTACATATAAGTTCTAAAAATATTGATGGCAAATTTGTAATGAAAGATTTTCTCTCTTACATTTTGATAATTAAAACTTTTAAATTTTACAAATAGGTCCACTGTTAAGAAACTTCTAGACTACTTCAAGAAACTTGTAGTCTACTCTAATAAATTTATGGTCTGGATTATGTGGTATTAATTTTGTGGTTTGTGGTATGCATTTTGTGGTGTGAATTTTGTGGTGAGGATTTTGTGGTCCCCCACCCTTTCCCATTTAATCACATGAATCCTCTCTTTCTCCAATTTTTCATAATTCCAAGTTTGTCCTTCCGACCTCTTTCCCTTCATTAATTGCGGTAATCTCATTTAAATGAAAAAATCATCCAAACAAAATGTTCTTATTAGTTGAAACTAGTGTTAGCACCATGTTCAAAAAAAGTATTAATACAGTGGCTCCTCCCGATTAGATATTATCATTAAGACATTCTAATTACATATTTATAGAATTTGCCTTTCACAATTACAAAAAATGAACCCGACAGTACTTCTAATTTTTCTGATTAATAAAAAATATAAACTAACTCCCGACAATCCCCAACAAATTCTCTGACCACACCCACAAATTATTCAGAAAACACTGCAAAACATAAATTAACCGCTTATAGCACAGAAATGTAAATATTGTACAAATACGGATTTCACTGGCTGAATTCAACTTAAAAAAGTATTTCACTGCCCGACTCCCTAATCCTTAACGTCTTTCTTTAAAAAGAAAGGATAAATCTCGAACCTAAATGAGCAGTCGGAGTTATTTATGTGACCTCCAATGGCGTCAAGAGGACACGCACTAAAGAGCTGGGCAGTGAGTTCACGCAGGCAACCGCCGCAAGTATGACGAGTATGACATAACGCCTCGCCGTAGACGGCGGTTTTGGGGCTCGCAGCGCACTGCCCTGTTTTTCTCACGGTGGACTTGTATCCCGCCGTCCAGAAATTGGCGGCCAGTTTTCTTGCGCATGGAGTGACGGCCGGGTCCACGCCGGAGCTGCACGCTATCGGCCAGACGGAATTGGCGGCCCGCAGGCCCTGCATGCATATTATTCCGGTCGCCATTAGGACGATCATCAGGGTCGCTGCCGGTGAAGGGTAAACAGCCGCTGCCTTGGAACCTGCCATAGCTTAATTAGTTAGTGCGTTTGTTTGTGTTGTGTGTAAGTATTATTCGGTGCGCCTCTGATTTATATATCGGTGTCGTTGTGCATCATGCACGTGAAAAATAGGTTCAAATGTATCATTGAATATTCATCTTGATTACCTTTGGCGGTACAACTAAGAAACAAGTCAATAATAGGATATTTTGTAAATTTTTTATTAGTGCAATAGAGTATCATAGAACAACCCGAATTAAGCTGAAGAGAGTAAAGGAGAGACAAGCTCATTAGGTTTTAGCTAAGAAGAAACAAAAGCAACATACAAAGCAGGAGAAAACAAAAGGAAGAAATACCAGAAACGAGACGAAAATGTTGAAAAGGAGTAGTGCCACATGAGCTAGGACATTTCTTGTAGTTCAATCGTTTTGTATTGATAAAACTGTCTAAAGGGCTGAGTTTTGATGGACGATCCTTCGGTCTATTTATCTGTATGATACAATTTTACAAACACTCCTACCATCCAAAGAAACAAAAAGAATTGCCTTATGTGCTTGGACGTTTTGAACACCACCTACTCTATGAAATTATTGAAAGTTATGAATACTATAAAACAGAACAGAGAAATAAGATCGCGTTGTTGTTTCCCTTCCGTCTTTTGTTCTCAACTTCTCACACCTAGCCTGTGTAATTGTAAAATATGTCCTTCGTTGGCCGGCTGGCCGGCCTGGTAATTATATATAATGTTCTATAAACATTCAACATGTGATTTTAGTTTGTTTGAGCTTAGGTTGAAAGGTTGGATGGACAAAGTTTCTTGTTTGCTTGATCAATGTGAAAAGTTGAGGAAACCTAAATTTCTATGGCATCGAAGAAAACAACAAAGCCCGAAAAGTTGTTATAAATAAGCGAGAGTTACTATTCGCCGCCCTAAGATTTAAAAAAAAGCCCTAACCCCTAGTGAAAATTATCCCTTACCCTCCTTTCAATTTTGAGACATTTCCATCAATTCAGCTTTGCTTCTCCAGTCCAATCCAACCTGGCAACCTCCGCCCTTTGAAAATTCATTATCGTTTCCGACCGTAGGACGGATTGAAAATCCTGTTCCTTGCCCGCCGACGATGAGTTTTCAACCCGTCCAACGCTGGTGTAGTCTGGTTGTCAACTCGTCTGTGTCTTGGTGTGGGCGGATATCCGACCCGCCTGGGTCTGGTGTGGATTCGTTTAGGCAAGAAAAGCAGTTGTAGCGAGTTTGATGGGTGCGGATATGCAGAGGGTCGGGGATGGTGGTCGGCGAGCATCGACGGGAAGGTGGGCGGCGCGGGTATGTTTTGGGATGAGGAATTGTTTAGGTTTAGGGCAGCGGGGGTCATTCAAATTAGAATTAGGAGTAAAAGAACTCATTCGATATAATTTAGGACGATAAATACAAAAACATATGGCGTTAAATAGAAGTTAAGTATAAATGATGCAAGTTCATACCAACATATTAATTGTAGAGGAATTTTACAATGCTATATAGCTTTGGTGTTATAGGTTTTTGCTTTTATGGTACAGTTTGAAATTGTACCTTTAGCGTTATGGTACAACTTCAGATTGTACCTATACTTTTTGTACAAATTCTTTTATGGTACAACTTGAACTTGTACCTTTATGTGATGGTACAACTTCAAGTTGTAAAATTGTACCATAACATAATGGTACAAATTCCTTTATGGTACAACCTTAACTTATACATTTATTGTTATGGTACAACTTCAAGTTGTACATTAAAGCACCAATACTATATAGCATAGTAGAAGTGCTCATTAATTGTAATTATACTTAACATTGAGTTTCAACATTATTAATATTTTTGTATTTTTTAACGAAATACAATTTCTTTTTCAATGACTTCTTGTATTGTTATTAACGATTTGGTGCTGTAGTGTGAATGTTGGTTTGTTTACACCTCCATGAACTAATGTTTTGCTTGAATAATGTTTTGCTTAACTGAATCAAAAGCGCAGTATGTAACAAGCGTAGAAGAGGGTGATGATAAGTGTTGTACTTTTATGATTGTTGAGAATGAGAATCTAAAGCGATATTATCTTATCTCAAAACGTTGATATTGTCGTTGGAAGTAATGATTGGCTAGTTATGAACATAACGTAAAAACATGAATTATTAACAAAGAGATGTTGTAAATCATTAGTAATGTTATTTATGATGATGTGACATAACTTTAATAATTCCTTCATAAGCGTGGATGAAAAACATGTAAAAAGCTAACAATTGATGTAAAATCGTTAATAATGTAACCTTAAAACATTGATAAGTATATTGAAATCGTTAATAAGGATGAAACATATCAATACTAATTCATTTAATTAACATTGACAATATCATTGAAAAACATTAATAATGTCATTGCAAGACGCAACATTTGTTTATTTTGAATTTTTATTTTTAACACTTTAAAATATTAATTAAATTTTTTTGTTTTAATTTAAAATTTCATTAAATAATAAAAATAATATTAATTTCAAATGAGTATTTTTAGTTTTATTTTTTCTACAATATCCTAAATTCAACGAAAAAAAAATAATTGCTCTTTTTGATGATCAGACCTTCCCATTCTCTCTTATTTTCCTATTGGCCGAAATAAATTTAAAGAACTCTCAAGTCTTTACTTAATAAGAGGATCCAACCCATTCTCCAATTCATTTTCGACAATACTCAGGAAATAATAGACTTCGTCCACCCCCAAGAACGAATCCTATGCATAACCTTGTGATGAGTAACCATGCATAAACTCAATCATCATCCGCCACATTAGTGCCCCTTCTCTCTTTTGGAAAGCTTTTAATTTTTTCCCTCTTAATCTTTCACGGACAATTTCTCACTCGTTTTAAGTCGGAATTTAAATTTGTTTGCACAGTTAGATCATATTAATTGTGCTTTTTAAAATGATATCTATTTTGATATATTTTTTGAACAAAAAATTTAGCCATTTTTTACCAGTATATACCATATAGTATTGACTGGTATTAAATAAGAGCATACCATATGATATGAAAAAGCTTATCATGGTGGTATGAACATACCAAAACTGTAGGATGATTGAATACATGATAGTAGGAGTATACTAACTGTCATTTGCGACTTTCAACATTTTGTACCACAAGATACCATCTTATACCAGGGTGATATTGTATGATATTTTTTTGTCCTATATTTTGTTCACCCAGAAATTTGTAGATCCAATAGATCATGATGAACTTATTCATTCTGTGCAAAAAATTTCAAAAGCGACTTATAAATGAAGAGATACCATATAGTATGGAGTTGGTAACGAGAAACAATAATTTTTTCTCAAAAAATATTGAAAATTGATCTCATTTTGTAGAGCACAACAAACTCATTCCATCTGTGAAAAAAAATTGAAATATGATTAGTTATGGACAATCATATTTTAAAGTATATAAAAGGACAAGCACATATATGTTTTATTGAGGAATTGATTATAATGATTAGTTTTAGGACAGATTTGGTTGAGATTAGTTAGGCAAATAAAATACTAATAGTAAGTAGAGATAAAATAACAATAGTAACAGCAAATGGGAGACAGAACTATAGATCTTTTTGCTGTTTTATTGATGATTAAAGAAGCATATTGAGTTTAAAAGTTCCCCAAAGAAGTTAGCTTTTCCTCTTTTTAAATGTGAATGGTATGGGGTGATGATGATGGTTATTTTAATGGGAAAGTGACAAACCTTGATCTGTGATTGGGACTTGGGGATGGTGGTGGCCTTCTTTGTTGGCTGCTTGCTTCCTTCTTTTGGCCTCTCCTAGTCGTGGGCTTTCCTTGATCCGATCACTTTCTGTTGCTCCACTTTCCTTGGAATCTTTTACGAAAACAGAAACGGAAAAGGGAAAAAGGAAGATGGAAGTTGGTTTTTTAATTTTCTACATGCTTGCTGGGTTTTCACTCGAGCTCTCTGTAAAAGCTTGGATAAATTTTGGATGAAGATGAATGGTTTCTTTGGTGCTTCTCTCTACTGTCTTTGGATAGGGATGTGGATTATGTGGACTGAAAACCTCTGCCCTCCTCTGTTGTCCATGCGCTTGTATTTATATTGGGTTGATTTACTGTATCTTGGGGAGTTTGTCCAATTCTGATTGGTTCTGGGTTTAGACCCACTCTCTGCTTGTTCAATTCTGATGGGGAATATGTGGACTGAAAACCTCTGCCCTCCTCTGTTGCCCAGGCGCTTGTATTTATATTGGGTTGATTTACTGTATATTGGGGAGTTTGTTCAATTCTGATTGGTTCTGGGTTTAGAGCCACTCTCTGCTTGATTTTCATTGGTGGAGAACTTGAGTTGTAGGACACTGTGGCTACAGTAACTGGTCAGAGGTCGGACCAGGGTTCGAGTCAGTGGACAAACCAGTCCGGGTTGGACACAGACCTGACTGGGTCGGGTTGTTCACCGAGCTTTGACCAATCTGATGGGCTTGATCTGCATTTGGCCTTATTGACTGTTCTGGGCTATGACTGGGTTTGGGCTTGACCCAATTTAGGCCTTTAATTAACTTTATTTACTTTTTTTTTTGCAGGCCTATTTTCTAAACTTTTAGGTCCCCAAATGATGACATGAGAAAACCAAATCCATAGAGGATGGTTCTCAAAATTTGATTGCGCCCTAAATTTTAAAACGAAAGAAAAGTTTTCAAAACATTGGCCTCGTTGATTTCTCTTATCTTTCTATTGCATCGATGACTAGTCCCTTGAGGCAATTGACTTTGGCAGTCTCTTTGAGGTAATTGTTTTCTGATTCTTGTGCCATACTCTGCCACCCATACCCTTCTTCCTGGAGCGATTCATTTTCCTCGATTAACTGGTTAACTTTTTGTTGAAGCCTTTCAATCTCTTGATGATACCTTTTTATAGCCAATTCCCGTCGATGACTCAGCTTTTCTAACTGGTTAACCCGTTCCCCGAGAGCGGTATTGGCCTCATGTTGTTCATTGACGATGACCCTCTGTTGACGGCGAGTGTTATCCAAACTTTCAATTTCTTTTTCAAAGTCTCATTGATAGTCTCGAAATCTCTTATTTTACCACCCCTTCCATTCAGGTGCATCTTCATTTCATCATTTTCTCTTTGTAGCCTGCTTATTTCCATATCTTTTGCAAGCGTGCTTCCTTGTAAGTGGATTCTAGGAGGTAATGCCGACTCATATGTCACCTTACTCTTTCCCTTCATCCTCATGGTAAGAGCTCTTCCCCTATTTTCGCTCCATATTGCATATTTCGGGGTCACAGATGAGTGAAGGTCTGGGAATCTTCTATTGTATTCATGGCTCATTGAATGATCGATGAGCCTTGGTTTCTTCCATAACTTGATAGCATTTTTACTCTTTGTCTCCACATCCAGATCTGAGTAGGTGAAGTTCAACTCTCCCATCCCGCCGGTCATCGGAGTGAATTCAAGACAACCGACTTGCCTCCTAAACATGTTTGGTGCATACGCTACACATCCGGTTGGCCTTAGTAATGGTATCTAATGCTTTTTCTCAAATCCATATAGGATATATTCTCCAGTCATCTATGGTGCCTTCCATGACATATTGTGTTTACCGAATGAGGCAAAGAAATCTCTCCATTGACTAGCAGTGACTTGCATGTAAGTTGGTGATGTTATGGTGAATTCTTGAATTGATCTTCTATAGCCATCGTACACCAATTCATACTAAACGTCTGGGATTCCGTGACTAGGAGAGGGTTTGAGATGCCTAAAAAGCCATACCACGAGCAAGGATGTGCACCCATATAAGTAACCTCCTTCGGATCGACGACATCGACTAAGGGCGATGAGAGTCTCAGATAATATTGAGGTGAGGGGGTTGGCGTCAATCAAACCCTGTTGGAGCACCTTGATGGCGAAACTGTCGACATAGTTGGGCAGGCTGGGATAGAGTAGGAACCCATATATAAGCAGAGCAAACGCTTCCATGTGGTATCCAACTTTTGCTGTTTGGTTGAGGTATGGCATGAGTTGATTCATATTAACTCATTCTGGTCCACCACTTGACTCTATCATGTCTTGAGCTCGTTCTTTGTCTATCCCCAATATCTTTGACATCGCCTTCTTTGTATTATGATCTGGCCGGTTCACATATATCTTGTATGACTGACTTATATTTATTTGCAGGATTGACTGATATTCTTCTAGCAACAGGGAAAAGTTCAATTCATTGATAGAGAAGCAACTATAGAATGGGTCCCAATAATTTAGGATTTCCCAGATCATGTTGGCGAGGAACGGTACATCGAGCAGATCAGCCATTTGCCCATATCTCTGTTCAAATGCCTCTTTTTCTTGTTGTGTGAATTGTTGCCACGCTTGCTTCAGTATGTGAATTGGGTTGTTAATAATCTCCACTGATCCCATGGGTTGAAGTTTGATTCTTTGCATTAACCTGTCTCCTTCATCTTTTTTTATCTTCAATTGATTGATCTATCACACTCTTTTTTCCTTGAACCAACGGATATGCCATCTTGTAATAACGAAGTTCCAAAAAAGAAATTTTATCTGGTGACAGAACCTGATCATGAGATTATCCGTTAGTACCAATATTATCTTTTTAACAAATGCAGATGCATGTATGCAATGTTATGATTGTCGCGCACAGCTAAAATTGAATCAATCATGTAGATGTTAGATACAAAAGCTCACTTTTTATTTAATCAACTGGGACAAACTTCAGTCATTTACATAATATATACAAAGGTGGCGTCACTAGCCACTCTATCCCATGCATCTTCCCCATTACTATAATAAATGGAAAAGGCATCAAGACCGCACGCTTCTTTCTACGAAGGGGCCTTGGGGCAAAAATCTTCCAAAAGCGCCGACCTTTCTTCCACAGGTCGACCTCCCAACGACTTCTTCTCTTCTCACAGATGTGGGAGCGCTGGATTAGAGAGAAGCACCTCCTCAACAAAAACTTGTTGGATTAAATAGGCGTGAGCTGCTGCCACTCGCCTCAGACCATAATTAATAATTATTTTGTTCCATTAGGTTGTTTGTCATGGCGAGTGTTGGTAAGTAACACTCCTTGATTCTTCCATCATAGTGATAACCTTCTGGGGACATGAGCGCTGCTGGAACTTGATATGGCAAGAGGTGATTCAGATCACACAGTTTTTCTTTCAGAATCATCCAGTATTCGGACATCCTAGATGGCTCGATTGTCGGATTCTCATTCGAGCTCCCTTCCAGTGTGGCCCATTGGGTCTCTACCAGTTCAAACCCCTCTTTGATGACCTGAATTTCTCTGGTCATGTGAAGCGTAATGGCCATATAGTTCCGAGTCTATGAATCCATCACGAGCCCAAGCCATCCGTCGATTCGGGCTTGTTCGAGCAGCCCTCTTACAAAGAGATGGATGTTGTTTGGAAAGAGAACCCAATATTGAAGACTTGTCTTAGTGTGGGTTTATGAAGGATAAACCCTATGTAATTCAAACGCACCATGTGCCTCAACATACAATAAACTTCCTTTGACATTTCTTAATACTCATTTAGCGGTATATAGAACAAATTCAGGCACATGAGCTCTGGATATCAGTCGAGATGTTTCACTAGAGCATTGTAGTATCTATAGGTGCTGATTAATTCCCTTTTTTATCTTTCAACAAACGACTCAGAATACCCTTTAAGAGTTCTTGACATGATGTCTAGTGCGATCTCCACCAGCAACCTTCTCAGATTGTCGATCATTGGATCTACCCATGTCGGTCCGGGTATGAAGTTGGGATAATAGCTATGTTGTGTTCGGCAATGTTTCTCGCCATGTGATCCATCTAACATCATACGTAATAGATTTCAAGTTAACTGTGCGCGACACATAAACATGAGAATGCATGATGATAGTGATGCATGCGTGTTATGATCATTGTAATTTTTAAATTTCTTTGAGAAAATTGGTTTTTACTTATGATGAGGAAGAAAACATACCCACGTCATAGCACACTTCTCCAACAACGAGTAGGAAAGAAATGAGCAATAAACATTTAGTATTTAGGAAAGAAACGATAATAAATATGTAATATATTTATATTAATAATAAAGCAACCTAGTTAGGCAACCCTAGCGAATTTTCGGTAGCATAACGTCGTGTTTTTGGGTAGGCTCCGGGATAAGTTGCGGTTTAGGTAGCTTTTAGGTAAACTATATGCTGGATAGGGACCTTAAGGAATCAGGCTCCCAAGTTGTACCACACTATGACCCTTTCGAGTTTAACGTGATACTTCAAATCATCCTCGGATTTGAGTTCAACCTAGTTGTGAAGTTTCGTATTTCCCCTACTATTGTAGGAGTCACATTACTTTATTCCTTTTTTTCTATAAATTTAAGAAAGTAGCTTTTAGGTAAACTATATGCTGGATAAGGACTGCTCGTGAATAGAGCTTTATGCATGGATGCAAAAAATTGAAATACATCATAAATTTAAAGCGCAAATTGATGTAATAAACACATAACACCCATTTTAAGAAAGTAAGAAAATTCTTATCGATGATTAATGTAGTTTGACTCTCATAAGTCCCCAGTGGAGTCGCCACTGTCGCAACCTCGCCTCCGAAATCGAGGAAAAGCTCGCGAATTGGTTTGGAGTCGCCATTGACCGCGCTTTGGGGTGGATCGAACACCTTTTTCCGGTTTTAATTTTAGGGTTAAAACCAGAATACCGGTTTGCGAATTTTAGATTTTTCCGGGTTTGGGAGTACGGTTACGTGTGAGGAAGTGTATTCACACCCCACAACACCCCATAATGGGTACTACGTAAATCGATAAGTTTTAAAGATTGAGTGTATTATCATTTGTGATTTGTTTGTGTATTTAAACGTAATTTTAATTTTTTTAACTTATTTTTAGCATATATTTTAAAGTCCGATAAGCTTAGCATAAGTTTCGAAATGATGTAGCTATTAAACAATTTTACATCTATTGACGTAAAAAGGGATTTTAGGTTAGTTGGACTCGAACCTATCGGTTGCCTACGTACCCGAGTTAATCGGGATCAAAGTCCACGTAGTTCGAATAATAAAATTTTTGTTATTTTTAAGAATTTGATGTTTGTTTTAATCTTTTGAAGATTTAATAACAATAGCAAGGGAGACAGAACTATAGATCCTTTTTGCTGTTTTGTTGATGATTAAAGAAGCATATTGAATTTAAAAGTTCCCCAAAGAAGTAAGTTTTTCCTCTTTTTAAATATGAATGGTATGGGTGATGATGATGGTTATTTTAATGGGAAAGTGACAAACCTTGGTCTATGATTGGGACTTGGGGATGGTGGTGGCCTTCTTTGTTGGCTGCCTGCTTCCTTCTTTTGGCCTCTCCTGGTCCTGGGCTTTCCTTGATCGGGTCACTTTCTGTTGCTCCACTTTCTTTGGAATCTTTTACGAAAACAGAAACGGAAAAGGGAAAAAGGAAGATGGAAGTTGGTTTTTTTACTTATCTTTAAAGTTTAAAACGAAAGAAAAGTTTTCAAAACATTGGCCTCGTTGATTTCTCTTATCTTTCTATTATTGTAATTAGTTATGATGTAATCCTTATGATGTTTGTAATTATGTACTATCGTATTATGATTTCGTTAGTTAACATAATAATTTTCCTAGGTATGTTACTTTCTTTTCTTCCTATTTCTTTAAATCATGAGGTCCAATCCTCCCAAAATCAGACAATCGAACCCAATGCTTAAACCAAATCAAGCAAGACGCCAAGATCGCATTCCTACCGCAAACAAACCATTAAGCGACGTTGTAATGCCTCCTAACAAAATCAAATTATTATTGGACTATTTAGGCATGATCTCAATCAATTCAAACTTGAGTCACATTTTTACCATAATATTTGCTATTGCTAATCTTAATGATCCACTACATGCCTTCTCACGAAACATTCTGAAATAATTTCTAACATTTGTTTATAACAGGAAATCGCCGACCTTGGATAACCGAAATGTTGATTACCAAATAGTGTTTCAGCGCGGGCAAAATGGGGTGTCTACAAATGAGAATGCATTAGGGTTGTGCAAAAGCTTAGTTCTCATGTGTTAACTTGGTTACTTCTTGATTACAATTGCCATGCATTGAAGTTTTTGAAATTGGAATAGATGATTGGGAGGCTAGGTAACCATGTGAGTTTTGTGTCGATCGTCTTTTTCATGTGTGATATATCCTTCTCGCCATGGTGTGTAACATTCACCGTTGTCACTAGTGAGTTTGATGGAGGCATAGGATTAGTTTAGTCCACGCCCAAAAGTTGATTGTCCCGAAACATTTTATCCCCTAGTCAAACCCTTTGAGCTGTGTAACTTTGGGGGTCGCTCTAATTTTAGGAGCTCCGTTCTTGTTGAGCTTAATGGTAATTGAAAGAACGACCCCCCACCCATCCTTTATTCGTGTCAAAGTGTGAGTCATCCTTGTGTATCGGAGTTATCGCTTTTGAGCTCCATTGAGGTTCTACATAGGTGGTTTTGCACGGTTCTTGCTAGAAATGAGAAGGTAGTGTTGAGAGAAAGCTTGACGAAAGTCTCCAACTAAGGAAGCTTTGCGAAAGTATTCAAAAAGGGAAATCGCCTTCTCAGCAGAATAATTGAAGAAATTCCTTTACCAATCAAGATCAAATCAAAATCACGGTGATTGAGATATATAAGACTCAACGGTCGCTGTGATAAGTGTATAAAAGCAAAAGAGGGCTGGGTAGAATAGCTAAGCTTTTCACGGATTGTCCAAAACAAAAATAGAGTGATTACCTGTGTTTGAAAAGAAAAGGGAGAGAGCTCGTAGAGGAATTCGATTATCAGGTTGGAATATTGGCAGGGAGCCAAGATTCCTAGGGTGATTCTGACCAAGTGACTGGGATTCACTGCGAGATTGGTCTTGTATTTTGTAATCCAAAACACACAGTCATAGTATAACGTCAAAGGACTCAAACCGAGTACCTTTGGTCATGTACTATTCGATATTGTTTTCTTAGTATCAGAAACCACGTAAAATTTTGGTGTCTTGTTATTTCAACTGCTGACTCTATCTGTTCTGTAATCATACTCTGTTTTGAAGGAGTGCTCTGTTTTGCAGGTCACGAAAAAAATAGAGAAGCTTGACTGAAGCTTGGCGATTCATAGAACCCTATTCAAAGCGTCGTTGTGTTGAAAAAAAAAAACAGGGCTTTTGGTTCATCGATTTTATTTGACGGGGAGTTGGGCCTGAAGACCAACTGTCACAATTCCATATTTGCTTATTTCCTTTCAGAACAAAACGAGTCTGTAAGTTCAATTCACTCTGTCTTCTTTCTCTTGCGATTTCATGAGCAGGTTTGGGTTCCAGGAGAAAGGACTATTGAAGAAAAATCAGTAGCAGTCTCGCGCTCGCGTGCAACAACAGGTAGTGTTGGAGGAAAGTTCTTAATAGGAGAGCATTGTTCGTTAAATGAAAGAAGTGGCATGTGCTTATCTCTCTAGTACCCCCCTCGGGGAAAAAAAGAGGAAAGGAAAAAAAGGAAAAAGAAACAAAAAAAGAGGAAATAAAATGGGGGTAGATAAAAGTAGAGAGTGGCCACAAAAGTCTAAGTGTATGCTCTCGAAAGGGTTCCATGGCACCCAATCCATTGAAACACCTAAATTGTTTGATGACCTCCTTCACTACTAGGTTTGAAATGTGAATAGCAAGATAGGCCGAAGAAGTGTGCTTGAATGTGGTTTGTGATTGGTAGTGGTTTGGAAGAAGGAAAGTGTGGTTTTTGACCGATGCTAGTGGCCTTTGTTTGTACGAAAGGTTCTTAGTCAAGACCATAGAACCTTGGGTTTTAGGTTGAAGATGTAGGACCTCATGCCATGTTTGCCACCACCCAAAAAGCCTTTTCCCCATGTCAAAGACAATTGCCAGTTATTTGAAACCGTGTCTAAGATCTTCGGACAAGCTAGTGATGACAATCGTCCCGTGAAATCTAGCATTTAGAGGTTTGCGCCATGGTGGAGAGAAGACAAGGCTGAGTGTTGATGAGTGTGCATGCTCACATCTTACCCCGGCGAGGACCTATGTTGCCCCGTTTTTTGTTGAAACACCCTAACCCGGCCGGGTACTACTTTTACTAAAATGCCCTTGATAAATAAAATACTCAAATCTTAAATTGCAGCGGGAAACATTTTCATAAATAAAATACTGAAAACACACACTTGTAGTTCAGAGCAAAGCTGATAGGGCAAAAGCGTATAGCTTCAATTCCTATCTTGTAGTAAACCGGAAAGTCCGGGTATCGTCTCTCAGGGACTGGTACAACCTTAAGTTCTATCAATTTTATTGAGCAAACTATATGTGAAACTATTTAATGAGACTAATTATCTAAAAGCAAAATTAACTAATTAAGCAAAGTAAATTGTTCGGGAGAAATTCAATGGAGAAAGCTCTGGGAGAAACACCGGGATTCACTACCTATCCTATCCAGATTAATTCACATATTCCAATCAATTTAATCCATACCTCTACAGCCAAGATATCACGAATGTGCTAGCTATCCCTGTCGGGAATTACTACGTACTAAATAATCAATTCAAATCCTACTGTCGTAGCTCAATGAATTAACTATATAGTCTAAAGATCGATATCCTATTTAAGACCGCATAGCACCTTATTTAATCCACTGTCGCTTCGATAAGTTACTATGTTACATGAAATAAGTTCAGTTATTAGGGTTTCACTGTCGCTAATAACCTAATTAACTACAAATCGTTGTATTGGTGGCCAGTCAACACAAAGCATTAAGCAATTTCATGCAATAGAGATTGGAAGAAAAGAATCATAAATCAATCCATCAAATCAAGAAATAGCTACATCCTATGGTGTTTCCCCCAGAAATTGGGGTTTAGTTCATGACGAAATTAAGATAAATCGATAGGGTTTTGTTCATCATATTCTAAATCAACAATACACAACTAGTTCGGTTCAGAGAATCCAACCAACTAATCGCTCTCGTTGAACTCAGCTCAAGCCACCTGGAAAACTGCTCGCCAATTGATAATCTCGCTGCTGCATTCCTCCGCGCGACTCGTCTCCAAATAATTCGCACCCCAGACTTTTTCCGCTTCTGCTTCTTCCTTCCTCTCCTCCAAAATTGTGTCCGCCCACTCCAAGACAAAAGACATGGGCCATTTATTCCATTCCTTAAGTGTGTACGTCCCCATGGAAGGAAATCGAATGTGCTTGTGGCCCAATGTTATTTGTTAATGAGGGAAATGATTCCTTCCGATCCAAAATATAAAGAGCCGGTTTATTCTTCGATAGCCTGATCGTGTTCACATTTTTCTTCACCTAACACACATAGAATTCATGGCACTTGGTGGTAATGGATTTATCGCCATTCCATAGTCAATCGGCTCTAAAACAAGCATTATATTGTCTCAAACATGTCATATAATAATCACATTAAGCACATAGAACCAATATGTTTTCGACAATTATCAAAAGCCTTAACACGTGGGCAAATTAGACTCAAACTTTAACTCTCAATCTGATCTCCAGTCTATACTCATAATCATAAAATGTAAATAACTAGGTAGTCTCTGTCGTTGCTGCTACTGAAAATCTTAACTAGGCATCCTCCGTGACGCTTGCGCTGCCCTCCTCTAGCTAGCTGCCCTCGAACTTTTCCTCACGAACTCGCTGCTCTCTAACTGCTCCTCTAGCTAGCTGGTACCGATCTGGTTCTCGCTCATTCCCTTACTAAAACCTGGTGAGTGAGTTGGGGTAAGTCTACGCCCTTACGTTTTAAACTTTCTAATAATTTTGCAACTTGCCTATGCAATCGTCTATATTTATTTTGATGAACAGGATGTGACATCGTAGCCAGTCTTCTGAAACACTTAAACTCAAACTAAGGGAAGTTGTTTGTACTTCCATTCTTAAAAATCTTAACTCTTAAAACTGTATGGGAGTACCTGTTACTCTCCATTCTTAAAGCTTAAATCTCAACTTAAATACTTGACTGGCACGGGGATCTCTCACTAGCTAGTCCAGTTGCCAACTCATACGTATGAGAAGCCATCCCGGCTTTCCTTAAACTTAAACTTATCGTGGAAGGCTCTTCTTCCACGATTCTCAAGAGCATAACTGTTGGTCATCTTAAAATATCTCAAGAGCATAACCGCTGCTCAACTTAAAAGTTTCAAGAGCATAACTGAAGCTCTATCTCAAAGATCTCAAGAGCATAACTGCTGCTCTATCTAAAAATCTCAAATGGCAACAGACTGGCGCTAGTGACTAAAAACACTTAAAACAACTTCACCTTCTTGAAGGTGAAATACTTCTTAAAACAAAAGGACTTGTTTTAACTTTAACAATCATTCATAAACGCAAAGCTTTAAAGCAAACATCACACATTCAATATAAACCACAACTCAAACAAGCACATATCATCAATCATGAGCATAAACAACCATAACAACACTTCACAAAGATACTGAAAACTCTAATACTTTGAAAGAATACGTAAGACGTAGAATTTACCCCCTTTACACTCACCTTATTATTCCCGCTGATGGACTAGAATTGGTCAACATCGATCGATTCCCATTTCCTTGAATCGATGTACTCTATTCATGGAGTTGTGTAACAACTCACAACTGCGGGTGATGTTTCTCTTTGTTCCAATCAGGCATTGCCCAGAGCCATTGCATCCACGGCCTCAAGCTACACACATGAGGCATTTTATTCACATACAATCCCAATCCACCCATCCAGAAGATTCAATAACGTCGAAAGCCAGATCAACAATCCCCTTCCTTTAACCGCTAACCAATATTGCAAGCTCTCTCCTCCTCAAAAACTGAACTATAAATAATTATATCATTCCTCACAACTCATCCCTCGTTACTTGTGCAATTTACTAACTCCATTCTTAGATCAACTACCATGTTAATATACAGGCCAATTGATCTTTCTAATAGGCCATGTATAATGATGATTCGAACAATCCCACCACCAGCACCCGTCATCCATGTGTGAAATTAATCTATTAAGTCAATTCATTCTCCATTCTCCCAATCAATCTGCGAAGAGTAATCCATTAACATAAGAATCCAATTCACCCATTATAATGGGACTTCCGTCATGCATAAACCCCCACCGCAAAACCCACTGGAGTGGCATCTTGTAATCAATTACATAATCTCGACAAAGGGACAAAGATTTCTTACCCCAGGGTTGATCTACGCTTCTGCCTAGCTAGCTTTTCCATGCAGCGCTTCATTTGGTCCTTCCTCGAACGAAACTTATTCCGCTAGCTCACTCCCTTATTGCATCCTGTCGCGGCTACCGATCGAATGGCCTGGAGACGGGTGTTGCGGCTGTACGCATGAGAGCAGCCCCTCATTCTTTCTTTCTCTATGAAGCCTGACTCTTCCTTGTCCCTCTCTCGATCGCAACCCCAATGGAAGGGACGCTAGGTTTTGATGTCTCTCTGTGGATCCCGACTGCTGCTCTCGGCTGCCGCTAGCTCCTCCTTTATTTTGGGTTTAGGCGATTTATATAAAATTAAGGAATAGGGTGGACGTGGAAGGGGAATTGGGTAGGGTTAGGTTTAGAGTTTGAATGGTTCTAGGGAATTTTGGGAATTTCAAAAATTACGGGTGAGTTTAATCCACAACTCCACTAACGTCCGTAACTTATTCGATTTATATCGAAACTCGACACCGTTTGAACCGAGAGTTCGCATTTTTAGTCCTCATCGATATTACGATGGAATTTCATGAATTTCCCCCAAGGTTATAATAGTCATTTTGACTTTTGGCAAGATCGGGGTGTAACATTTGTTCCTTGGACTTGCGTTCTATGCATGGTTAGTTGTGGTTGGTGAGTAGTCCAGTTAAGACTTGCATTGATTTGTGAACAGAGTGAGAACTTTTTATTTGCCCATTCTTGATGCAATCGAATGTCGTTTGCGGTGGATGTTGGTATTGTTTGAGGCGGTGCGTGTGTTGATGCCCAATAGTCATTGAGATTCACTGCTTTGTGCCTTTTGATTTGTCCCCAAGTTATCTTATTAAGTTGAAATATTTCCTAGGTTGGAAATGATTTGCTTGGGGACAAGCAAACGTCTAAGTGTGGGGGAGTGATTCAGGCTCATTTGTACACTTTTTACCCCCAATTTGCTTAAACGTTTGAAGCATTTTTACTCTGGGAGGTTTGGTTTTATGCGGGTTTTGCCTTGTTTTGGTGTTTTCAGACATTGGCAGGTGGAACCAACCCCGCAGTCGAAAGTTGGACGAAAGGGCAAAAAATCAAGTTAAAGGGTGGAAGCAGCATCAGATCACAGTTTGGATTGTGAGTTCACGATCACTAAGACCGTGAACTGGAGGCACTACCCGTGAACAGCCAGGCATCCAGAGCACAAATAGCTTTCACTGGACACGACCGTGAACTCAGGCCATTGCCCGTGAACTGAACTTAGTGATGTGACGCGTTTTGCTTGAGATCACGGTCAGAGCTTTCAGTTCACGGCCGTGAACTGGGACCGTGAACTAAGCTTGATCTGGGTATATAAAGGAGGTTAAACTGAAAGGAAAAAGGAGAGAGACCTAGTGTGAGAAACTTCTTCTTCTTCTTCTTCTTCTTCTTCTTCTTCTTCTTCTTCTTCAGATTTCTAGAGTGAGAAAGTGACGAACCAAAGAAGAGGAGAAGCTAGGGTTTCATCTTCAAGCAAGGATTTGGAAATTCCTCCCCTAAAGGAGGATCTCTTCAACACAAGGAGAAAGGCTAGCATCTCTTTGATGGTTTTCCTTCTTCTCTCTTGTGTTTTCTCTTCTCCTAGCATGGAGTAGTCCCTTCTTTCACTTGGGTGTTTGTAAACCCTAGTTACAATTATGTGAATGCTTGTATGGATTGAATGATTTGTGTGTGGTGATGTTTGATGTGAATGTGGAGGTATTATTCATGAATGATTGTGTTGTGTGAAAGCCTATCAATCTAATTGCCATTCTAACCTAGGTAGAGAGAAAACCCCCCTTCCTTTCATTGAAAGAGGCTTCAATGCTGGGTTTTCTTAGGCGATTCGTTTTCTCCTATTAAGGTTAATGCATAGAAAACCTCTTATTTCGTATTAGCACATAGAGTTTGGTTGTGGGTGGCCGTCCGAACTTCGATTCGAGGGTGAAGTCTTGGCAACCCTTACTCAATAGGTCGAGAGAGTCACGTTGGTAGCTTGAATCAAATTCCCTTCCCTCGACCTAAAGACCGAGAGAGTGGCGCTTGGCTACTTGTTGTACTTCCCTACAGTTTAAAACCCCCTAACCACACATGACCATTCGATCCAACAAGTCATAATTGTTAGTTAGGGGGAGCAAAACCCGGGTGAAGCCTTCTCAATTAGTGTCAAATCCATTTACTTTTGCAAACGTTTTAGCTTTAGATTTTTGTTTTCACCAACAATCAACCGCTAGATAATGTTACAAACGATCTAAGTAGGGGTACATAAACCGGCCCGTGTCGATATTTAAACATACTTGCCCTATACTGCACCAAGTTAAGGTTTATACTTGGGCCTTAATTGGGAGTTTCATTGTGGTATTCGGAGGTGAGTCAATTATATTTCGGTTTGGTATGAACGAACAAAAATGTAACTCGGTTCGGGATGGAAAACCCGACGAACTCGAGATTTCGCTTCTCATTCCTGACTTGTTTCCCCTTCTCGGCTCTCCGACTCTCTCTCCCTATTCTCTTCTTCCTTCTTCCTTCTCCCATTTTCTCACTCTCCATCTATCTCTCTCTGCTAGAACAACACGCGACCAGTCCGCCCTCTCCAAGCAGTCCACCGCCAAGCACTCCGACGCCTAGAGCACTGAGCTCCCTCAGCTGCCGGGCTCGCCTTCTCCCTAGATCTGGCGCGCTATTCTGTCGCTCGCCCATTTTGAGGAAGAGGAAGCAATGGCAAAAGAGAAGGCAGACCCAGGGGAGAGCATGCAGGGGGCTCCACCACTGCCATGTCGGTCTTGTCGCTGCTGTTTCTGCCGTCTCTGTTGGCGATCGTGCCGCCTCTCCTTATCGATCGCGCCACCACCGAGATGCCACATGAGAGTTTTTTTCTGCGATGAAGGAGTCGGGTTGTGGGTGATCGAGAGAGAGTGAGAGACGGTCGGTGGTGACTGGTGGCAGGGGTGAGCGGCGGACAGGAACAGACAAAGGGAGAGATGGAATTAGGATTAGGTTATGTTTGTTTGGTCTTTCATTCATTGGAGGAGGCTACGCCCAGATTTGAGTCTTGGTTGTTGGGCTTGGCCCTCAGCTGGGCTTTGTAATTGGTTGGGCTTGGGTGCAAATAATTAGGCTATGGTAAGTTGGGTCTACAATTTTGATTTTATTGGTTCGAAATTTGGAATTCGGGTTCGGTTGGCACACTCTGTATTCCGAATAAAAACCATTTCTTTTCGATCCAAATAATGAGAAATTCGGTTTTGGTCAGTTTGGTTTGGTTTGGTTTGGAGATTTGAAACCGAACCGGATGCCCACCCCTAGTGCCATGTCATCAAGAGTCAAACATGTTTTTGACTTTTGTTAGATCAACCGTCAACAAAAATTCGTGCAACACAAATGACGCAAACACCTAATAGGTTGGAATGTTTTTGTATTTAATCATTTATTGAAGTTACGGAATATAAATGACACTTTCGCTAATGGTTGGTATTTACAGTGGTATTAGCCCTTATTAAAACACAAAACCTATCTCTCCCATCTATTATCTACAAAATACATTATGAAATTCTAAGAATATTTGCCTACTATTTATTTTTTACATATATAACCATGTTGATAATAAATGCATACACAATAGTATATGGCACAAAATATCATAATGTTTTTAAAATTATATTGCATGTGGAGTTATTGAAATCTATACATAATTTTGGGATTTAAGTTGTACAATATTTTAAGGTTATCTAAAATTCATGATATATCAGTCGATATGCTTTATTAATCATGAATATTTAGAATATAAATCATTTGTGAAAATTATGAATATTTGTAAATTATATTGACTTAAAAGACTTATATGCGTCAGTGAATAAAATTAAGGAATAAAAGTACATATTAACTTAAAAGCTTATATAGTCCAGTGAATAAAATTAAGGAATTATTATTAGAAACAGTATCTAGAAACAATTTACAATTCTATCAAAGATCCATACATCAAATGCACGTAAAAAACAATACATAAATTTAATACAAAACCAATCCTAATGGAATGATCCATAGATCAAAAGTGATGAGGGCATCAACACCAAGGCGATTACAAGTCCAACTTTGGTGCGAGAGGAACGTGGTCCAATCACTAGAAGTCAAACCAAGGCATTTAGAGGTCGACTTCAATCTTATTTGGCATAGCATTTACCATCTTTGGAGTCGAATTTGTTCATGGGCCAAGAGGTCAATGTAATTGATATGATCCAAGTTGGCCAACTATTCATGTCACAATTAGTTGACAAAGAAGCTATCAAAGTTGGAAAGAAGAAGGGCAGAATTTGGCTAAGTCAAAATCCGTGTTCAGGGTACATACTTTGGAGGCATGGTTCTCTCAATTCTCTTGGTGGAAATTCAATTTTAAAGGTTTTTTTTGCAGATAAAGTTACTATCTTTCCAATGGTATGATTTATGGATCCAGAAGATGTCATTAAGGTTGTTTTCCAAGTCCTCAAAGTTGCTACCTTAAAACTGGAAAACTGCCAGAAAATGGCCAAGGCAGAAAACTGTTTTGTGAAGCCTACTTTGGAGCTCAATTCAAGGAGCATGGATGGGATTCAAGTCAAAAGGCTTCCACAACATGAAACTAGGTATGTTTGTGAACAAAGGGAAGGAATTGGATGAAGAATTGGAGTTCGGGAAGGCCTCGAACGAAAGGTGCGAAGTTAGTACGAAAGCTGCCTTTTGGACCGTTGCTGGCAGCTTACTTGCTCTTCAAGAAAGGGATTTTAAACCCGAGTTTTGTACTGTTTTTAGAGTTTTTTTTACCATAATTGTTTCCTAGTTACATTAGGTTTGTATTAGGTTTTATTGGCTATAAATAGTCTTCTATTTTCGTTGTAAAATTAAGACTTTGATTAATCGAAATTGAGAACCGTTTGGTTTGTGCAAGTTGCGACTTGTTTTGGGTTTGGTGGATTCCAAACTTGCTGAGCTTGTGTATCGATTGAATAGTCACTTCAATCGTGGTCGAGCAACTACCCTTTTATACCAATCGAGCTATCCCCAGGTGTGGATTTGTCCTTTTGGTTCCGTTTTATCCCAAGTTCGTATTAAGAACGCTTCGTTCTTGATTAATTAACGTTGACGAATTTAAGAAGATGGTCACAGATGCGTTCAACGCTACCTTCCTGCCCCAATTCGATCGAATTAATCGTCGATTAGATGAGTTGAAGGTGCTGACGAATAAAGCAGCCTTGCCAAAGAATTCTGCAGTGAAGAATCCAATTTCAGAGATGAATCACGACCGAAGTATTCCAAGTAAATTCAACCCAACAATAGAAGAGTGTATTCGAAAACTTTCGGAAAGCTGGGCAAAGGAGAAAGAGGCTTCAAGTGGTTCGAAGGTAGAGAAAGAAGCAGCCGCCTGCCGACTCTGTTTTTCTCCGGCAAAACAGAGTTTTCCTTCTGTTGTACCCGTCGCTGCACTAGAGGATGATTCGGAGGATTTTGTTGCTTCTGATCAGTTCATTGACTGCCCAGGAACGACTTCACACTCATATGAAACCCCAGAACAGACTGTAGGCGATCGTACACCTCCATTGACAAGAACTCAGAAGCTCTGCCGCTTCTCGGCAGCACAGAGTTCCGAAATTGATGATCTCGTCGTGACCTATGGAGATGATTCGAGACCACCCACCGATGGCGACACGTTTCCTATGACCCCAGGAACGTCAAGTGCAGCTTTAATGGAGGAGAACGAACCCTAAATTGCAGATGTGATTTTGCCAAAAGCATCTCTGCTTGTGACGACGAACGACGGCCAAGACACCTTGCGTTGGACCATCCAGCTCAATTTGAGGCGAATCAATGCTGCAGAAACATCAAAAACTAATCTAGGAACGACTTCCCTACCCAGAATCAAGCCACGACAGCTGCAAATCAAAACACCCAGTTCTGCAGAAGCTCTTCTGCAAATGCAGGAACTCGTCTCTAAGAATGGGTATTTCGTCGGAAGGACTGGGCACGAATCCAGTCGAAAGAACGATGTAGAATCGTTATTGGAGGTTTTTGGAAGGTTTAGGAGCAATCAATTCGTCAAGACGATGCTTGAACAAGAAATGCCCAATTTCGAATTGAAGATTCTGGGTAAGGAAATTCTGCAGCAGAACATGTTTGAGCAGCCCACTTTTGATCCAATTTGGGATCAGTTCTGCGATCATTTTGATAAAATAAAAGATCAAGCTTTGAGGGCAAAACTTTTTGAAGAGGGGGAGCCTGATATGATCCAATTTGGCCAACTATTCATGTCACAATTAGTTGACAAAGAAGCTATCAAAGTTGGAAAGAAGAAGGGCAGAATTTGGCTAAGTCAAAATCCGTGTTCAGGGTACATACTTTGGAGGCATGGTTCTCTCAATTCTCTTGGTGGAAATTCAATTTTAAAGGTTTGTTTTGCAGATAAAGTTACTATCTTTCCAATGGTATGATTTATGGATCCAGAAGATGTCATTAAGGTTGTTTTCCAAGTCCTCAAAGTTGCTACCTTAAAACTGGAAAACTGCCAGAAAATGGCCAAGGCAGAAAACTGTTTTGTGAAGCCTACTTTGGAGCTCAATTCAAGGAGCATGGATGGGATTCAAGTCAAAAGGCTTCCACAACATGAAACTAGGTATGTTTGTGAACAAAGGGAAGGAATTGGATGAAGAATTGGAGTTCGGGAAGGCCTCGAACGAAAGGTGCGAAGTTAGTACGAAAGCTGCCTTTTGGACCGTTGCTGGCAGCTTACTTGCTCTTCAAGAAAGGGATTTTAAACCCGAGTTTTGTACTGTTTTTAGAGTTTTTTTTTACCATAATTGTTTCCTAGTTACATTAGGTTTGTATTAGGTTTTATTGGCTATAAATAGTCTTCTATTTTCGTTGTAAAATTAAGACTTTGATTAATCGAAATTGAGAACCGTTTGGTTTGTGCAAGTTGCGACTTGTTTTGGGTTTGGTGGATTCCAAACTTGCTGAGCTTGTGTATCGATTGAATAGTCACTTCAATCGTGGTCGAGCAACTACCCTTTTATACCAATCGAGCTATCCCCAGGTGTGGATTTGTCCTTTTGGTTCCGTTTTATCCCAAGTTCGTATTAAGAACGCTTCGTTCTTGATTCGAGCTCAATCGATTCTTCGATTGAGTCGTTTGCTGCGTTACTTTGATAACATACACCCCCCCCCCCAGGGGCGTATCAGTAATCCACGTCCAAGAGGAGAAAGAAGGACATTCTTGATGCCCAAGTTGGCCACACATGGAAAGGCGAAGGAAAGGGGAGAAAGAAGAACATTTTTTTATGCCCAAGTTGGCCAAACATGGAAAGGGAATAATTAGTGGCTAAGAATCTTCCATTAGCATTAAAAATAATTTGTTAGAATCTTTTGGATATTTGTTTCATTCTTTAACTACTAAGTGTTTCCTTCTTAATTTTGTAACCTCTATAAATAGAGGGTGTTATGCCTACGGGATGCACAACTTATGATGAATAAAAAAACCCTTATTTGAGTGCTTATTCTTGAAACTCTCTTATCCGTCTTCTTTCTTGATAGTGGAATCGATTCAGCAAGATGAAATCCCACGTTTTCTGCTAGCAAATCACCCTAGCCGAATAGTCATTCGTATACCTAGCCCTCTACCCGACGTGTGGATTTTGTTTGGGCTGTTATCCGTTTGTGTTCGTTGTGCTTCAAATTGATCTTTGATGCATTTTTTTATTGTTAAGCCAAGGAGTTGGAGCCTTGGCTTATAGCATGTGGTATCAAAGCTTCGGTTCAAACACAGTTGCATACGTATCCTCCTATCTTGTGCGAAAATCTGCCAAACAGGTTTTGTGTTCTTAAACGTCACCAAGAAAGGTTATTTTTGTTGTTGATTGTTTAATTTCGTTCTTGATTGTAACGCAAATCTTTTGAAAAAAGTCATTCCAGAAAATACAATCAGAAAAAAAAAGAAAAAAAACGAGCATAAAAATAAAGAAGAATAGTTAGGAAAGGACAAGAACAGTGGCCAGATCACGCAAGTTTGTGTCTTGATCAAGTTTTGTGCATTCTTGGTCGAGTCTTGATTGTGCTAGTTGTTTTTTTAGATTTCTTGTGGCTCGAGCTATTGTTTTATTGCTTGTTCTACTTTGCGGACTAAGAAGTCCGTCTAGGGTTTCTGAGAGCGAGTGGAAAGAAGTTTCGTGAGGTCAATATCGGGCAAAAGCCAAAAATAATTAAATACGAGTGGTAAGAAAAATAGTGACCTGCAAACGAGTGAAACATGTGAGGGAGTGACTTGTGAGGTCCTTTGTTTGTACCACTAATTTGAAACTTTAAGCATTGACGAATAACTTCTTATTTCGAGTTTCTGAACTAAATGGTAGGAGAAGGAGAAATTTGCAAGAATCAGGAAGTTCAGAACTTGGAGGGCATTCCACAAGCTGCCATGGATGCTCTTATGTGATGCCTTACCCGAATGATGCAAGGCCAGGAGGACGATTTTCCTCCTCCTCCTCCACCACCACCACCACCGGGTGGAAGGCGAGGCCGACCTCTGGGCCCCAACAATCTTAGACCTCTACGAGACAGAGGAGGTAGAGGTCAAGGAGGAAGACCCCCAATTGAAGCTCGTAGAGCTCCTGAACCACATGACTATGAGGAGTACTACAAGGAGGAAGAGTATCCCCAGCATAGGGATGATGATATGAGGGGCTAAAGGTGAAGGTGCCATCATTCAAGGGAGAAATGATCCTGAAGCTTACCTCGACTAGGAAAGAAAGATGGAGTAATTGTTCGAGTGACACGACTACTGCGAACAGAAGAAGGTAATCATTACTGCTCTTGAGTTTTCTGCCTATGTCGTTGTTTGGTGGGACCAGCTGGGTGCTGAATAGAGATTGCACAGGCAGAGATTCGTACCCATTCATCATCAATGGGATCTGCATCAAGGTCTTCACTTTTTGAGACAGGATGCGAAGAGCGTGAAGGATTATTTCAAAGAAATGGACACATTGATGATTCGAGCTTGCGTGAATGAAGATCGAGAAGCAACCATGGCTCGATTTCTCAATGGTCTCAATCGGGAGATTAAGCAAGTCGTGGAGATTCACCATTATGTGGAGATTGAGGATTTGGTGCAGATGGTGACTAAGGTTGAGAAGCAACATAAGGGAGGCTATGCGAGGAGGGTGGCACCATCCACGAGTAGGGGTGTACATAGGTCGGTTGGTTCGGGTTTAGCCATTTTAATCCCCCGATTCATGCACTACGATTTGGGAAATATTAAACCCAAACTCACCCAAAAAAATTAAAATCATATGGTTTGTTTCTAATTGGGTTGGGTCGGGTTGACGATATTTTTAAGTAAAAACCCAACCCAACACAAAATATATAATTATTCTACACCATAAAAATATTTTATAACTAATTAAACTTTCAAACAAATAAACCGAGGTGAAAGGTATCAAAATTGACAAATGTTGTTTAAATTTTAATAAAACGTGATTTACTTCAACATATGTCTAGTTTTTTTCATGACATTTGTTGAAATAGGCTAAAAATATTATACACGAACGCATCTATAATATATTGCTCTATTAAAATTGTATACAAGAAAAACGATTACGTGAATCACAGCTATATTAAATCTATTTCTAAACTTTAAGCTAGAGAATGCATTAGATTAGAGAGACTATGAGAGATAAACATGGCGAAATATCTTAATTTTCCCATTAGTATGAGTCCGAGTCCGAGCCTGAATATGGAGAGGTCGAGACTGAAGAGGAGGAAGAAGAATCTGAGGAGCGGCCAGTGCAAGGCAACTACACCTGTGTAGCTCACCGACTTCTGAACTTGCAACAAAGAGAAGAGATTGAGCAACGGGAAAACCTGTTCCATAGTCGTTGCTTGGTCAATGGGAAGCTGTACTCGATGTTCATAGATGGAGGAAGCTGCACCAATGTTGTTAGCTCTAACATGGTGGCAAAGCAAGGATTGAAGACCATCAAGCATCCATGCCCCCTACACATCGCAGTGGGTCAATGAGGATGGAGCCGTTAAGGTGACACGTCAAGTACTACTGAGATTCGAGATTTGGAGATACAAGGATGAGGTGCTCTGTGACGTGGTGCCTATGCCAGCTGCTCACATCCTATTGGGATGTCCGTGGCAATTCGATAGAGCTGCCCAACATGATGGCAGGACCAACAAGTACACTTTGTCCTACAAGGGGCGGGCACATACCTTGCTGCCAATGACTCCCAAGAAGGTCTATGAAGACCAAGTGCGGCTGCAACAACTCTGTGAGCAAGAGAGGGAGCAAAAACTCGAGTTGAGAGAAAAGAAGAGAGAAAATTCGAGTGACCCAACCCTAGTGAGTCAGCCACGACCGGAAAACAGAAATCTCAATGTCGAAAAGATAAGAACGATGACTGAAGCTCCGGTGAGAAGAGAGAATTTCTTTGAGAGTGGAAGGGAGATTAAGCAAGCTTTGAACACCTAGGAGTCGGTGATCATGCTCGTTTACAAGTAAACACTTTTGAGCTCTAATGACCTTAAGGCTTTGCCTAGTAGTGTTCAGCTTGTTTTGCGAGAATTCGAGGATGTCTTCCCTAAGGAAGCTCCCAAGGGGCTTCCGCCCATCAGAGGGATTGACCACCAGATCGATTTCGCTCCTGGTGCTTCAATTCCAAACAAACCAGCGTATCGAACCAATCCGGAGGAAACCAAAGAGCTCCAACGGCAGGTGGACGAGTTGATGTAGAAGGGCCATATTCGAGAGAGCATATAAGTCCTTGTCTTGTACCCTTCATCCTCGTACTAAAAAAGGATAAGACTTGGCGTATGTGTATTAATTGCTGAGCCATCAACAACATGACGGTAAAGTATCGACATCCTATTCCTAGACTGGGTGATATGTTGGATGAATTGCATGGTCCTAGTGTGTTTTCTAAGATAGATCTTTGACTCACTCGAAACTACACCGTGAATTAATCACAACTAGAGCCCAAGTTTTTAAACTCTAGCTGGGTGCAGTATAGGGAAAGTATGTAACCGTCAAACCTGGGCCAGTCCATGTACCCCTACTTCAATCGCTTAGGTTGTTATCTAGCTAAATAGTTTTGGGTTTAAAACTAAGAAAACTACAAATGAAAACAAGCAAGTAAAGTAAATCGCGACTATCCCAATGAGAGAAGAGTTCACTCGGGTGTTGCTCCCCCTAGCTACATATCAAGATCTCCCAAATCGAATGCAAATGTGTGTATGTGTGTTAATACACCGTAGGAAGGCACAAAAAGTGAATGAAACCTCACTTTCTTAATCAATCAGTTAAGGAAAACCATTAAGATGGGAACCTTAGCTCTCTCAATCAATGGACTAAGGATTGTTACAATAAACTAGGCAGTCTAGCTCTCTTAACCTTTCGGCTAAGGATTGCAACAATAAGCCAAGAGTGCTAGCTCTATTAACCGATAAAACTAAGGGTTACAAGACCAATCCCTCGAAACTTAATCCAGACGGCAAAGTAATACCCAAGTTAAAGTGCTAATCGAAGTTTGAGGTTTGCCCTAATTTTCCCTAGGTAGGTGGCTCAATTGGCCAAGGAATCCAGCTTATCAAAGCCTCCTAACAAAAAGGGCAATTCCCTCTACCTAGGTCAAATTGGCATAGTAATGAGAAATGAAGAACACAACCCAAACATCATGAAAATAACTCAAACTTTGCATTAAACACAAACCCACACACAGAGCATTCAATTAATACAATCTATCACATATTTCAAACTAGGGTTCACAACACCCAAGTGAATAGGTAGGCTATTCCATAGCTAGGCAAAGGAAACAAGAAAGAGGAGAGAAAGAACCATGAAGAGATGACAATCTTCCTTCCTCCTTGCTTAAATCTCCCTTGAGAGGTAAAAATCTTCACTCCTCTAGTTTAGGGCAAGCCCAATCTCCTTATTCCTCCTTTGAATGGCACTTTCTCTCTAAATGGGAAGAGGAAACCCTAATCTCTCACTAGAAACCCACCTTGTATTCTGAAAATTAAAACCCTAGAAAAAGCTTCCCTTCTTCCTCCTTTCAGCTCTCTATTTATACCCAGTCTCACCCAGTTCACAGTCCCAGTGCACGGTTGTGAACTAATGGCGGGAACCGTGAACTAAGTCCAAAATGCACCGCTTCACTTGACTGGTTCGCGGTCCATGGCTTCAGTTCACGGCCTTACGACCGTGAGCTGACTCGGCGTCAGTAACCTCTGAAAACTCTCTGGAACCTCGTCAGTTCGCGGTTTGTGGCTCCAATTCACGGTCCTGATGATCGTGAACTTACTGCTTGGATCATGGACTACGGCTGCTTTCCTGGGCGCCCGCGCTTCACGGTCACGGGGCAATTGTCACGGTCGCTTTGGACTTTTCTTCGGTTTCTGCACTTTTCGACCTCCAATCGTCCCGAAACTCGTCCTCGACCCTTCCACATGTGCTAGGACCTGAAATGTATCAAAACAAGCACAACCTAATGTGAAATATGTCGAGGGACGATGAAATGCAAAGCCAAACTGAAACACCCTAACCCGGCCGGGTACTACTTTTACTAAAATGCCCTTGAAAAACAAAATACTCGAACCTTAAATTATAGTGGGAAAATTTTTCATAAATAAAATACTGAAAACATACACACTTGTAGTTAAAAGCAACGGCCTAACACGTGGGCAAATTAACTCAAACCTTAAAATCTCAATATGATCTCCAGTCTATACTCATAATCATAAAGTATATTAACTAATTAATCTTAAACGCTACTGCTGAATGATAACCTTGACTAGACATCCTCTGTGATGCTCGTACCATCCTCCTCCGGCTAGCTCCCCTCGAACCGCTGCTCTCTAACTGCTCCTCCTCTTCCTCTTCAAACTGGTGAGTGAGTTGGGGTCAGTCTACGCCCTTACGTTTGTTACTTTTAATACATGAGCACTTTGCTTAAAACATTGACTTAAACTTATGGAGGTTGTTTGTACTTCCACCTTTAAACTTTAACTCTTAAAACTGTGTTATCTCATCCTTTATCTTATTGGGGCCCCTACCTCGACTTAGCTGGCGCCACTACTAGCTTTACTTACTTTATTACTACTTAAACATGACTACCCTCACAATGGGGTGCCCCTCAAATGGGTTTGAACACCGCGGAACGAATCACCATCCGGTGTCAAACTACGGCGTGACTGCCGTGGAACGTATCATCATCCGGTAGCACACCTAAACCTAGGCAATGGAGACCGTGGAACTCATCACCGTCCAGCTCCACGCCTGACCAACTACCGCGGAACGTATCACCATCCGGTAGTGATCAACTACCGCGGAACTTATCACCGTCCGGTAGGGATCTGTCTAGCTAGTGGCTAGCTAAGCGAGGTTAACTTATTCTTACTTATGGCTTTCTCTTACTCTTATCACCACAACTTATTAAGCGGTGAATTATATAAAGCACTCCTTCTTAACGTTGTAAAACATAGACTTAAATTATGAAACGTAGATATTGAGATGCTCAAAACAATAACTCAATTTAATTCAACTTAAGCATGCTCACGTCGACTAACTACTTTCGATACGGAATTTCTAGAATCAGCTAATGGCTTCCTCTAATTCCCTGGGCACCATAACATGAGAATCACCATTAAATTGACAGAGTGAAGCCACGAGTACCTTTATACCAGTTGGTTTTGAGAAATGAACACCTCGTCCAACCTACGGAAACCTGGTCCCTTCTCTCGTTTCCGGATTCAGCTTGTTGGCGGCGGTGCAATCTTGAGGGGGTTTGTGTTTATCCACTGGTACAAGGGAAAGGAGGGGTGCTTCTTGGCGGTGGTGATGTTTTTCACAGATTGGAGGCGGTGCTAGGGTACTCGTGGGACGGCGCTGCGCAGAGGAGATCGGTGCTGGGGTTTCATTTTACTTTGCTCCCAACAATCAAAACTCCTCTTTTGGCCGCAAGCACATCACACCGGTTCCTTCGGGATTTAGTTTAGGTTAATTGGGATAAGTATGTACCACAGTTGTAATCTTTTGTACGTAATCGTCAATCCAATCGTTCATGTATTTTAGTCGAACCTGAACCCAAAGGTCGGGGTGTTACACAAACTATCAAGAAATGAGGGGTAAATGTGTACAATTGGACCCGAATCAATCTTAAATCTAGATACCATCAAATTCGAATGAAAGAAGGTGATGAATGGAAAACAACATTTAAAACGAAACATGGTTTATATGAGTGGTTGGTTATGCCTTTCGGTTTAACTAACGCGCCTAGCACTTTTATGAGATTAATGAACCATGTTTTGAGAGCATTTATTGGAAAATTTGTGGTAGTATATTTTGATGACATTCTGATTTATTCCAAGAACTTAGATGACAAAATGAATCACCTTAAAGCTATTTTGGAGACTCTTCAAAAGGAGAAATTGTATGGTAATCTCAAGAAATGCATGGTTTGCACTGATAGACTTGTGTTTCTGGGATTTGTGGTGAGCTCAAAGGAAATTGAGGTGGATGAGGAAAAGATTGAGGCAATTAAAGCATGGCCCACCCCAACTAATGTGAATGAGGTTTGAAGTTTTCATGGTCTTGCAGGGTTTATCGACGGTTTGTATAGGATTTCAGCACCATTGCTGTTCCTTTAACCGCAACAATTAAGAAGAACATGACCTTTCAATGGGGGTGAACCTCAATAGAAATATTTTGAGATTTTGAAATATAAACTAACCCATGCTCCTTTGTTGATGTTGCCTGACTTTTCTAAAACATTCGAGATCGAGCCTGATGCCTTTGGTGTAGGCATAGGTGCTGTTTTGATGCAGGAGAAGAGGCCAATTGCTTTCTTTAGCGAAAGGTTGAGTGGGGCTGCCTTGAACTATCCCATGTATGACAAAGAGATTTATGCTCTTGTTCGAGCTTTAGAAGCGTGGCAGCATTATCTCCGGCCTAAGGAGTTCGTGATCCACACTGATCATGAATCCTTGAAGTACTTGAAGGCACAACATAAGTTGAACAAGAGACATGCTCTATGGGTGGATTTCATCAAATCCTTCCCCTATGTGATCTTCTACAAGAAAGGTAAGGAGAATGTGGTTGTTGATGCATTTTCGCGTAGGTATGCTTTGATTTCATCTCTTGATGCTCGATTCATTGGGTTTGAGCATATCAAAGAGCTGTATGTCAATGATCCTGATTTTGGTGAGATCTATACTGCTTGTGAGAAGCATGGCGAGGAAAAATATTATCGAGCTAATGGTTATTTGTTTCGTGCTAACCAACTTTGTGTGCCTCATGCTTCAATTCATGATTTGATGGTTAGAGAGGCTCATGGTGGAGGCCTTATGGCTCATTTTTGGGTATCCAAGACTTTGGATTGCCTCCAGGAACATTTCTACTGGCCACACATGAGAAGTGACGTGGAGGAGGAGTGTGTAGGGTGTCTCAAGTGTTGCCAAGCCAAGTCAAGAGTTCAGCCAAACGGGTTATATATTGCTCTCCCTATTCCTACTGCTCCTTGGATTGATATTTCTATGGATTTCGTTCTTGGATGACCTAGGACTAGGAATGGTAGAGATTATGTGTTTGTTGTGGTTGATCGGTTTTCAAAGATGGTGCACTTTATCCCATCTCATAAAACTGATGATGCATCTAATGTAGCTTAACTATTCTTTCGAGAAATTGTTAGGTTGCATGGTATGCCTTGTACTATATTCTCTGATCGTGATGTCAAGTTCTTGAGTTACTTCTGGAAAACTTTATGGAGTAAGATTGGTACTAAGTTGTTGTTTTCTACTACTTGCCACCCTCAAACGGATGGTCAAATTGAAGTAGTTAATAGGACTTTATCTCAAATGCGTAGGGTTGTCATTAAGAGTAACATCAAGTCTTGGGAAGAATGCTTACCTCATGTAGAGTTTGCATATAATAGGGTTGTTCATGCTACCACTAAGTTTTCACCATTTGAGATTGTGTATGGATTTAATCCTTTAACCCCATTGGATTTGTCTCCATTACCTGTCAATGAGCGTGTGAATTTAGATGGTGTGAAGAAAGCAGAGTTTGTTCGAGGTTTGCATGAGAAGGCACGACTGAACATAGAGAGACGAACAGAGTAGATACCGAAGAACGTGAACAAGCATTTGCGTCTTCAACGATGGGTTCACATGAGGAAGGAACGTGTTCCCCAACAACGACACTCTAAGTTGCTGCCTCGTGGCGATGGTCCCTTTCTAGTCCTCACCCACATCAATGACAATGCTTACAAGCTTGATCTTCCGAGCGAGTATGGTGTGAGTGCTACGTTCAATGTTGCTGACTTGGCTCCTTTCCTTGAAGATGACTTCGATTTGAGGCCAAAACCTTTTCAAGTGGAGGGGGGTGATGAGGGCATCAACACCAAGGCGATCACAAGTCCATCTTTGGTGCGAGAGGAACGTGGTCCAATCACTAGAAGTCAAGCCAAGGCATTCAAAGGTCGACTTCAAGCTTATTTGGAGTTGAATTTGTTCATGGGACAAGAGGTCAATGTAATCCACGTCCAAGAGGAGAAAGAAGGACATTCTTGATGCCCAAGTTGGCCACACATGGAAAGGTGAAGGAAAGGGGAGAAAGAAGGACATTTTTATGTCTAAGTTGGCCAAACATGGAAATGGAATAATTAGTGGCTAAGAATATTCCATTAGCATTAAAACAATTTGTTAGAATTTTTGGGTATTTGTTTCCTTCTTTAACTACTAATTGTTTCCTTTTTAATTTTGTAACCTCTATAAATAGAAATCGTTATGCCTATGGGCCGCACAACTTATGATGAATAAAAAAAATCCTTATTTGAGTGTTCATTCTTGAAACTATCTTACTCGTCTTCTTTCATGATCATGGAATCGATTCAGCAAGAAGAACCTATCAACCAGAATGCAAGAAGAAGAAACAACACGCGATTTACGTGGTATCCTCGAGAAAAAAAGTCGAGACTAATCCACGGAGAGGAGCAACCTCTCAGAGTCGATCGTATAATCAGTCAATAGAATTCTTAGGTTACAAGAGAAGCGGCCTTCAGCTTATGTGCACAGCCGCCGAACCCGAACTATGGCTTAAACGTAATTAAACTAAATACAGGTTAATTACATTTTTCTACGTATACTTCTAACACCCTCCCTCAAATTGATGGTACTTGCGTAACATCAATTTGTGTGCAAGAAACAAGTGACGGGAATTAGCCACCGCCTTAGTAAGCAAGTTTGTCGTATGATCTTCAGATGTGATGTAGGATAATAAAATCTGACCTTCAGCGACCAACTGGCGGATATAGTGAACATGGACCTCAATGTGCTTCGTACAATCATGTACCAGAGGATTAGTAGCAATCTTAATCGCACTGGTATTATCTGCATAGAGACGCTTAGGAGAGAGACTGACCACACCAAAGTCAGCTAGTAGCCGACTCAACCAGACCAACTCGGAAATAACCTCGAACATTGAACAATATTCGGCCTCGGTGGAAGATTTAGACACCCGATCCTGCTTCTTACACCGCCAAGAGATGAAAGAGGAACCCACCTTCACGCACCAGCCAGACGTGGAGCGTCTAGTATCCAGGCAACCATCGTAGTATTCATCGGTAAAAGCCTCTATATCAGGAGTACCTGTAGCAGGAAAGAAAAGACCAACATACTGGGTACCACGAAGATAGCGCAAAATGTGCATGACTGCAAGGAGGTGAGTCGACCGAGGAGCTGACATGAACTGACTGACCACCTAAACTGCATAGGATATATCTGGACGAGTATGAGTCAAATAAATAAGGCTGCCTACCATACTACGATGCGAAAGGTCCCAGACGACTTGAGCTTCCTTGTTCCCATGCAGACCTTCCCTGACTCTCTGGGTAATGAGGATGGTCCTCATTATGATGATGATCCCCGTACTCCTTCTACTGTCGGACTGTCTTCTCCAGGAAGCACCTCGGCTTCTTCTTCGAGCTCATCCGAAAGCTCCTCTGCTTTTCACTCCTCCGCTACGGCTTCTTCTTCGTCATCTTCCAGTTCGGATACCACTCATCATGATTGCTCGCCTCTCAGCCCACCTCCAGATCCTCCTCTTCGTTGGTCCACGAGAGCCACTCGTGGGCAGCCTCCTCTCCGTCTAGGTGGCTTTCTTGCTTTTTCAACCGCTCCCATCATTATTCCAGCAACTTATAAATAGGCATGTGGAAATGCGGATTGGGATGAGGCCATGGCAGTGGAGACCAGAGCCTTGGAAGCTCAACACAGGTGGGATATTGTTCCCCGTTCGGTCGATCATCCGGTTATTGGCTCAAGGTGGGTGTACAACGTGAAACTACATCCGGATGGATCCCTTGAACGGTTCAACGCCGGGGTTGTTGCTCAGGGTTTTTGTCAGAAATTCGGCATTGATTATTAGGAGACTTTTGCTCCGGTGGCAAAGATGCAGACTGTTCGCACACTGCTTGATGTTGCTGTAATGAAGGTTGGAGTTTGACGACGCCAAGAAGAGCAACAAAAGCGATTTACGTGGTATACTCGACGATGATGTCGAGAATAATCCATGGAGAGGAGCAACCTCTCAGAGTCGATCGTATAATCAGCCAATACAATTCTTAGGTTACAAGAGGGGCGACCTTCAGCTTATGTACACAACTGCCGAACCCTAACTATGGCTTAAACGTAATTAAACTAAATACAGGTTCATTACATTTTGCTACCTATACTTCTAACAGAAACCCGATGTTTTCTGCTAGCAAGTCATTCGTATACCTGGCCCTCTTCCCGACGTGTTGATTTGGTTTGGGTTGTTCTCCGTTTGTGTTCGTTGTGTTTCTTATCGATCTTTGCTGCGTTTCTGATTGTTAAGCCTAGGAGTTGGAGACTCGGCTTATATCAAAAAGAACATACAAAAATTATGGATACGTAAAATTTTAAAATGTACATATTGACTTAATGGCTTATAAATGTTGGTGAATAAAATTAAGGAATTATTATTAGATTCACAATCTAGAAACAATTTAAATTCTATAAAAAATGCATAGATAAAAAACAAATACAAAAATATGAACACATAATATATCAAAAATAGTTTTCCAAGCATACATACAAAAATAGTTCACCTATAACAATAAATTAATCATTATAAATGTCATGTATTTGTTTTGACTTGAGGGAGAGATTTTCAGTAGTATCAAGAAAGCTTTCATTTTAAAAATTAAATTTAGGCGTAGTTTGGATGAGGAATTGTGACGGATCAATTTGACACAATTGTCTCGTTTTGAGATAATTGTATCAAATTGCCTCGTTTGCCAGCAAAAAAAATTTGGATGGATCAATCTGCCTGAGGTATTTTGAATTGATCCGTTTTGAGTCAATTTCAATTACCTGGGGCGGGTGCAGGTAATTCGAATTGACTCGTTTTATAGAGTTGTCAATTGGGTGGGTTAGGTCAGGTTCGGATTGGGTCTAACTGGGTTGGGTTCAATCGGGTTGCGAGTTCAATCGGGTCGGTTTCAATTTGGATCGGGTTTAATTGGGTTGCTGGTCAATTGGGTTACGAGTAAATCAGGTCACTGGTCAATTGGGTTACGGATAGGGTTACAGGTGCATCAAATTACGGGTTTATTGGATTGCGGGTTAATTCGAGTTCAGTTAGGTCGGATTATGGGTTATTTGGGTCAACCCATTGGACCATTTACTTCTTGACAGAAAATAGTGTTATACAAACTATCAATATAAGAATATAAATTGTAGGTAATGATACAAAATTTAAGAAAATGATAATATGATAATATTTAACATATACAAATTAAATATCCATTATGTTAGTATAAAAAATAAATATAAATAAAATAGTGTATATAAAAGCTTTGTTGTTGGTTATAATTGTTTTGTTTATGGTGAGAGATTGTAACTTCACTTATTTTATTAATTTATAAAAAAAATTGAATCAGTAAAAACTAGATGCATGTCTCTTCATTGTCACGAAGACTTATGAACATCATTCTGAATCACCCACTTATATATATTCACAATTTTTTATATATTCACGGTAACATCTCATCCTAAAACTCATGGGTCGAACAACGGTTCTCTCAAATATGATATTATCATCTAGTTCGAATCGTTGATTTATTAATTTATAAAAAATAAATAAAATCAGTAAAAAGTTGAGAATGAAGTAAAAAAGTTCAACTATCCTCTTATATATCTTGATAGGGATCATTGATTTTGGGGATCTCATTGATTTTCAAGGATTGATTTTTTTTAATATAGTTATGGGTGGTGGAGATAAGAATTTGTGTCTAACTTTTCCTATTATCTTCAAAAATTTATCCTTTGAATTTCATAAAATTTCATAAAATAAAAAATGAATGAAAAGCTATTTCACATATTATTATTTTAAAAATTAAATATGTATGAAAAAATCTCAATTTATACCATCAATTCTACAAATAATTTTCAATTATTATGAGAACAACAGTTCTTTCTTGATAAATTTAAAAATATAATAATGTATACATTGAATTTTTGTACAAGCATTCGGGTCAAATGGGTTATTCGGGTTATTCGAGTTGGGTTCGGTTCGGTTATGGGTCATTTGGGTTATGAATCATTCGGGTTATAGATGGGTCGGGATAGGGGTTATCGGATAACGAGTTCATCGAGTTATGGGTTGATCAGATTACGGATCAATTGGTTTCGGGTTACGGGCGGGTTTCGGCAGGTTGACTTTTTTTCAAATTGGGTTACGGACGGGTTGTGGGTTGAGCGAGTTAGTCGGGTCGGGTTCAATTTTGACAGCTCTATCGTTTTAATTATAGGTGTCAAAACATAGCCCGACCCGATTAACCCGCCCGATCAACCCGACCCGCAACCCGACCGCAACCCGAATTGACTAAAAGTCAACAACCCGCAACCCGCCCGACCCGCAACCCGATTGACCCGCAACCTGACTAACCCGCAACCCGACTGACCTGCAACCCGATTAACCCGAACCCGATTGACCCGCAACCCGACTGACCCGCAACCCGATTAACCGAACCCAATTGAACCGAACCTGACTAACCCGCGAACCGACCGACTCAACCCGAACCTCACTTAGTCCACTTAAATAATTATTATAATATACAATACACAGTTTTTCAAAATAAAAATATGAAACATGAAGGTCACTTGAACACTAAGTTCTTTAACAAAATTTAAAAAGTTAATATAAAATCTACATAATGTCAATATTAATAATGAAGAATTAATAATTGAGATCATGGACAATATTAATATAATATATAAATTAAAATTTTGGTTAATTCAAATATTCAATAAAATTATCAATTAAATATAAATAAAATAAAGTAATGTATTTGGTAATTTGATGTTTTTAAAAGAAGAGGAAAATTTTGGTGTATTCAACTTTTTGGGAAGAGAAAGAAGAGGGAAATTTGGTTTTTTGAATTTTTTAGAAAAGAAACAAGTGGAAATTTTGGTGGTTTTGATTTGTGGGAATAGAAAGAAGTGGGAAAGTTTGGTTCTTTTGATTATGAAAGAGAAATAAGGATGGAAATTTTGAGTTTTCAACTTTTTGTGGAAGGAAGGAAGAGGGAAATTTGGTTCTTTCAATTTTATAGAAGAGAAAGAGGAGGGAAATTGAGTGTTTCTAATTTATGGAAGGAGAAAGAAGGAGGGTAATTTTAGTATTTTTTTGTGAAAAGAAAGAATGAAAATTTTGGTGTTTTCAACTTTTTGGTTTTTCAAAATTTTAGCCTTTGAAATATGAATCTTTAATTTTTATATGGAGGGCATGACTCGTTAAATTTATTCTTATATGCTTTGAAGGCTAATATATATGTATGTATGTATGTATGTATGTAATTGTTTATTGGCTAATAAATAAATTAACCATTAGTTACAACAATTATACTAAACTTGATAAGTAATCTTTGACGGTTCGTTGTTTAGGGTATAAAGTATATTGGTTAGGGTAAATGGTATAAGGCACATATGGTTTAGGGAGTATGGTTAGGGTATAAGATATTGATGGCTTTGACGGTTCCAAGTTTTTTATTAACATATGTTCACTTGAAGTCATTTGATGTCTTTAACGGCAGGAGATCCCTTTTTAATTTATGTTTGTGGTACGTGGTTAGGGTACAAGGTATATGATGTAGAGTATAAGATATATGGTTAGGATATAGCAATTAGCAAATATCACTTTTTATCTATGTTTTGAAAATCAAAGTATGAATTTCAGTTTTAAATTAACTATACTAGCAAAATCACAACTCATAAGGACATATGGTTAGGGTTTAGGGTATGTGGTTAGTGTATAATGTATTTATGGTTTAGGGTATACAATCAACAACATATACTAACTTAATATTGTCGATTGAGGGTAAGGCTAAGTGTATAGGATATATGTTATTGAGTAAGTTATGATTGAAGTCCCAATAATTTTACTAGATTTGATAGTTAATCTTTTATGGTTCAATTTTCAGGATAATTCGAACAATTTTACAAATAACTCGTTTGGCAACAGTTTACTGAAGTTATTTGGGCAATGAGTTATTTCGAAATAACTCCTTTTATCACTCTGCTTTTGCCTAATACCACACACCAAATACCACATTTGCATGGTTATACTAAATGAGATACTTTAGTCCAATTACACTACTGAAATAATACTAAAATATCAAATAAATAATTAATGGTATCTTTTGGTTGTAAATATTGATATCACCATTACTATTAGCTAGTGTACTGTACCAATTACGATTAATTACATAACAAGTTTGCAAGTCATACAAATTGATTTAACATTTTGACTCGTTTTTTTCAAAAAATTAAGTATATATATATACGAGGTAGAAATAAATTGTTTAAAATAAATATATTATTTTCAAATAAAGTTTTTCATTCTCAACCTAAGTAAAATCATTCACATTTACTTAAGAAAGTTCAAAATCTGAAATTCACTTAAAATTATGGTTTTTAATTACAAAAATTATGCATGAATTTCTTTAACCAAATTACAAAAAAGTAAATATAAAATCAACACAATGCTAATATTTATAATAAATAATAACTAAGACCTTTTGTCTATAATAATAAATTTTATTATTGGAGAAGATGAGAGGGTAAGAACTAAGAAGTAATTTTGGGCGGGTGTGATGAAATTTTGGGCGCCCAATTTTTTGCAACCAGAGGGAAGGATTTTTTGTTTTTGGTGTAATTGTAGTGGGCGGGTGATGTTGAAATTTTGGGCGGCCAATTTTAGTTGTGGTGGGAAGGCGAGATTTCAAATTTCGATTGTGGTGATTTTGACTAGTTTTTCTCAATTAAGTATGTATACAAGGTAGAAAGAAATTGATTAAAAATTGTGAAAGATATTTTAAATTAGTGTAATAAAATGTGAAAGTTGGTAACGAGTAAGTAACTCGATGCGTTGACCCGAACAACCCGCAACCCAATCCGCCCGCAACCCGGTCCAAAACCCGATGAACCCGAACCCGATTTGCCCGTAACCCGATTGAACCCGAACCGACGAACCCGCAACCAAATTAAACCCGAACCCGATTGAACCCAAACCGACGAACCCGCAACCCGACTAACCCGCAACCCGATTGAACACAGCCCGAACCCGCCCAAACCCGCCTGATTGACACCTATAGTTTTAATTGCCTCGTTTATAAAACGAGACAATTGATCATTTGCCACGTCAACGAACCCGAATAAAAATTTTGGATTTTGAATTTCTGGAATCATTTTAAATTTTCCTTCGTTAATTATTATTGTTATTAGAAAATGAAATGAATTAAATAAATTTGAATTTTTTTTATTTTGAGTTTGCTAGCGTGGCAAGTGACTTGGCGCTTGACTAACGGTCAATGGAGTTGACCGTCCAATTTGACAATCAAAACCCACACTAGGCCAAACAAGGAAGCATAGTGCAAAGTTCGGGCCAGGAGAGCACTTTCAGAAACTATAAGCCAAAGTATAAAATTTGATTATAATTCGGGTCAAAATAAGATATTAATCCGTTATTTATCTGTTCATCTAAATTTGTCATAATATCCTATAGGGTGCTACGATTTTTAGAACACTCTATTTTTCTTGTTTGTAGTCTTTCAAACAATTTGCCATATCTTTTATGATAACCCATCTTTTGTTGTCTAATTTAGTAGTAATTTCTTAAAGTTTAATTATTATTTTCTTAAGATCTAGTAGAATTATTTATTGAGTATCTGAAGTTGATTTCCTTTTTCTATTTCACTATCTTTTTAATTATATTTTTAGCTAGTTCTAAATGAGAATATAGTTGTTCTTGTCTTTCATTATATTAACATTCTAAAACTGTTTTTAAATGTTCATTATTTTCTTATGTAGTACTTACTATTTTTCTAAAGTATTTATGATGCTTCCATGATAGTCATTTATAGACTTTGCTAATTTCTCTATTTTTATAGATATTTTCTGTACTCATCTTATTTCTAGTTCGCTTTTAGTATCTTGTGAATTGTTTTAAGAAATATTTATCAATGTGGTTTGTTCTGGACGGGTCATAAACTAGTTAGTCTAAATAACTCAAATTTTTGGGAGACGGTTATGTCGGATCTTATAGCACTCATTAACATGACCCTCAAACGAAAGCCAACCCATGGGCTTGAAGTTTGCACAGGCGATCACCATACCTTGTGCTTTAATCAATTGTTAATATGGGGGTCGTGGAGATTCGAACACGCGACCACTTGGCCAACTGGTTTATGACATGGTATCAGAGCTGATTTGTTCGTGAGGTCACGTGTTCAAGTCTTCACGGCCCCCAATATTAACCGTTGTTTTTCAAACACATGGTATGTCGGGCATGTGCAAATTTCAAGCCCATGAGTCGACTTTCCTTTGAGAGGGCGTGTAAAGAAGTGGTTAAGTACATACATGGGCATGTATAAGATCCAATATAACATTCTGCCAACAACTCGAGTTATTGGGACCAACTAGTTTATGATAGGATGAGTATTGGGTTATATTGGAATATGCCAACGTTTGTCCTATTTCTATATCTGTCTGATTTGTTTAATTATTTAGTGGCTTAGGATAGGGTCAGTAACTAAATATGGACCTTTAAATCTAAGTTGGTCCAGAAAATCCAGATCTAAAGGTTGTCAATTAAAGACATTTTATTTTCCCTAGTTTTCTTAATCGGCTCTTATCCTGTTCGTTCTAACACGGATTTTAATTATTATTTTTTACATAGATGGAACGAGTTCGTTTTGCTCTACAAACGATATCAATATTCAATATATTTCAAGAAACTTTTTTTTTACCAACTACATATTATATGATAACTTCTTCGTTTTTAAGTCGTTTTTGAAAACGTTTGCTCAGAAGGAACGAGTTCATCATGATCTATTGGATCTACAAATTTCTGGGTGAAAAAAATACTGGACCAAAAATTATCATGCTTACCACTATGGTATGTGGGTGGTAACTTGTAGTAAACAATGATGAAAGTCATAAATGACAGTTAGTATACTCTTACTATCATGTATTCAACATTCTTACCATATTGGTATGTTCATACCATCATGGTACGCTTTCTTACCATATGGTATTAAATAGGAGCATACCATATGGTAATGACTGGTAAAAACTTATTCAATTTTTTTGTACTAAAAATATATCAAAGTGGATACTGATGTCATGCGGATGTGGACGGGTTACTCATGGTTACTGACCATAAGATTACTGACGTGATCCGCTCCCTTATTTAGTGAGTCTTTTACTTACCATTTTACTCCTTTCGGCCGTCACAGCTCGGTCGGCGTCTGCCTCCAGCTCGGGTCAACAGATCGGCTACCTTCTACCTCCACCGCTCGGTCTCCCCTGCCTCCAGCTCGTCCTCCCTCTATGGAAATTGGTAGAAGACAAATTGGAGGGAACCCGCAAAGGGGCTCTTTGCCACTAAGGGCCTATATATATGAAAGAACAGAACTGTACAACTAGCTATCAGTCTAATTACAAAGTTACAACGGTAAACAAAACGGATTAATTAAAGTGACCAATGCTAAACCAACACGTGGTGCTATACAGTAGAAATGGAAGAGTGTCTTGGCGCCTAACTGCGATGACGTCGTCCTTGTCTCTGCGTTCGATACTTCGATTACTATACATCTGAATGACTTCGTATCAGTGGGTCCAAGGTGCCAAGACCGGTCCATCCCTTCGATCAGCTCTGGTTCGGATACTCTGTTATGCCCCCTCAAGCTGAGCATACAGATTCTGTATTTTCAGCTTGTATAATAAGAACTGTAAACGAAACCTGCTCAAACCCTTTGTAAAAAGATCCGCAATCTGATTCTCCGTATCAAGATGATGAAGGGAAATGAGATTGGACTGAAGGTATTGACGAACCACGTGACAATCGATCTCTATGTGTTTCGTCCTCTCCTAAAACACAGGATCTTCAGCAATGTATAGATGATCGATTGTCACAATAGACTTCTACTGAGCGAGGATGATCGACATTGAGTTCTTATAGAAGTCTCTTTACCCAAACAATTTCACTGGTAAGCTGAGCTAGGGCCCGATACTCTGCTTCTGAGGAGGAACGAGAAATTGTTCCTTGCTTCTTGGATCTCCAGATTATAAGAGATTTCCCTAAGGAAATACAGTAGCATGTGGTAGATCGTCTTGTGTCAGGACAGGAAGCCCAATCTGAGTCGCTATACCCTCTGAGTTGTAGATTAGAAGAGGACAGAAACAACAACCCTTGACTTGGAGAGTTCTTCAAATATTTCAACACTCTGTAAGCAAGCTGAAGATGTGTCGTGGTGGGAGCATCCTGATATTGGCAACGTTGCTAGACAAAAAAGGTAATGTCAGGGCGTGTGATGGTGAGGTAATGCAGACGTCCAACAATCTTGCGAAATAAAGTGCCATTGTCGAGCAGCGGACCATCGTCAGCAGACAAACGAGTTATCATGTCAATGGGGTAACCACACGTTTTGAATCTGCAAAACAAGTGTCAATAAGTAGATCAGTGCAGTACTTCTTTTGACATAGATGAAGTCCCCCTGATGATCTGGCAATCTCGATGCCAAGGAAATATTGGAGAATGCCAAGATCACGAATTTTGAACTGTGAGCTGAGAAAAAGCTTAAGAGCTATAATGGAATCGAGATCATCACCTGCAATGATGATATCATCGACATAAACCAGAAGAATGGAGATGCCTGAACTGCTGTGGTGAGTGAACATGGAGTAGTCATAATTGAAGCTGAGAAGAGCATAAGTGAGTTTAGCAAACCACTGGCGTGAAGCCTGCTTCAAGCAATAAAGAGACTTCTTGAGTCTACAAACCATACCAGATTGAGAAAGTCCAGGGGGAGTTCCATGTAAACCTCTTCATTGAGATCCTCATTAAGGAATGCATTGCTCACGTTGAGCTGAAAGAGATGCCACTGCTTTGTTGTTGCCACAACAAGAAGTGTTTTAACGGAATTTAACTTCGCCACAAGAGAGTAAGTATCCAGAAAATCCAGGACATAAATCTGTGTAAATCCCTTAGCTACGACTCTAGCTTTATGTCTTTCAATGCTGCCATTAGGTAATAGTTTGATCCGTGCACCCATTTACTTCCAATTGTTCTCTTATTAAGTGGCCTAGGCACAACCTCCCAAGTTTGATTTGCTGTAAGAGCATCAGCTTCCAGCTTCATTGCTTGATTCCAACAGTCATGTTGTGCGGCTTCTTCATAGCTGCTTGGCTCTATATTGGAGTTAAGAGCTAGCACATATGATTTGTAACCTGAAGAGAGATTGGCATAGGAGAAACATGCAACCATGGGGTACCTAGGATTGTCAACATTAGATTCCATTGATAAGACATAATCATTATACTTGACAGGGGGATGATGAGCTCGAGAGGGTTTTCTGAGAGCAATTGGAAGAAAAGAAGGACTATCCTGAGGAACATGAATAGGAGAAGGTGTGTGAATGGCTAGAGAAGAGTGAGTAGGGTTAGGTGGGATAGGATAAGGATATGGAGGGTCAGGATGTTCCTCATATGTGGGAGGAGGAGCAGAAGGAAGTGTAGTGTCAAAGTCTGGTAATGGTGTTAGTGAGGCAAAGAAGACTGGCTCAGGTGGTACTGGTGGATCAGGAGGTGAGGTGGAGTCTTGAGAGGACAAGTAAGGTAAGATGTTTTCATGGAACAAAACATCTTGAGAATGAAATACTTTGTGTTCAGAGAGGTCTAGTAGCTTAAAACCTTTAATTCCATGGGAATAACCCAAAAACACACATTACCTTGCTCTTGGCGGGAATTTAGTGCGATGGTGACTAAGTGTGATGGCATATCACAAGCATCCAAATGCTTTAAGGTCAGAAAGATCAGGGGGAAGCCATAAAGGTTTTCAAGTGGGGTCTTGTGTGCAAGAGAAACGATAGGTAGTCTGTTGATTAAGTACACAGCATGTAGAACACAATCAGACCAAAACTTTAGGGGAAGGCCAGATTGAAACTTGAGTGATCTGGCTACATTGAGAATGTCTTGGTGTTTTTTATCTACCCTGGCATTTTGTTGTGGTGTTTCTACAGAGGAAATATGGTGAACAATGCCATGTTTGGAAAAGAAATCTGGCATATGAAACTCGGCTCCTTGATCAGAGCGAATGATTTGAACTCTTTTATCATACTCATTTTTCACCATAATGCAGTAATCTTGTAGAAGTTTTTTAGCTTCACTTTTGTGTTTCATTAGAAAGGCCCATACACATCTAGACTTATCATCAACAATGGTAAGAAAGTATTGAAATCCATTGTAAGAACAAACAGCAAGTGGCCCCCAAATATCCACATGAATGAGTTCAAAAATACTCTTTGCCACAGATTGGCTTGAAGAAAAAGGTAAACATTTTTGCTTGGACAAATGATAGACTTGACAATGTTGAACAGACTCAACAAAAATAGTGGGAATTGTTTTCTGTAGCTCTTTTACTCTATGCTGAGATGGATAGCCAAGTCTCCAGTGCCACAGGTTAAAGGATTGAGGTATAAGACTTTGTGTAGTTGTGGAATTGACATGTATGGTATGATCTCCTGTGTGTTGAATGAGCTGGTAAAGACCTCTAATCTCTTGGTCAGAACCAATCCTCTTGCTGGTGAGAAGGTCTTGGATGTAGCATAGGTTGGATTGAAAGGAAAGAGACACAGGAAGGGACTTGGTCAGTTTACTGACTGAGATGAGGTTAAAGGAGAAGGTAGGAACAAAAAGAACTCCATGAATGACTAATCCTGACAATAGTCTAAATGTTTCAGAATGATTAGCTGGGGTTTTAGAGCCATTTGGTAGTGTAATGAAAACATTAGAAATAGGTTTGCTATTTAGAAAATGGTTAAATGAGCAAGTAATATGATCAGTGGCGCTAGTATCAAGAAACCAAACATTGACATGCTCTAGTGGATGCTTCTGATAATACGTGGTTAAGGTAAATTTACCTGCATAGTTTGGACTAGCAGAGATATGCTTGGTGCCTGAATTCACTTGAACATGTTGTGAAGCTGCTCTTGGTGTAGAACCAATGGATGAATTGTTGGGAGAAGTGGGCGACTGTGGTGGACTGAACTGTCCAAGCAGCTTCTGGAGCCTATGAACATCTTCAATGGAGAGTCGAAGATTAATAAATCCCCCCTGATTCATTGACATTCTGTGAGTCTGGTTTCCCAAGGATGCTATCAGAAGATGAATCCACTCCTTGTAACTGACCAGCAAAACCTCTAGATGAACGTCTTGCTTCCCTATTCTTTCTTTTCGGCCTATAACAGTCAACAATCACATGGTTATTGTAACATCTCAAACCAAACCAAACCAAACCAAACAAAACAAAACGAATGAATAAAATAAATTCATTCTCGATAACCATAAATTTACAAACGGGATTCTATGTCGTAAAATTTACCTCGTCGACGTGAAAAGATATATGTCGATAAATAATAATCATATACATAAATGTGATTTAAAAGAAAAAAATAATAATGAAGCAACAGGTATCGAACCCACTACCAAGTGTGTTCCAACAAATTGCCGCTAGGCTACAAGCAGATTTATACTCATAGTGTCACCGTAAATTTAATTAATTAAACTATGCACATCTATAAGTGGACAGCCACGGGATTTAAGTGGTATCCCCGATTGCCGGGACTAGTCCACGGGAGAGTAATCACTCTCCAGTTTAGGTTTTATTATTCTGGTTCTTATTGTGGCCGATGGCCATTACAAGCATTTATATACCCTTTACACCAGTTCCCTAGGGTAATACAGCCAACACACGTACAAGGGCTAGCTACATGGCCTGCATGGAGACGTGTGGAGGGCTGGGCCTCGGTCTGGTTATCACGACCCAATACTCCCTCGCAAGCTGAGACGGGAAGGACGCGCTCAGCTTGGACAGGGGAAAGCAAAATCGATCAGCGCCCAAGCCTTTAGTGAAAAGATCAGCCAGCTGCAGGTGGGAGATAACTTTGAGAGGAACAATATGACCACTCTGGACGCATTCCCGAACGAAGTAACTATATATCTCCACGTGCTTAGTGCGCTCATGAAATACGGGATTAGCAGCAATATGTAAAGCCGCCTGATTATCACAATGAAGCGGAGTGGCTGCCGGCTGGGGAACACCCCGTTCAGAGAGAAGCCAGCGGAGCCAGATAACTTCACTAACCTTACTAGCCATGGCGCGATACTCAACTTTAGCAGAAGAGCGAGCAACAACATGTTGCTTTTTACTGCGCCAAGAAACCGGCGCGCCACCCAAGCTGATGAAGAAACCAGTAGTAAACCGTCGCGTACTCTCACAGCCACCCCAGTCGGCATCACAATAAGCAACAAGATCAAGAGAGCGATTAGCAGGGAAGAACAAACCCTGACCTGGTGAGGACTTGAGGTAGTGGAGAATACGATGAACGGCATCTAGGTGAAGCTGACGAGGAGCCTGAACAAAATGACTAAGAACATTGACATTGTAGGCAATGTCTGGACGCATCACAGTCAAGTAGAGAAGCCGACCAACCAGTCGGCGGTAAGAAGAAGCACCCACGAGGGCATCAGATGAAGGCCGGGTGAGATGATGGTTCTGTTCAACAGGAAAAGCACTCGGACGACAAGCAGTAATGCCGACGTCAGAAAGAATGTCGAGAGTATATTTTTGTTGACTGAGAACAATGTCGTGGGGCGAACGCGTAACCTCAATACCGAGAAAGTAGCGGAGATTGCCCAAGTCCTTGATGCTGAAATGCTGGTGAAGGAACTTCTTAACTCGAGAAATGAACTCCATATCGTTACCGGCCAGGAGAACATCATCCACATAAATCAAGGAAACCAAATGAGTGCTCCCCCGCTCATAGATAAAAAGAGAATGGTCGGCAGGGGACGGGCGAAACTGAAGCTCACCTAACGCCTGTGTAAACTTATGGTACCAATTACGGGATGCCTGGCGAAGACCATAAAGAGACTTGTTGAGGCGACAAACTCGAGTGTCACCAGGTGCGGCAAATCCTTGAGGGATGCGCATATAGACCTCCTCCTCTAGATCACCATGGAGGAATGCATTATTAACATCGAGCTGATGAATAAATCACCCACGACTGACAGCGACAGAAATGAGGCAACGGACAGTAACCAGCTTAGCCACCGGTGCAAACCTATAATGGAAGTCCACGCCTTTAATCTGGGTATAGCCTTTAGCAACTAAGCGCTCTTTGTAGCGCTCAATGGTACCATCGGGGTAATATTTGATCTTGTAAACCCATTTACAATCAATCACCCGTGCATGCGGTGGAAAATAAACCAGAGTCCAAGTACCATTTTTCTCAAGAGCGGCAATCTCAACCGCCATAGGGCGCCGCCAACATTCATACCGGACAGCCTGATGAAAGAAACGTGGTTCGGTATGAGAATGAATAGCTGCAAGAAAGGCAAAAAATGCGGTGAGAGGCGATCAGAATCAGGGGAATAAGTCAATGGATAATGAACTTGATTAACTTGACTTCCCGTATAGTAGATATCGAGGCGCTTGGGCGGAACGCGAACACGATCACCCCTGCGAAGAGGAACTGCCGCTCTGATACCATGAGAAATCTGTAAAAGTAAGAGCGGAAACGAACAAAAAGCGATTTACGTGGTATCCCCGATTGTCGGGACTAGTCCACGGGAGAGTAATCACTCTCCAGTTTAGGTTTTATTATTCTGGTTCTTATGGTGGCCGATGGCCATTACAAGCATTTATATACCCTTTACACCAATTACCTAGGGTAATACAACCAACATGGAGACGTGTGGAGGGCTGGGCCTCGGTCTGGTTATCACGGCCCAATACACGCCGTCGTTTGGATGTAAGTGAAGTTGCAGATAGGGATGCTCCAAGCGGCCGCCGACTTCGGAACTTGAATTTCCACTCCTCGTGCACGACTGTGGATTAGAAGGCGACCTTCATGGGGAATTTATGGTTGCTGTGTTGCTAGAGATATAAGGAAGACGTAGAGGGATTCTGAACAGCTGAGGATTGATTGGCCTCGTCTTTCTTCGTCTTCCTTTTCCTAGAACGTGGTATGAAGTTAGTTTGCCAAATGAGAGGGGAAGGAGGAAAGGAGGGAAACAAACCATCCAATGGTCGTTTTAGTTATTAGGACCCCTAGAAATCAATCTACGGAGCCGAAAATCAGTTTTGAGGTTTGTAAGAGGTTCCTCGGAGAGTCGTCGTCAATCCCGACGTCGACGTCGGCATCGGCAACTGCCACGATAATTCCGAAACTTGGTACCAATGCGTAGAGCTCGTCTCCATGAGCATCACGGACTCGACAGAATCGAATTCCGAGGTCAAACGAAGGAGAAACGAGGTTCGAAAGTCTGTGCGTATAATTGTACGATTTATAAGTTCTGGAACTGTGCCAAACAGTTCGAAAATATAGAGTACTGTTATGTAATCTGTCGTACTAATTAGTAATCGGCTCGCAATTTCTTCGTTTGACGTCCAAACGACGAATCGTTTGCGCCTACACGACCGTGGGAACGAGGAGAATTTTATATAGTCAATCTCTGGAATTTTAGAACTTCATTCCCAACTTATAATCGGCTAAATTAATGTGTGTGGGGATTAAGAGGACCTTAATTATTGCATCAATTATTTAAGCTTGATTTGCATATTTGGATGGATGGATTAGTGTGGTTGATGACTTGGTTGCTGATATGATTATTTGGTGATTATTCTTTATTGTTATGGGATTTACGGTGTACATATCGGTATTTGACAAGTTTCACCGTAAAAATGGATAGTTGGGTTTATTGAGTTTAAAACTGATCTAAGAGATTTTTGTTTGTCTAAAATGATGTTGGGGTAGATTGAACATAAGATTTCACTTGAAAATGGTTTACTGATTAAAAACTGCATAACGGTGAATTTTATGAAAAGCTCGGTAAAAACGTGTTTTTATTTATCTTTAAGATTTGGATCACTTTAAAATGGTCAGTATGGATTGTTAAATGGGTTTTGGTCTAGATAGGGTAAACTAGACAGTTGTTGGAGTTTTTATCTTTAAAACGGTAAAAATGAGCTTAATACGAGATTTGCGATAAATAATGAGTGTAATATTATTTTCATGGTTTTGAGCTGTTGAAAAATATAAAAACTGAACATACCTGTTTTAGGATGATAAATGAAGGTTCTTGTATTTTTGGGAGATTTTCGGATTTACCGTTTTGTGGGAATTTAAGTTATCGTAAAATAATGGTTAATACGAGATTTTTGATATTTTATTGTCTAAATTGATTCTTATGACCAGAACTAGATTAAATGGATTTTTGTGCCAATAAATTCATTTACATGAATTTTGTGAGGATTTTAATGAAGGAAAGTGAATTTTGAGTTAAGGACATTTTTAACCGCAACCGGGGTATTTACAATTATTTTGCATCGGGGCTATTTTGTGAAATTGTTGATGAATTTTGGATGAGGAATGGTGATATGGTACTGCTGAGTAACTTTACTGTAGAATGAGATGATTTATGTGATTTGGTATTGGATGATGGGATAGTTGATTTTTAGAAACGTCGAGTTGATAATCGACGGGAAATATATATATATATGGATCGGTTAATCAGTGAGACTACATTAATTTTGGATTGTTTGTGATGAATGAGAAAAATGGAAATGGTTTGATTCGTGATCATATTAATTCACATAGATGCAGAAAGGGCTTGCACTTACCCTCACCCCTTGAGAGTGGGTAGATTTAGCTCGCTTATGCGATTAAATGTTGTGGTAGCATGAGCACCACGGATGAGTGAAGTGGTTAAAAACCACGGATTGAGTGTTGTGGTTGCATGAGCACCACAGATGATGATTTGCTCGAGCGAGGGTAAGTGTATGTGTTCGTGAAATTAATAATTAACCAGAATTTTCATTTCATGCATTGATTATGTGTTCGTGAAATTATGTGATTGTCCTATTGGATAAATTGATTTGGTGAAGATGAGTTGGTGGATTCGATAATTTGATCGATAATTTATATATGATGATTTAAGATGGCATCTAGAGTACTAAATTATGATTGATTACGACTGTCTGATTAGCTAATTGCGGTCCCAAAACTAGGTCGTGGGAAAGATCCACACACACAGCTTAGTTGCTGACCCATTTTGGTTCAGTTTCTTACAGGCTCGAATGATTTGAGAGGAACTCTGGCACTGCACAATGATCGATGGAGGATTGATTTTGAAATTTTCCCAGATTTTGAAATAACTCTCATTTATGTTTTATGAGTCAATGATTTGAGTATTGCATAGTAGATAGTACCGTAATGAGCATAGTAGTGAATGACACTCTGATTTGGTTTACCTAAAATAAATGAACTAGATCGAGTTGATGTTTGGAATATGATGAGTAATTTGAGAATTGATTGTTGTGATTTTGGATCAAAATAATGTAGGTATGTATATTACTAGAGGTAAATAGTCGAGTTTTTGCGTAACCCCCAATAGAGATTCCACTGTGAGGGTGAACCATTGGTTCAACCCATGAGTTTTAGGGTGGGGTGTTTCAGTTATTCTTCTTGCAATATCTGCAAAATAAATCCCCCTTTGGTATCTCTTTTCCCTTTCCTTGAGATCCGGATGGGGCAAGAAGAGTCACTGGTTCTACTGCAGATTCTTGACTTGTCTTGGCTGAAAGTTACCTTTCATGTTGGATGGCAAAATGGAAAGCAGTCTCCATTGAGGGCAATGGACTAATCATAAACAGGTTAGTCCTGGCTCCTTCATAGGAGTAATTCAATCCCTTAAGAAACCGCATCACATATTCATTATCCATGTACCCTTTGATTGCAACTCCAGTGACACATGGCACAGTTCTAGTTTGAACATCACCACACAGACATCCTGGAATCGGAAGGAATTGGTTCAATTCCTCCTAATAACTCTTCAATTCAGTATAGAACTCATTCACAGACTTACTTCCTTGCTTTAGAGTATAAACAACAGTTTGCAAATCACTAATCCTTGTATTATCTGCTTGTCCAAATCTCTGTCTGAGATCATTCCAAACAACTCGAGCATTTTCCATGGAAGAAACAGAATCAACTAGACTAGGATGCAAGGATCCGAGAATCATGAAGAGGACTGAGGTGTTACTGTGTTCCCATGCTGGGTAAGAAGGATGAAGCAGATATGAGATTGGGATTGTGCTGTTGATGAAGCCCAACTTGTTCTTGTTTTTAAGAGCCACACAAAATGTCATGCTCCATTGATTGTAGTTGTTGGTGGCAGTGAGTTTGATGGGGAAGACAAGCGCCTCATTGGGGTTAACATAATGGGTTTGTCACAGCTGGTGGCTGTGCTTGGGCAGTGAGTGTGTTGTCGTCGTCGTTGTTGTTGTTACCTCCAGAGCCTATGGCTGCATCTGTAGATGAATTTTCTGCCATGGCGACTGGAGTTTAGGAGGAAGAAAGAATGAGGGTAAAGGATGCAGAAACCCTAGTTTTGGGAACCAGGCTCTGATAACATATGGAAATTGGTAGAAGACAAACTGGAGGGGAACCAGCAAAGGGGCTCTTTGCCACTTAGGGCCTATATATATATATATATATACCTATATATATATATATATATATATATATATATATATATATATATGGTGAATACTGGTGTACGTCAGGCGTATAGTATACGTCAGGTGATCTAGCCGTTAGATGTAGTTAGATAAGCTCCGGCCGATCTCAACGGTCAATTTTTGTTTTTCATTTAATCAAACTTTGGGTTAGGGTTTAGAAAATGGGTGCCTGGGGTTTATCCATTAGAGGTTAGGGTATAGTATCATACCCCAAACCCGATTTAATTCATGGTCTAGATAGAGATATCTCACTAGTAGTACCTGACATATAGTATACGTCTGACGTACGCCAGTCTGACCCATATATGAAAGAACAGAACTGCACAGCTAGCTATCAGTCTAATGATAGAGTTACAACGGTAAACAAAACAGATTAATTAGTGACAAATGCTAAACCAACACGTGGTGCTATACCTATACAATAGAAATGGAAGTGTGTCTTGGCGCCTAACTGCGACGATGTCGTCCTTGTCTCTGCCTTTCGATTACTGCACAGCTAAATGACGTCGTATCAGTGGGTCCAAGGTGCCAAGACCGGTTCATCCCTGCGATCAGCTCTGGTTCGGATACTCTGTTTACCCTATGCCTCCGCGCTGTAGGTTGGGCCCGCCCACGGGCTAGCACGGCACGGCACGGTTAGAGCACGACACGAGCAGGAAATAAATGGGCCAGCCCGGCACGAGCACGAATAATTTATGGGCGGTCCCGGGCCTAAACTTCATGGGCACGGGCAAGAGCACGGGCACAACACGGTATATAAGTGGGTCGTGTCGGGCCTAATACTTTAGAGACTTTATTGAGTATAAGAACGAACATGGCACGATAATAATATTTATTTGATAGAAAATAAGTATAAAAAGAATTATAGGTTCAAATATTACAAAACACAAGTAGAAAAATAATTATTTGTTGTTGTTAGAAGTGTCATAAAGATATATACGTAATTACTAACATAAGTAAAAATGGACAAAGAATTAAAAAAAAGCCAAATCACACTCGCTATACTTTCAATTTTCTTTTCCCCCATATTTGTTATTTTTCTCAAACATTATCGGTTAATACTATCTTCCCCTGTCCAATTTTCACCTTTTTTCATTCTCTCTTTTGTTTTCGTCCTTTTCATTAAACACGAATACGAGCATGACACGAGCACGAATAGACACGACACGATTCGAACTGTGCCCGGGCCTGGGCCGGACCTAGCAAAGTTGACAAATGAGCTTACATGACACGACACGAAAACTGACGGGTCGTGCCAAGCACGACACGAAATAAATGGGCCCGGAGCATTACTTCCTTAATTTGTACAAGTATTTTTATTTCGCTAATTACTATTATTTCGGATACGTCCTGGTATGCGATTATTTGGACTACAAGAACAAACCAGATTCTAGAGCAAGATTTGACAAGCAATGGTCAACAAATTGAAATTCATTTGTCAACAGATTTTTTTCTTCCATTTGAATTCATTTCAATAATTCTGCTAGTTGCTTGCCCGTGCCGTGCCGGCCCAAGCACGGCCCAACGCCAATGCACACTCCACGCTCCCCTCCAGGCTCCAGCAGTCGACACCTCGACCTCCCTACTCTGCCTCAATCTGTCCAATCTCCATCTCCAGTTGCAGCTCAACCTCCTTCTCTTCCTCTCCTTGTCCCAATCGGCTATCCCTCTCTCTGCGTCGAACTCGCTTGGTAAGGGTCCTTCGCTTTCTTCTTTAAATCGGCTGTCAAAGCCCCAATTTTTGGTCGACCGGGCAAACGGGCTAAACTGGGTTGACAATCCTTGTGAGCGAGATGTCTGTCTTTGTATTTGTCTCTGTCTTGCATGTCTTGTTCTTCTATTTCTACCAACTTCGAATTGTTTGGGACTGTATTGTTATTAGGGTATGGCATCTCCGTACAACCCAGAAAGAGTCGATAGAGGTAGCAAGGAGAAAGATCGCGAGGATGAACACAATGATAGATCAGTTGATGAGGTAAACGAGTTCATTTGTTTACTGCAAGCATACTTTTGACTGTTCTTGGCTGACAACAATTCATCCATCTCGGATGATATTTGAAGGAACTTAGCATCACAACAGTGAAGGTTGGGTATCTCATGAAGCATTCTCGTCAAAAAGATTTTGCTAAGGTGAGTCAGTCCAATGTGGGCATACCATGAACACAAGGATATATTTTTTGCTAAGAACATCGAGAAGTGACAAATAGAAAGTTAAGGAGGGAATTCATGGTCTATGGTGATGGAGGTGTCCAATAAGAAATCTAGGGTCTTTGTAATTGAAAGTTAGTTCATAATTACTGAAAAAAAGTTGGATCATATGTACTGTTCCCATCTTAATTAAACATATTTGAATGCACTTATTTTCATGTTCTTATATACCTAAATAATGGGGTTCTTTGTTTTGATTCCATGTCAAGATAGTGAAGCTGACCTAGTTTTGTTAAGTTATAGCTTGTTTTGCTTGTATCGGTTTGTGTTGCTTATTCATTTCTCTTACATATCATTGTAGAGAGGCACCTTCCCTGATGGTGTAACTCCAAACGGATTGCTGTTTCAGCGCTTGTCTTTTGAGAAACCCCTGCTACCTCAATTAGAAGATGTTGACATAATTTTGCATAAAGCAACAGATGAAATCATCTCCGTTGATTTACGTGACTCTACAGAATCATCAAATGCTATCACTTACACAAAAGGAATGCAAGAATTGAAAAGGTAACTTAATAGACTGTGAGAGGCTAATTTGAGTAGTTGAAATGCGATGCCTTGTAGTTTTCCTAAATGGCTTCTCCATCGGAACCATGATATACCTTCCCAATCTTTGGTTGGCTGTTACCTTATTTGGCCATCATGCAAATTCCTTCTGACTTTGAACTGGCATTGATTTACTCTTTGTTCTGCTTCTTTTTCGAAAACATTTCGTGATCAATATCGATGCTCTGATACTGACTACTCTCTGAAAGTTGTTAATCATTTCAGATATATGGAGCAGCATGTTGAATGCTGTGTAATCGATCCACTTGATAAAATATATCCTGTTGTGGATAGACTGAAAATACAACAAATTCTGAATGGGTTAGAGGATCTTCCCAAAGGACGCTGCTGCTGCATTAGAGGGCCCAATTTCCTAAAGGTGTTTTGATTGAAAATGGTATCTATTTGATGCAGTAGCGTGTAAACTGATATCTTGTAAATCAATAATGGAGAAAAGTTCTGAGGTTAATATGAATTGAGTCCAAAAATGTACAGGTTGATGACTTCAATGACCCTGAGATGGATCAAAGACTATCTGCTGCGAAATTATCCTTCCCGAGTATAGTGAAACCCCAAGTTGCTTGTGGTGTTGCTGATGCTCATAGCATGGTAAGAGTTGTTTTTGTTGCTGTTGGACTTCTGTTGCAGCAGAGAGTTGTCTCATATTTTTATTGCTTGTTTATTCAATGTTGGTAAAGTATCGTCGACAAGAAGTTATAATAGTTATCTAATTTACCGTATGGAAATGTGTTAAATAGGGGCAACTTGTTTATAATTGCTGTTTTGTATTTTTCCGGGCTCTTACGATACTCTTGATCTGGATTGCACGCTTATCATTTTATTTTAAGATGTCTTCATCGATTTGAAGGTTTTATCTAATTCTGGTAAAGGCACCAAAGATCCCAGCGTGCTGCCTATTATCAAAGTTTATTTTGGTTGAAACCATGACTGCTCTATGATGTTTTATCCAAGTTTGTTTTGGTTGAAACCATGACTGCTCTAGGATGTTGGTGGCTCCATTTCTCCAATTTAACAGCATCATTCTAATCAATATAATTTCCATGTCCAGGCGATTGTCTTTAAATCTGAAGATTTTAAGAACCTAAGTGTTCCTCTACCAGCAGTTGCTCAGGCAAGTATGGACATTTTAGCTGCTTTTGTTATGTAAATATTTTTAAGTTCTAAACTCTGATTGAGACTTCTTAGTCACAAGACTTTCGCAGTTTAAATTTAATTATATTTGACTCTTGTTCGGAAAGTGACCTACTAACTCAATTAACTGTAGTTTATAAAGTGATAATCTTGGATTTTTATCACTTGAGTGTGCTACTGATTAACTATATCATAGTGCTTGCCGTTTTAGTAAGTTATAAACAATTGGTTTAGTGACCATCTTATGGGTTCCCTATAAGAAAAGAGACTTTGTTCTGGGTTATCCAAGTCCAGTTTTCCTCTTTATATTTACAACAGGTAATAATTGGCACCGCAGGAATATGTAAACCATTCATCAAGGTTGTTCAAGATTTATGTCATTGGCAAGAAAGTTTTCTATGCCGTTAAGAGGTCTGTACCAAATGCTGATATATTGACGAAAATGGCAATTGAAAATGGGAGTTCACCTTTAATCTTTGACAGGTAGCTGAAATTTCTTGTCCCCATTGATTCCTTATCCATCAATGATAACTGGAATGACAAATCTTACACCGTAAGTTGTTTCCTTCTCCAGCTTGAAATCATTACCGACTAGCACAGACAGCTTGCACGGTGGGGAGTCCTCCAGGGCCACTTTGGACCACTTTGATATTGATTTAGTCACAGATGCTGCATATTGGTTAACCAGAAAGCTTCACCTTACTGTCTTTGGCTTTGATGTTGTTGTAAGTAAACATTTTATATACTTCCATCTCTATTGCCTCGTCTGATTTGATTCACCCTTTATCAAGTTGGGGTCATTTCTTGCCAATGTAAACCTACAGACTGTGTCAACTTGGGTAAAGCATCTCTATAGCTCCCGTAATCACCATGGACTAAACTGTGCTTGGTTTTTTTATTGGTAATCATCTCTGTGAATAAATTTGTGAACTTCTGCACCTTCAGGTTCAGGAAGGCAGCAATGACCATGTCATTGTGGATGTAAATTACCTTCCATCATTTAAGGAAGTGCCGGATGACATTGCCATACCAGCCTTTTGGGATGCGGTAAGAGAGAAGTTTGAATCCATGAAAATCTGAAAAGCCTGCCAAGAAGGTCGTCTGCAACTCCCATGTTGTATCATCTTTAGTTAATAAATCTAACAAAAGATTAGCTGATGGAACTTGTTTCATGAGCTTTGATGTCTAGTCGGGTCTTGGGTTGATGAATTTTCTTTCAGCAGAATCACTGTAAGGTTTCATTTGCTCCATTTTTGACAACTTTGGGGACCGACAATAACAGTTGACGAGGTTTTTAATCTTGGTTGATGCAATATTCATGTAATTTGCATTTCCACTCTACCATTGTTAATGACCGATGAAACAAGGCCGAACTGTGCGTTTTACTTCAACCAACACTCTTATCATGTTTTACAACATTAGCTTACAGTGGTTAAGTTTTTTCATACATCAAGCTGCAGATGCAATTCACAAAGCTAGCCAGCTGCTCTCCCTTTCAGTTACTTTCTCGTTTCTCTTCCAAAAAGGTTCATGAACAACTTGAAGTGCCCTAAATCCTTTGCTTAGGTGAGGCTGGCCCCTATACAAGCTTGATGTATGATCCAGCTGCTCAAAGCCGCCTTGAAGGTCCTTCCACTACAACAGAACCACAGCCCAACAAAATCAGTGGCGGTCAATACACGGAACGGATAGAGAGAAGTCTAAACCTGAACAAACAGAATTGTTTCCTAGTGCGTCATTAATGAATAGTCTGGTCCTTATCAAGAATCAAGAATCAGCTAATGTAAACAGTGGCGTAGCCAGAAATTTTATTAGGGTGGGTCCATCATTAAATAAATTCTATAATCTAACTTATTATACTAATGTTTTAAAATGAGGCACATCGTGTTTTCATAATTGGAAAATATGTAAAATATATTCATCATCCAAACTATCAAGAATGTCGCTCTCAAAGTAACCAACCAAAAAATCATTCACGAGTTCATTATAAAATAAAAAAATCATTCATGAGTTCATCGCTCATCTGATTTCGGAGTGTGTTCTTCGCGAATACTTGAACAGATGGGTGAACTGGTGGGTGAAAATTTTCCTGTGGCCTTCGGTCCAAAGAGGCAAAGTCCACAGCTTTTTTTTTACAATAGATAATCATATATTAATCACTAGCAGAAAGTTACATCCTGGAATTTAGCCAGGCCATAAAATAAAAAAATTGACATGAAGCCGGGTACAATGCTAGGGCCTTTCTAGCCACAACATGGGCTACCCTATTGTTACTACGGCCAACAAATTGTACACTAAGTCCATTATGAAGAGTGAAATAAGACACGACCTCCTGCAGAAGAGCACCCATCATGCTATCCCTGGTATCAGATTGATTAATCTTATCAATAACAACCTTAGCATCACCTTCAAAGCAGATCACCTGGAAACCCAGACTTAGCCACCAAACGATAGCCTCTCTGAGCACAAGCAGCTCCACAATTGTGGGATCATCCACACCGATTAACTAAATCCCATGCACAAGGATAACGTCCCGCGCCCGTTGCCGGAAAACCATCCCACCAGCCGAATGGGATCCAGACCGTGTCGCCCCATCCCATTGGCAAACCACCTCAAAGAGATTCACCATGGCCAGGGCCCGAGGAACAGGAACAGGAGACTGACCATCCCGATCTGTAGGCAAGGAAATCCATTCATTATATTGTTGGTTAAATTGTCGCATTAGAGCCGGGATATCAAATTGTTTGCCTTAAAAAACCACCCAATTCTAGGATCGCCAGATTCGCCATAAGAGCGCAACAATTGCGAGAAAGAGGTCAGGTTGACTTAGCTGAAGCATTAACTTCTTCAGAAACAGGGGAACCTGTGAAGAGGCAATGCATGTCCCAAATGATCCAACCCCGAATGATCCCATAACACCTAGCCACAGGGCAATCCAGAATCAAATGTCCATCGTCTCCGACGCAACCCAGTAAACCGGACACCGCGAGAGCACCTGCACCTTTTTCTTAATGAGAGCCTCTGTGGTCGGTAGAATCTGATTAAAGATCTGTCATGCAAACACCTTCAATTTGGGGGGGAATTTTTGGATTCCGACAAACGGATCGAGCTGATTCTATCCATCCAACTAGCCAACCCTTTCGATTTCCCATTACGCTGAGCCAGAAGAACAACCAGGTGATAAGCCGACTTGACTCAAAAGATTCCGTCAGACGTACCATGCCATATCAACCTATTCTCCACCGATTGTCGCGGGAGAGGGATCCGTTTAATTGCACGGATTGTTGGCGGATCAAATCAACGTTGCAATTGGGCATCACACCAACGACCCTCCCCTTGATAAATAACCTCACTCACCTTGATCTCCTCCTGGGCAGCACTAGAGGATTATAAGCTGGGGGACAAGGATGCAAACAAGGGATCCACCGAGAGTCCAGTAGCGGGGTTGTTTGCCCATTTTCAATTTGCTAGCGAAGCCCCTGCAGCAGGAGCTCCCAGCCAAAGAGAATACTTTGCCAACCCAAAGAGGGTCGCGATCGGACAGTAGCCGTGAGGAATGATCCACGTGGAAAATATTTTCCTTTATAAACTTGATGTAGCAGAGACTGGGGTTTGTTAAGAATGCGCCAGCCAATCTTAGTCAAAAACGCCTGACTAAAATGCTCAAAACGACGAAACCCCATACCACCATCATGCTTGCTACGGCCAAAGTCCACAGCTAATAAATATGGTTTTCGATAATAAGAATTAGCAAAGGATTGACAAACGTACCGTACCTGTGGTTCGACCAAAAAAATCTCCTTCTAGAAGCAAAATCGATGGGCAATATTTAGCGGTATGAAACAATTAAACTACAATTTCAGCATAAGATACCATGACGTTTATGGTACAAACTCTTTACGATTTTTTAATACTTAACAATTAGGGATTGGTAACTAAAGAATAAATAATTTGTCGGGAATGCTTTATGCCATAACTCATTCTGGTATATAAATATAGTTAATATTTTCTTAACAATTAAGAGGTATGTGTAGCTCGGTGGAAGAAACTTCTTCCATTTATCAAGAACAAATCTGGCTCGACTCCCAGCTGCTCCATGTCTATTTATATGATTTTGGTCCAAATGCAAGGTGGGTCCCTAGACCCACCCACCTATAGGCTGCCTCCGCCACTTGATGTCAATAACTCGAGTCGTTGGGAGAAGGTTATGGTGGATTTTATCTTGTGTTTTAATCAAATGTTAATATTACGGGTCGTGGAGAATCGAACACACGACCACTTGGCCAAACCAGCCTCTGATACCATGACAACCTTTCAGGGTTGGAGAGAAAAGAGCTTAGCTTGATTTCATCCAGACTTCAGCTTATAGCTGTATGTTCAACATACAGACAGATTGAAAGAAGAGAAAGCTTGTGTTCTAAGAAAGTACATTGCCAAAACGGAAAGAAACATAAATAAGAACTCCAGAGACCAAAGTGAACTTTGCCAGAAATGACATCACTCCGGCTCATGTGGATACTTGTAGGAACGATATCGTTGGGTGCAACGGTCGACTTTATCTTCATCTCTAGTTCGAAAACAGAGTCCTGTGAAGAAGCAGAATTCTTCCCTGATAATCAAGAAGGGAAAGGAGGAGAGCATATCAGATTGGTTGGGAAGAGAGACGACAGATCGTAAGAAAGGAAAGATGGAGGAGAGAAGCATGTAGCGAGTGAAATCCCCCACAATTTCTACCTTATCTCTCTTGTTGAGAGAGCAGTGAGTGGGGACAGAAACCAATGAGAGAATAAGGAGGCATAGAGAACTGAGCCAGTTAGGTCAAATGAGTGGGCAAAAACTATAGAGCTACGTGGCTTCAAATATGCCATATATACCACAAAATATCTCACCTGTGCTTCCCTCCATCTCTCATACCTCTCAAGTACCATAGAGAACACCAAGAAATAACACGCTGGTCAACGCGGCCTCATCAGGGCCACACAAATGCTTCCAGACCCACCAACTACCCAGCCAACCAGAGATCCCATCATGCTCTAAAGAGAACCAGCGCCTTGGAAACTAACCAAAGACCACTATAGACCCGCACACACCGAAATCCAACCTGAGTTGTAACAGTACCACTGAGTCTGTATATACAGTAATGTGTCTCTAGGTGCATAGTGATCGGGCCCTTAGTGGATTTTCTTTTTTCAATTGACCAACAATCGGCACTCACCCTGGTCACCCTCATCATTGTAGATCAGATTCTAATAATTTATATGATTAAGTCCATTCCCAAACTCCATAAACAATATGTGAAGAATTAGTTTGTCTCAATAATTTGAGTTATTGAGAGAAGTTCATATATGGATTCTATATTTACACACATCTCAAATGAAAAGTCAATTCAATATTTATGGGTTTGAAGTTTATACATACGTGTATATAATTTGGTCAAATCAACTTTGATACCATATAAAAAGTCATTTGTTCTCAATAAACGAGTTATTATGAGAAATTAATGAAATTTGTTTAGAAAGACCAACGCTTAAGTGTCAACTCATATTAGAGTTTCATAGGAAATTCTCATTACATCATGGTGAAGTTCAAGCTGAGTTGGATTTTCTTTTTTCTTTTTTGGTAGAAAAGTTGGATTTTCCTATATCCCTTGTTCCATGAACGCTACACAATTCATGGTAGTCGCCTTTTGTTTTTCTTTTTTTTTTTAATATATAAATTAATTTGTTTAATCTTACTTTTATATTAGGTGGAGCTAAGTGCTAAATAATAATGATGTTTAAATTAACATTAACCCGTCAAAGGTAACATCTGGATGTGGGAGGTCTCGAGTGGCGTCATTTAAGCGTTCTCGGCGATACCCTTTGCATCGAAGATGAAGCCTCCCAATATTGATAGCATAAAGCCCCGGTTAGATGTTGCTTTCGCTGCAGACCAAGGAGGGAAAGCACAATGGCGGAATCCGATGGCCGGCCGCTTCCCACTACGACGACGCCTCACGTTTTGATCTTCCCTTTCCCTGCGCAAGGCCACATCACCTCCATGCTCAACTTAGCCGAGCTCCTCTGCCTCTCCAACCTCAGAGTCACCTTCCTCAACTCTGACTACAACCACCGCCGCCTCCTCCAGTTTACCTCCGTCCAATCCCGTTTCGCTGTCTACCCCGAGCTCTTCTACATGCTGGGCATCGCCGACGGCCTGCCTACCGACCACCCCCGCAGCGGCGAGCAGATTCTCGACCTCTTCGAATCCATGAGATCGGTAACCAAACCCTTGTTCAAGGATTTGCTTCTCTCGATTCGCCCGCCGCTCGACTGCGTGATTAGCGACGGAGGTCTCGACTTCCCTCTCGATGTTGCCGGCGAGGTCGGGATCCCGGTCGTTCATTTCCGTACAATCGGCGCCAGCTGCTTCTGGACTTATTTCTGCATCCCTGACTTGATTGAAGCCGGCGAGCTCCCAATCCAAGGAGGTAAATAAATATGCTTGAAAAGAAATCAAATGTTATCTTTAGTCCCTCCATTCTTTCGCTGATACCGGCAACGTGTTCGATGAAATTCCCCTGAGAAGCAGGGGAAGAAGAAATGGACAGACTGATAACCAAAGTTCCCGGAGCAGAGGGATTTCTCAGATGCAGAGATCTCCCGAGCTTGTGCCGCGGAAGAGATCTCTCTCATTCCTACCTCCAAGGTATGGTTTCCGCTACTAGACTGTCCTCCAAAGCTTATGCGCTGATCCTCAACACATTCCCTGACTTAGAAGGTCCAATTCTCACCCAAATCAATTCTCACTGCCATAAGATCTACCCAATTGGACCCATCCACGAGCACTTATGAACAAAGCTCAAGAAACTGAAACCCACCCAAGAATCATCCTCGTCGTCGTCGAGTCTCTGGGAAGAAGACAGAACCTGCTTGGGATGGCTAAACGGGCAGCCTCCAAAATCCGTCCTTTATGTGAACTTCGGCAGCATTACAGTGATGAAACCAGACGATATAATCGAAATCTGGCACGGTCTCATCAACAGCAAGCAGCGATTCTTATGGGTTATGAGGCAGGGATCGGTCGTCGCGGAGCTTGGAAGCAACAGCAACACCAGCACTTTCCCTGAAGAGCTGGTGAAAGGGTATCCAGGCGAAGAACACATGGTGGTGTCAGGGTGGGTGCCGCAGAAGGAAGTGCTGGATCATGGCGCCGTGGGTGGGTTTCTGACGCACAGCGGGTGGAACTCGACTCTGGAGACGATTGTGGCTGGTGTGCCGATGATTTGCCTGCCGTATTTCGCCGACCAGCAAGTGAACAGCAGGTTTACGAGCGAGGTGTGGAAGCTGGGGCTGGATATGAAGGATGCCTGCGAGAGGAAGGTGGTGGAGAAGGTGGTGACTGAATTGATGGTGGAGAGAAGGGAAGAGTTGGGGTCGAGGGCGGCGAGGATGGCCGAGTTGGCGAGATGGAGTGTTGGTTTAGATGGGTCGTCGGGTAGGAATCTGGAGGCTTTGATTGAGGATATCAGATCGATGAGGAGGTCGTAAGCTGCTGCTTGGAATGGATGAAGTCAATGTGCTGTCCTCGAACAGGAGGAGGAGTGAAAAACACCTTCATTTTCTTCAGCGTCCAGAAGAGGTAAGGCAAGATCGACGTCGTTTTACCCTGTTTTTGCCTGAAGTACCGTTACTCCCAAGGAAACAAATTTGGTTCCCTGCAATCCCTTCATTTTCTGCAGCGTCAAGAGTTTCATAGTTGGATAGCTTTGTCTCGTGACTGTATGTTACTGATAGATTGGACAACCTGAATGAAACTACAGCCCTCAAGTTTTTAGGGTGTATCAATCTCAATCGAGTGTTAGCCTCCGAAATTAGTTCAGTGTTTTATGAATTTTATGAATGAACGAATTCAAATTCATTAAAGTTTGGGTAATGCTTATGGTAACTTTTGATAAAATTTCAAATTTCGGTGATTTGGAGTTTAATAAAGGAATTCAGTCGACTGTATTTCTTTGCCGCTCAATCGATATCATAAATATATAATGTAATATGTTTCGAATAATTTATAATAGTCAATCACACTCTTCCACACGCGGACCTAAGGACAAAATCAAGAAATTTATTCTCTCAACATGAAGATTGGAAGAACATAGAAGTTGTGATGAAATACCTCAAGTAGTCCAGTTTTTTTTTCATGAGTTGGCATCGATTGCATCGACTACTTCCATTGTGATGGCTCATCGGTTCTTGAAAGAGTTTGGGAAGTATGTTGAATAGCAAGGATAATGCCGTAGTAAGGATGAATGTGAAGATGAAAGCAAAGGTTGATAAGTATTGGTTTGAGAGGAGCATGGTATTCTGATAATTATTGGTTTACATGACGTCATGGTGTTTGATCATCACCACAAGATGAAGTATTCAGATCATATTCTTAAGAAGATTTGTGGAAAGGGTTGGGAAGAAGACTTGGCTAATTGGATTTGGGAACTTAAAGTGTGATTATGTTAATTCTGTGATATTTGTTACATGTACATTTTTTTTCAGAAACATGTTGTTGGTCACTAAAAAAAGAAAATATATATTGGTTATTGGGTTTTAAAACTGGATATCGAACCAAAATTGTTTGATCTGATTCTGATTAAAACCGTAAGACATTTGGTTAAAAATTGATGTAGGAAGTCCGAGGAAAATAAGTTATGCAAGTGACGAGTGGGGTTGAGGAGATATATAAACTAGGTGATTAGCGTATACTTTGGAAAATATAATTTCAATTTAATTCTAACCTATGGATAATGTTTGGCTAAAATTTTAGTGCTTATAGTGACGACTATTTAGTAGTTAATAGCGATGGCCGAAGTTGAATAATATTTTATAAATAATCAGTATAAAAAGACAATTTTCATACATATTGCATTACTAGCATCACAAACTTAATGTGAATTCTATAACAAATGACAGACAACAACTCCATCCAGAACCAGATACTCACAAAGAAGACAATTTACAGTACCTAAAACTCTTTCAATTTCTCACCATTAGACATCCAATCCACCAATACAATCCATTTAAATCCAATCCATTTGATCCAAATTCAATTGAATTGGTGGATTCATGGATTGATCCATAGATCCAAATGACAAATTGCGTTAGTACCTATACTTTTTTGTATTTTACATTTTGGTACCTAAAATTTATTTTTTATATGAAAAATGTTATTGGAAAACTATGATTTGGTACCTAAATTTTTTATTATAACATTTTAGTACCTAAACTTTTCAAAATTTACATATTGATCCAAAGTTTTGGATGTCTTTTGGATTCATGAATCAATCCACTTGATTCATGAATACACTAATCCAACCCATGAATCCATGGATACAATCCATTTGCCACCTCTACTGATTACCATGTATCCATTAGATTCAATCCAGGATCCATAAATCTTATCCAGTTGATTGCTACCACTAGTGTAAATGCATCAATAAGAAAATATCAACCATGTAGTGATATATGAAATAAATATCGAATGTTTAAAAATGTATTGAGTTTGACTGCAGGGGCGGAGCGCATGGAGGTTTAGCGGTGTTCCGGGACACCCCTAAATTTTGGGAAAACGATTATTCAACCCACGGTAGTAATTTATGTATAAGTAAAAAATTTATAATTAGTAGTGAGGGACACCCCTGAAATTTGAAAAAAATGATTATTCTAATGTCATTTTTTAAATTTGTGTATGGGAATATAAGTGATAGGTTGGGTAATTCAAACCTAGAACACTATTATTATTAACAAACTTAATTTCCATTAAACTACAACTCATTTGTTTTTTGATTTTGAACACCGTATCATATTAAAATGCCATTCCCTTTTTCTAATTATTTTCAAAACATAGCAATCCAACTAATTTCAACTTACCCTTAATTTGTATTGATTTTATGGTTGTACGACAAGTGTTGAAAGATTCTTTCAGCTTTTGGTTACATCAAGAATAAGTTTACAAATCGAATATGCGATAAGTTCGTGAGTGATTGTCTAAAAGAGTATATAGAGACAATTTTTTTAGCACAGACACCAAGTGTATTCTACAATTATTTCAGAATATGAAAACACATAATGGATTTTTTAACCTGTACGAGTAAGGTATTTTCTAATTTACAATTTTATTTTTATTAATTATTTTATTTTTACTAAATTTATTTTTTAAAAGAGGACACCCCTATGAAAAATTCCTGGGTTCGCCACTAAGTTTGAGTATCACAATAGTTCCTAGAAAAATCGAGCAAAAGCTCAGCCATACTATCACACACAAGGACATATATACGAATACGATACATCCAATATACGCATGTGCCGAGAAATCAAAGGCACCATACAGCAAAATATATGAAATTTCACAAATATAAGTAAGGACTGCTAATCAGTTGGATTTCGATTCAGACAAAATAGAATTGGGCGGATGCCAATTGCCACCTTTAGTATCGGTCACATTGCCGTTGCAGATGCATCAAAAGAAATGATAGGCCTCGTATCTAAAGGCACACAGAGTGTTGTTGATTTGGGCCCCGACCCGATCCGGGCAAATACTCATCACCTTCCGAGCAGCAAGTTTCAAGCACAGCCGGCAAGAGATGATTCAATGAACTAATTAAAATGAAGGGTTTAACTCTCCACTGCTCAATGCTACCTAAGGACGCCCTAATCATAATACTGGACGGTCTTCAGCGTCTACAAGTTCTCAACATCTCTCACTGTTTGCTGATAGAAATACCACCACCGTCTGAGACGAGAAGAGTCATGAAGAAAATCTACGATACCATGCGTCGTAAAACATCGGGACTCAGCCAGTTCCTAACTTGTATGGAGGAGTCGTGTGTCACATGCCAAAGAACGAAAGCCGGCGAAGGGTGAACAATGTGTCATAGATGCATGAACATACTTCATTTTACTACACTGCTATTTATTTGTAGACTTTTCTTTGCCATGATCTTGTCCTTCTCATCAATAGTAGATTGTTTCCAAAGATTACTAATTTTTTCTACATCACTATTACCAATTTCTTTTGATGATATCCATAAAAGTTATTTATTATTCAATAAAAAAATTGTTTGTATTAAATGGTCAACAACGAAATTGCATATCTTAGTTGTAGGATGGTGTTGACGTGTTGTGGCATATGATAAGAAAAAGATAATGTCCTTGTAGTATGGTGCTATAGTATACGGGGAAATAAAATTCAGTACCCATTAAAAAATATCACAATCCTCCATTCGCAATCTATTTCTTTCCACTTACCCAATATTTTATACGAAGGTTGTCAAAGTAAACTGCTAAATCTCAAATCACTTATCATCGATAAGTGTTGGAGTTGAACACAGGTTTCCATAAAAAAATATAAGTGTTGGAGTTGTTGGAGTTCCCAAATGCATCATACACAATCCTTTGTGTACAGAAAATGGTATTTCTAATGATTTGAATTACGACCAACTTATCCTATATAATGTGCGAAACAATTTTGTAAGTCATGCTAATTAAAATGAAGAATATGTGGAATTGAGGGATTTTTTAAGTTTATTTATGCTTATTGGGTGGTGCGTGGCGGGTTGACCGTTAGTCAACGTGTTTGACCGTCAAGATAACTGTCAAATCTCGGGTTTGGCCAATTTCGTAACTTTGATGCATAGTTGAGGCCACAAATTCATAGATCGAAAAAAATGGCCAGAATGTTTAATATTTGAAAAGTTCGGGCCATACAAATATATTAACTCTTAAAAATCGTTTGGATGATTTAATTGTCAATGTGGCATTTGTACAGTAAAATAACTCTCAGGGGTCGTTTGGATGAGTTATAGATTGTGGTATGGTATTTGTGCACAAATAATGCATTTTTTGAGATTGTGGTATTCCAAAGTTATTTGAAGTTGTAATGTGGTATTTTAATTTTATTTGTCTTGTTTGGTTGAAAATGGGTTATTTCCTCCGGCCACCTCCTTCCACCGCCTGGAACTGAAAACAGATCTCATGCATATTCTGGAATCCCAAATTTGATACTACTTCAAGCCCAATATAATACCAATCGACAAATTGATAAAAAGAGAACCATAGAGCAGCAAATGCGTAGCCCGAGCAGAGTTTGAAGAAAAGCAAAGGATGAAGAAAAGCAGGGCATTCTCGATCCAGAAAAACCTTCAACCTTCCACGTTCTAAATTCTGTAGAAACGCCCAAATTCCTCATAAATCCCCAACTCTAAATTCATGAAATTTCCAATTTTAGAAACAGAGAATCGAACTAAAAGAATGCCCTCAAGATTCTGCGGATGCAGTTCCAGAAACCCCCAAAATTACCCATGAGACCCCCAAATCCCCCAGAAACCGCCAACGACACCCGCCTATATTGACCGACGAACCTGCCTATGTTGGCCGACGAACCCGCCTCTTTTGGCCGACGAACCCGCTTCCGTTCGTCAATCGCCGCCAACGAACCCGCCTCGGTCCGCCTTTCGCCGCCAACAAAAAATGCCTCTGTTCGTCGCCAACGAAACCTAGGGTTCCGCCTACTTAATTTGATTTGCATGCAACAAGGAATATAAAGGTAGCAAAAGAATTGAGCGTCCCTCAATCGATTTTGTTTTGGGGCTGAAGGATGGATGATTCGAAGAGAAGGAGAAAAAGGCAGGCGAGAGGAGAGAGGAGAGAGTAAAGGCGCAGATTGGGGACAAAAATAACACAGACACGTTATTTTGAAATAGTGTTAATACCTTAGTTTGTCCCGAACTATACACAAACTTTCTATTTTGGCCCGTGGTTCGGAAATTGCTCGTCTGGCCTGAACTATGTATCATACTTACTTATTTGGCCTGGAGGCGGCTTTGACTGTTAAATTGAACGGTCAACAGAGTTGACCGTTAGCCAATGGCCGGCTCACTGGCCACATCAGCGAGCAAAAAATAAAATTTTGATTTTTTTAATTTCTATATTTGTATAAGAAAGGAAATAAAAAAATTATGTTTATTATTATTATAATAAAGGAACAAATACATAAATTCAAAAAACAATTTTTTTTATTATCTGCTCGCTGACGTGGCCAAGTGAGCTGACCATTGACTAATGGTCAACTCCGTTGACCGTCCAATTCAACTGTCAAACCTGCTTTCGGGCCAAATAAGGAAGTATGGTACATATTTCAGGCTAGAAGAGCAATTTTCGAAACCACGGGCCAAAATAGAAAGTTAGTGTATAATTCGGGCCAAATTAAGGTATTAACCCTTTGAAATAACATGGGGGTGGGGTGTTATTTCAATTAACGCGTTTTGCGTTATTTACAAATAACCCGACCCCCAAATAACTTGTTTAAGTTTTGTGAAGTCAAACGAGTTATTTCGGCCCAAATAACTCATTATGGTTCATGTGGTATTTTAGTGTTATTTTAGTGGTAATTGAAATAAAGTATCTTGTTTGGTAGAACCATGCAAATGTAGTATTTGACATGTGGTATTCGACAAAAGTAGAGTGGTAAAACGAGTTATTTCGAAATAATACAAGAATATGAGTTATTTCAAATAATTTGTTTTGAGTTATTTGTAGATAATTCATTGTTGCTGACAAATGAGTTTTTTGTGTTTGAGTTTTTTGAACCAAAATAACTCACAAATACTCTATACAAATACTCCATTCAAACTAGTTATTTTGTCCCTCTTCCTTAGCGGGAACACAGTAACACCTTTAGGTGACCCGTGATAGCTCATTTCCTCTCTCCTATCTGTTTTCTTTACTTTTGCTTAGCGATTTTCTCTACTTTTCTCACATTTTTTATTTTTTTCTCGCCCTTTGGGATCTTTTCTATCCCTGAGTGGAATCCTTCTACGTGCCTTTCTTTAGCGAAAGAAATCCCAAGTTACACATGTTTTTAAAAAAAATTCTCAAAATACACATGTTCTGAAAATAATTCACAATCTACACATGTTTGGGCCTTCACCGTGTCAGAGCAAGACGGTGATTGCATCACCGCGTGAAAGAAAGGCGATGATTGCATTACCGCCGTAGAGGAAGGCGGTGATTGCATCACCGCTCTAGAGAAAGGCGGTGAAGGCCTGACCTGCGTCAAAACTTTAAACAAACGTAACTTTTTGCTCGGTTATCCGATCGTAGCGAAATTTTTTTTGATTCCGCATAATTTTTCGAGATCTTGCAAGCCGCAAACATTGTAGCCGGTTTGGTCCCGCCTTCATCTAAAAAAAATGTCGTTTGCTACCCCGAACGAGCCTTTTTTCGATTTCGTCAAACTTTGAACGACCATAACTTTGTGCTCCACAATCCGAAAATCATGAATTTTTTTTAATTTCGCATAACTTTTTAAGGACTACAATTTTTATCATAGACATATTTTCGGAATGTACTTGGATTCCTGAAAAGGAAGGTAAAGTTATTCCCAAAACCCCTTATATCCATAAATAATTCATTTTTTGAAAATTCTCTCCTACTAAAAATTGTAGTCCTTAAAAAGTTATGCGAAATCAAAAAAAATTTCATGATTTTCGGATTGTGGAGCACAAAGTTATGGTCGTTCAAAGTTTGACGAAACCGAAAAAGGCTCGTTCGGGGTAGCAAACGACATTTTTTCGAGACGAAGGCGGGACCAAATTGCCTACGGCTGGTTGTGGCTTGCAAGATCTCGAAAAATTATGCGAAATCAAAAAAATATTCGCTACGATCGGATAACTGAGCACAAAGTTACGTTTGTTTAAAGTTTCGACGCAGGTCAGGCCTTCACCGCGGCCGTGTACTGCGGTGAAGCATTCACCGCCTTCGTCGACAGCGGTGATGCAATCACCGTCATCGTCGACAGCTGTGAATCACCGCCTTTCTCTGCCGCGGTGAATACCCAAACATGCGTAGATTGTGAATTATTTTCATAACGTGTGTATTTTGAGAATTTTTTTTTAAAACATGTGTAACTTGGGATTTTCCTCTTTTCTTTAGCTGATGGTGTTGTTTTGCTTCTGATATGATTTTCCCATATTTGCGCCCCGAGTTGGTCGTTTGGAATCAATGATCTCTCTCTTGGTTTGAAGTCGATCTCTATGTCGATTTGTTCATTGTAGGTTTCCTCTTCTCCTTGGAAGCTCTGCTTTGGTTCCAGATAACTAATTAAAGATGGTCTGGTGTCTTCTTTTGTTGTTGTGGCGGATGCTCCATGGTGATTTAGTGTCTGAAGATCAATTGCCTCTTGGGTTGGCTTGGGTGTTAGTTGCTGTAAAATCTGGATATTGTGTATGCTTGTGAGTTGTGGCGTTGTGTGCTTTGGGTTGTGACTTGTGACCTTTCACATCTATGATATCTTTTCTTTAACCTTCCTTGGACCTGACTCCTGACTCATTTGTATTAATCCACTTGACAGAAGAAATGGTTGGGGGAGAAGTAAGTTGACTTTGCTACCCTTCCATTTTGTTCTCGTTCCAATTCTTATGTCGAAACTAATCTTTTCTTCGGCAAAGCAATGGCAAATGCATACTCAAAACGATCAATCGTCCACCATTTCATACCATCCATCCACCACCTGCAAACAAACTTCCTAGCTTCCAAGTTCAACAACCATAGCTTGTTCTGATCTCTACAACTTCCAAAAAACCTCACAAAACCAAAATAAAAGGTGGAGGAACGAAATCCCCAATCACGATTGATCTCAACAGCCCTTGTCAAGAAGAGATAGCCAGCGTTGCTTATCATGCAGCAGCTCCCTCTTTGAGAAGCATCTGGTTGAAGTGCCATACACCTGTTCATCAACAAAAACACGCCAGAAAGTGAGTTCAATGTACCAATATGTCTATGGTGAATTGTAGAAAGCAATGACGAAGATGTTTGTTAGGAAGCATACCATGTCCCTTCCCAATCCTCCTCAGTTGGGCAACATACTCCGAGATCTGCTTGATCGACTCAACCTACAAAGAACAAAGAGTACCTAAGTTCAGGAATCAATGCCGGAAGCCAACTAAAAATAGTTTGCCAGTGTGTTAAAAGAGTGTCATACCTGCTCAGCCAAGAACTCGCCTTCAACAAAATCAGTCAGTTGCACATCGTTTGAAGTTTCAGCAACCTGTTGCAATAAGAAAATGTTGAATCCAAAGTTCTCAACCCTACATCATTTAGGTTTAACGAATCCGTTCTAATAAGGATATGGTAACAGCAAACAAGACATATAGGACATTGGAATAAAAAGGATTGCGAGTTCTCTTACGCTGTGCAAATTCAGGAGCTTCTCGTTTGTTAGTTTCTCCAGAGACAGGGCAAGTTCCATTGCTGCGTTACAGAAAGGAAGATAAAAAATACAATGAGTTCATACATTCCAGCGGGAACTGGTTACAGATACAGTGATGCTAAGTTCATTTATTTCACACCTAAACCACTAGTTATGTTCGAAAGTTTTCAACTTTTCTCTACAATTCTAAGGAATCAAAGCAGAAATTCAACAGTTTCTTCACACTTGAACCCAAGGTTTAAAGAAACAATGAGGAAAGTACCATAAAGAGCATCGCCTTTCTCAGCATGGTCAAACTCAGAGAGTGGCATCAAAATGGATTGCAGCTTCACTTTCCCACCACGTTTGTTCTACACAAAACCAAGCAAGAACAAAATGAAACGTGCATCCACATACGCTATGTATTCAAAACAAGCAGGCCTATCAGGATAACGGAAGTCAGGAAACTCAAGAGTACCTGGTACTCCATCAATTTCTCAGCATGTTCCCTTTCCTCTTCACTTGATTCCTTGAAGAACCTGTCCAAAATCAAGGTTAGCCAAGGATTCATCTAGCAATGGAATGAAAAGATAACTTAATAGAGACAGAGTAGATTTGGAAAAAGGGGGAAAGATTTGTACTTGGCCAAGCCCTTGAGAGCGACATTGTCTCTGTCAAAATAGGCATACATGGCATGGTAGACATAGGAGACGTTGTATTCCACACTGTCAATACAAAAGTGACATGGAGCAAATAAATCATTAGTCATAAATAACAGAGTACTATCTCCATAGCCCACCAAATAACATAGTCTGATCTCCACAACCCACAAAATAGACTGCCTAAATATGATCGATTTTTGCCTTCATAAATCGTTAGATCTACATGCTAGATAGTCATTTAGAAGACTAGAAATGAAAGCTATAAAGCAAGACGACAGAGTTAAGGGCCATGAAGGCAGCCCCAGCCCCCAGCTAATGAAAATCTCATAATCGCCACAATCATCCATTCAATTAACCAATCGCAACAAGAACACACTCTGCAGGGCTAAAATCGCCAGCGTGAAAAAACAAAGCAGGTACTTTTCACAAACACCTCAAAGGCTACCAAACAAGAACATACAATAAAATGAATCGACAAAACGAAAAGACTGGGTGCAGAAAGGGGGAAAATTGAAAGAAAAGGAGGTTATACTTGATCTGTTCGTTGATTGCAGCCTCGCACGCATCAACAAACTTGTGCCTAGCCAGAGAGGCGTTCGGAGATGTCGGCACCAGATCGAGCTCTTTCTTCACCTCTTCGAAGGGCTGAAATACGACCCCTGTCAGAGGTTTGTCGTTCGCCGCTCTGCAGACCACCGACGACGGCGCGGAGCCAGTAGGCTTCAGGCGGATAACAGACGGCGAGGCAGAAGAAACAGAGGTAAACAGACTGTTATCCCCGCCACGAGAGGCCAGGATGGAGGAAAAGGCCGGAGAAATCTTGAGCGCCATAGCTTCGCGTGAAAACGAAGGTGCTAGAAGGAAGACGGACTGTGTTTTTCTGTGAGAAAAGAAAATGGTGAGGGGTAAAGGTTGGAGAGGCGGAGAGGATTGGTTGTGTGGCAGAGAAGACGGAGAGAAAGCGCAGATATATAGAGGTAGGGATTGGGCCGTTAAATAATTGAACAGGTGGACGGTAGGGATTGAGTATTGGTGGTGGAGCGTGTGGCATGCTCGTGTCCAGCAGATATCTCGAAACGGCGGGTTTTGGGAGTGTGGCTTTCGCGTGCCCTAGTGGCCTTTTTTGTCTCTTCCTGTTTTGTTTTTTTTTTATCATTTTTTTTACCGATTCTTTTTCTCACTTTCTCCTTTTTTACAGCGGAAGTAAAAAGTGAAAAAGTGAAAAGTGAGATCCCTAGAATTCAAAAGTGGAAGGTGAGAGATTCTAATGCGATCATGCCAATGTGGAGATCACATGTGATCCTTAGGGGTCGTTTGGAGAATATGAGTTTAAATCTATAGATTGTCAACAATCTAAAGATTCTAACTCTTCGGATTGTTGAAAACAGATTTTCCAATGTTTATTGTTTGGTAACTGTGATGGTTAACATTTAAGTAAAATAAAAAATTTAATTTTATATTAAATTACATGTTTATCCTTAATAAAAAATTAGAGTGGTTCGAGAAATATAAAAAACTTTTTTGATAAATATATTTCATGTGATAAATAAATAAAAGAAAGAGAAAAACTAGGAGAGAAAAAATCTCACGAATCAAGATATAAAATCTCTCTGATTATGAGAGATTTGATATCCATGGATTTTAGAGATTTGAAATCTTTAAAGCTAGAATCCACAATACAAAAATCAACAAAAAAACATAACTTTCTACAAAATCTACGGATTCAATGAATCCATGTCCTGAATCCTGTTCTCCAAACGACCCCTTAGTCCTTATTGTTAAAGTAAAGGGTAAAATACCTCGAGTGTCACTTAAGTTTGAGAATTGGGGTAGACATACCACTTAAATTTGAATAGGGCGTCGGGTACCATTAAAGTCACCAAAATGTGCATCTGTCTACTTTTCCATCCAAACCAAAATTTTAATTACTTTTTAGTACCCGAGACTTTTAAAAACATCCAAAACTATATTTAACAAGTTTTATCTAATATAATAATTAGAAAACCTTCTAAACATATTATTGCTAGAAATGATTAATATTTTTAATAAAATAGATAAATTAGTAAATATAGTAAATTAATATCAAGAATAATAATAAATATACTAGAATATAATAATAAATATTTAAAATTAATATTAGAACATCTATTTAAACCTCCTAATTCAATTAGAAGCACCATTAGAAATAATTAAAATAGAACCTAATCGATTATCAATATATCAAAATCAAAGAAGGATAACTAGAACACAATAAGAAAGAATTAAACATATTCCTCTAATTGAAAAAAATTAGAACGAAAAGAAATGGAAAGTAACCAAGTAACAAATAAAACATAAAAGCTACAACATTCGGTAAAAAATATAGAAAAGAAAATATGACTATATAAGCTACAACATTTTTTAGTTATAACATGCATGGAATAATTAAATTATTAGAACACATAATGATAATTAAAAATAATTATAATGATAATTGATTCTAAATTTTCTTGATTTGGTATCAAATATTCAAAAGAGGATTCTAACTAACCAATGAAAAATGATATTTTTCATAAGTCCAAATTATTTTCTTACAATAAAAAATGTAGAAGGACCAATTATGAAATTTAGAAAACAGAATATTCCAAGAATATTCTGTCAACTTTAACGGAATGCACTTAGGAGTAAACTTAAGTGGTACCGGGTGCAAATATAATAGAGTTCACTGGTACCCGACGCCCTATTCAAACTTAAGTGGTATGACGACCCCAATTCTCAAACATAAGTTGCACGCGACGCGAGGTATTTTACCCTTAAAGTAAACAATACTATAATAGATTGCTTTGTTAAGATGACAAGTGATTCAAAACACGCAGTTTTATTATTGATATTATTAATTATGATAATTTTGTTAAAGAGAAGTGAATTCTCATTTTACTACAAGAAGTATGATCTCATTTAAGACACGCGAAACAAATGAAGATGGTCTAAAATTTATATTAATCTATCTATCTATATCTATCTATATTATATATTATATATTATGACAATTTAAAATCAATCTCTTGCCACATAAGCACTTGGATGATCCACAATTTGAAAAGTTGGACAACTTTTTTACAAACAAAAAAATTAGTTATTAATGTATTTATGGAGCTACCTCTCTCTTCTTTAATATTTTCAATTCTTTTATTTAATTATTCTTTTTTAATTATCAATTTATTATTTTTTTAATAATAAGTTACATGTTGATAAACTTAACCAAAACACACATAAATAATAATTTTTTTTGTCAAGTAAACAAAATATAAATAAGAAAATAGAGAGTGACATATATCACATTTGTTTAAATAAAAAATATTTGATTAAACCTTCTTAAGTAAATTTTCAAAATTGAAAGATAATTTACATTTTGATGAAAAATAAACAAACATACACATAAACAATAATGTTTTTATCGATTAAACAAAATATATATGAAAAGTGAGAAAATAAACATTTGACATTCAATTTTCTTTGAAAAATAAACTATATTACTTTATATTTTGTTGCAATGAAACAACTCTTATTCGTAAAGTATATGTCTAGAAAATAAAACAAGTATTATTTAGCAAAATGTGAGAATATAATCTTGATCAAGTAGTTACATTTATTTATTTAAAAAAGACTTCTTATTCATTCAGATTATGTTTTACCTTAAACTCCTCAAATGAAGAGGAATCACATGTGCAATAATTTTATAATGTGTCCTAAGTTCAAATTAATAATATTTGCTCTGTATCATGTTGATTGAACAAGCTCTATTGAGTTCCTAAGTCGTATGCTAAAAATTTTCTTTCATATTGGAGCTATCTTCGACGATTATAAATCAAAAATTTCAAAATGAACTAAGTATGATTATTGACAAACTTTGACTTCATACCCTAGGATGAGACACAAGATTCCTTGAAAGATAAAATGTGTGAAGGTTAGAGAAATATTTGTTGAGAATCTACGATAAACATCACGTTTTATCAACTACTAACCTAGACATTTACCAAATAAAGGCTGACAACTTTTAGTAAGATAGTCAATTGGACCTAAAATCTCAATCCCTTTCGGGGGCTAAATACCTCTGATCACAACCATAGGTGCCAAAGAAGAACGAAAAGAAGCCCAAAAATAGCACAAAAGAACATAACCTCCAATGGTTGTCTGACATTATGGGAGTAAAAGCGATATCTTTATCACGGGAGTGGGGGATAGGCAATTAGCAGTCTTAATATGAGTATTAAGCGAGATAAGATAGGTCTGACGAAGTATCTGGATAATTTTGAGTCTACTATATATGTAGTATCAAGGTATACTATACTTTTGATTTTACTTAAGGTATGATAGAAGATAGGTATGACGAATTATGTGCATAAATTAGAGGTTAGTGAATTATGAAATGGAGTTCACCAGGTTATGGTATAATATCATGCCCCCAAAAACTCCGGCTAATTCGGGGTGTAAATAGAAAATCTCAACAGTTGTATGGTAGTGTGAACGCAAGAGCATAGCGTACTCCTGCCGCACGCTAGCTTGAACTACATAGATATGTGTGTGTGGTTCGGGTTGGCGCACACCAAATATTAGTGTTTTGGTTGACAAAGTTTTACATAAATTCTAAATGGGACGTGACAGCTCCATAATTTATGATTAGAAAACCGAAGCATCACAAGTGAGTGTGCTAAATATTGGAAATTTTTAATATAAACATTTAAAACTTTGTTATGAATAAGAACAAAAAATAATTAGAAGGTCCAAAATAATTTTTTTTCTCCGTTGAATCAGTTACTCTTTTTATTAACAGTAAAAGAGACCATTTGCAAAACACAAATGGACAACCAATACAACGAAGGAAAGCTCGAGGTGAGCAGCCCTTTAAAGCAGAAGAAGGTAAAACCTACCCCCTACCCCCCCCCCCCCCCCCACACCACACGACCTACCATCACCTACACACTCCCCTGCAAACCAAGCAATTGCAGACCTTCAAGTAATAGTGCATTATCATACATATAATCCGTAATTCAGCAGTAATTTCCCGAACCAAAACTTCCTCTGTTTTCCTAGCATTACCATAAACTCGCCGGCATCTTTCTTTCCAGATCCCTGCACATCACAAGCACCAGATCAAGCTGGTCACTCTCCCCAGCTTCGGCCTCCTGCAACTGGCAAGGCCTGCAGCAACAGTGGCTTCCCAGGTGCTAGAACAGAGTCCTCCCATTTGCAATGCCTGCACAATTCGACTAGAAAAATCACATTTAAAGAACAAATGTTCTCTAGTTTCTGCATCAGTATCACACAACACACACAACCCATTAGTTTGCTTGCCCCACTGCAGCAGCTTTTGTTTAGTGACAATACAATCCAACATGATCATCCAGGCCAGAAAGCTATTTCTAGGAACATAATTCTTCCCCCAAATAAGTTTTGCCCAGTCCACCACCTCAAACTTGATTCTCAAGGTGTTCCAGACTACTGACACTTTAAACACAGGCATAGGTTTATTGTCCCAAAAAATTTGAGAGTTGCTGATCAAAAGTAAAGGTTGAATCTGAGGGCGTATCTTGAGAATACGCCTCCAAAATAATTTAATCATATAAATAAATAAATTAATATAAATCATAAAATAAATCTCTCCTGCCAACGGGCCGGGTAAAAAACTAGTTTATAAAAGGTTTATTTAGGTCTATATGATACGTAATCTTGCTAGGTTTGGTAAGTTGATCACGATTTTCTTCTCTCGCTCATTTGTAAGTGGCAGAGAGTGATGGTTGTAGCTATTTTCTTTACTAGATTAGGGCCCGGCCTCTTGGCCGGGAGAGTTTGATTTTGATGTGTATGTGTAGTAAACATTGAGGTATATATATTTTTTATGGTTCATGTTGTTGGGGATTGAAATAACTATTTAATTTGGTAAGTTCTCCATGAATAATA